TTATATTGATACCCTACTAATAATTTTATAGTAAATTCATTTATGCACGAAAGAAAGTCAAACATGATTGATAAGTAGCTTCTTGTTTTGGTAACGTACGTATTTAAAAATTAAAAAAAAAAAAACAATCGCTTGGATTTACCAAATATAGACCAATATTTCATGATTCCAATTTCCAAGTTATCAATAATTGACAACAAAATCATGATACCAAGTCTTTTATTTGGGAATATCTAATCATATACGTAATCGTAATGTACTAATGTGGATTGGAAATGTTAGTGCAAAAGTCTTGTGACAACCTCATGTAACAAGTACCGACGTCGTTTAATTTATCCACCAGAAACATCAGTAAGAAGCACAACCCAAAAAGGGTTCGTAGCCCAAAGCCCACCCAAACCCAAAGGGGCTCGACAGAGACAGAGAGAGAGAGAGCGCTTCAAGTCGACGACAATGGCGTCTTTAGCCTTGAGAGTCTAGATCGAGTAAGCGAAGTCGTTGAATCTCATCGCGATTTCTAGCCACAGGTACTCTAAATTGAATCTCTCAATGTGTTTTGGTTATCGCTAGAGGACATTGGATCATAGGATTTTTGGAGTTAGGGTACACTTAGCTGAAAATTCCTATTTCGAAATGCCATCTCCGTGAGGTTAGCTAGACTGTGGAACAAAAGCACTTAGCTGATTCTTGGAAATAGTGTAGGTTTTGAATCTTCCGGCTCTGTTTCGAGAACTGGCAAGTGGGTTCCTCTTGAAACACTTGATACTGTTGTTGAGGTCTTGTAAAATTCTGTATGAATCATTGTGTTTGTGTTTCTCTTAAACCCTTCAAAACAATTTGATATTTTTAATTTGCCTGGTTGTTTTGAAGATCAAGTTTACAAGTATACACATACTTACTTTAATAGTATGCAGTAATTGGCTTGTCTTATTTGATAAAATTGGTTATAGTTGCTTGGACCTCAGAGCTTTGATCAGTTCCACTGAGTATGAGCAAGAAGTTGTTAGTTTATACTTTATAGTAATCATGTTCTAATGATCAAATGAACTATTTGAGAACTTACTTTTTGCAATATTCATGACTGTTTCTGGATGATTTCGTGAAGCTCTTCGTTTGCAACTTCAAGCTTTTATTCTGGCTGATACCTTTGTATGATCTTTTAGTCTCTAGTGATGACCTCAATATTCAAGGACTTGCCTTATTTCATTGTTGGGAAACGCTGGCTTATTGGTTTTGCAAGGGAATGACCGAGATTAACAGAAACTATTTTTTCAACTGATTCATATATGTTGCTTTATTAAACATTATCCATGATACATATGTATCATATATATATATATATATTGCTAAGTTCACAACTATTTGTTACTCTAGATCAATCATTTCCTGAAAGAGTAAAACACAGTGAAGATGTAAACACTGAGAGCAGAAGAGACCAAGACCACAAGCGCTAGCACGGTATGAATCGTCAAAGCATTGCCGCAGGAGAGAAGCCCGAGACGGAGTTGGATAACATCAACAATTGACAACAAAAGAAATACACAGCCCAAGATACATCCACCAGCTGCACCAAGCACACCGAAACGAAGCACATCACTATTGATATTTGCTTTAAACACTTCATCCGTTTCTTTGCTGTTCAAAAGGTTGATGGATAGCTTTATCCCTTGAGCCACTAGGGAGGAGAAGAGGAAGAAGGCAAATGAGATGACTTCAAACACAACTAGGTCCCGTTCCACGTCTAGTCCCGCATTGCACTCGGATCTGTCCGTGAGGCTAAGGTCACGTGGCTGGTCGAAGGAGATTCCGACAAAGACTGCAACCGTGAAGAGAGAATTAGCACTTACAATCCCATCGAGAGCCGTAACATGAACACTCGTGGTCGATGAGGTTGAACGGCTGGTGTTGCTGTTGCTATTGTGGTTGCTGCTCGTCTCTATGTCGGAATCTGCCATTACCAATGGATCTCTTTTCTTTTTTTGATAGCTTAAAAGCTTCTAATGGTGGTGGATCATAATCTTCTGTTGTGTTCTTATGATTTCCTTTTGATTGATTTGGTAATGTTGTTTAAGAGTGGGTGGTGTTTGGTTTAGAACGATTAGCCAATGGAAAACGATAGCTCTATGTTAAATGATAATTAAATCTTTTTCAAGTCTTGGAAGGTAAACACACTTTTCTCCTTTTGTTATGAAAGAAAATTGCTTCTTCTAGTAACCAAAATTTTGAACTTTATTCACATGTAAAACAACACAACCTTGTAGCAAATTTACACGTTAACTTAAAACGTTGTTGCGTATTTGAAAAGACATTAATATATTGTCACAAGATTAAACAACTAATAATAGAAAGAAACAAAACTCAAGCTTGTCTTGGCTGACGTGGCATGTTCTCAAGTTTTGATTGGCTGGAGAATTCAAGAGGATGAAATATAAAAACTTCTTAAGTAAAAATTTCAAACCACACAAGAATAGGAGGAGGCAATGGCGGTCTTATCCACCATCTTCTCCATCACCAGAGCTTCAACGCCTCCTATGGCGTCTCTAACTAATGACTCACCGTCTCCACTTCCTTCTTCTTCACCGTCGAAGCTTCCCTCTTCTTCTTCTCCGTCGAAAAAACCGGTACAACTAAGCAAAGTGAGCAAACAAATGGGAAATCAAAACCAGCAATTACGGAAGCAACGACGAGGCAACAAGCCTTCGATAGCTCAGATCGAGCGAGCCTTTGGCGCTGGATCATATCGTGATTCCGAAGGGTAAAGACACTAATTACGATTGCAAAATGTGTACTTATATAATTGTAATTGCGCGGTTCTGAATTTTGTATTTTTTTGCCGCGTGAAAGGGAAATGGATATGAATACGGTATTCGATGAGCTTTTACTAGGCCATGCTAATAAATTCGAAAGTAAGCTGGAGAAGAAACTACGAGAGATTGGCGAAATCTTCGTAGCTCGAACAGAGCCAAAGCTTCGTTCATCCGGTTAGTTTAGTGATTATAATCTCATGCTAATCATCACATCTAAAATCCATATTGGCTTAACCGGATGATTCATTGATGTTGCAGGGAAACGAGTTTTGATGTTTACACTTCAATGGATTCTTCCCATATGGATTATGTCTCTGCTCATAGCTTGTGGAGTTATCAAACTCCCTTTTAGCCTCCCATTACTTGATGACTTGATCATGTGATTCTACCACAACACACTTAATTATATATATACTATACCATGTCTCGTTACTTCTAGTTCTAGTGATCTTATGATATATAGCTTGATAAATGCATCTATAGTAGTAACCCATTTACGCGATTTCGATGACATTCTTTACTAATCTTTGGTTATAATGGTGGTGTATGCATAAATACTATCCCGCCAAGTGTTCTTGGTCTAGTGGTTGCCACTTGTGGAGGAGTTGCCCTGTTGGTCTAGGCCAGGGATCGATTCCCCGCAAGCGCGCAATTGCTAGATCTCCACTTGGCCACTGCGCAATTTACCTGCGGGGCGCAGCGTCCCAGACCACCAGTTCCGGGGGGCCCTTAACTGGAGGCTTAAAAATCCCAGGCACGCGGGCTTAGGCCCAGTGGGCTAGTCGGATCACTGTGTGGTCTGGACACTGGGTTATCAAAAAAAAAAAAATTGGTCAGAAGTACAATCTTGCAGCTATCAATAGAAAGTTTTGACAAAATGGCATGTCAATTTGTTTATGTTCCCCCACTTCATCATCGTTTTACATGTTGTAAATGAATCGAAACTCTATATATATTTAAACTAAGTTTTGTAGCAGCAAAAAACTCAATCAATACCTATACCAAAATCAGTCTGTTTCTGTGAGAAAAGGAAAGAAAGTCTCTCAACTAATTGGACGTTGATGAGTCCAAAATTGAGAATATGAAGCTGGCCAATTTACGTAGTTAGTGGTAGGTGGCCAACAATTCTCACTCTCAACATCTGTATTATCCACCGCATTTTAAAAGTATAATTTTTTTTAGAAGAAATAGTCATCATTTTAAAAATTGATGAGTGTAGTATATAGTATAACTAATATACACATGGCTTTCTGATTTTATTATAGGGAAAAGTGCTCTATAACAGATGATAATCCAGAGGAGCAGATTCGATTCTAATTAGTGAGTTAGGTCATTAGTACTGTCAGATTTTTCAGATATATCATTACCTTTTATGCTCTGCGTGACCCTTTAATTATGAAATCTCATTGAGCAAATAAACATTATTATGAATCCCATTTCTCTTTGATCAAATATTTAAATCCTGCTTTGTATCTAACCTATTTTATTTCGTATGGTCAAATAAAAACAATTCAATTAATTTTATTAACGGATAGATAATAAAAACTAAGCAATAAGAAAATTCAAAATTGGCTATTTTCATATAATTTGACTCATTTTATTTATTTAATCTGAACAAATTGACTTTAAATTAAGAAAATAGGAAAAATTAAAATGAAACGGAACGCGTCCCTTTTGTTTTTCTTCTTCTTCTCACTTTCTTCTCTCTTTCTCGATAGTCTCTCTGTCAAATTTCCCGTGAATTTTCCCGGAGCTTTTCTCGGGAAAATAATCTAAAGAAGATTCGAGATTGAGACACGTCATCTCCGGTTTCGTAGAGAGATCTGAAGAACGAACGAGTCTTATCCTATAGAATTTCCGATGGGAACGCTTCAGTCATGGAGAAAAGCTTACGGAGCCCTAAAAGACTCCACCAAAGTCGGCCTTGTCCGTGTCAACAGCGAATACGCCGTACGCTCTTTCCGATTTCCATTCATTCTTTTTTGTCTATTTCTTTAATCTGAAGAAAATCTCCGATAGATTCGGTTTTTGATTTCTGGAATTTTCTTTGTAATTTGTAGGATTTAGATGTCGCCATAGTCAAAGCTACCAATCATGTTGAGTGTCCTCCCAAAGATCGCCATCTCAGAAGTGAGTGATTCACTTTCCTCTTAGATCTGATTTTCCCCTTCTTCCTCTCTGAATGAATTGGTTTCTTCTATTGTTGCAGAAATCTTCGCTGCAACATCAGTGACTCGTGCTCGAGCAGATGTTGCCTATTGTATTCACGCTCTTTCCCGGCGTTTGCATAAAACCAGGAATTGGACGGTACTGATTCATTACTCTCTCTTGTGTTTCTTGATGACATGATCTTTAATGCTTGAAATTGTGTTTGAGTAAAGCATTTTGATAGTTTTTGAAGTCTATTCTCTCTTGTGTTGCTACAACAGGTTGCTTTGAAGACACTAATTGTTATTCATCGGCTTCTAAGGGAAGGAGATCCAACTTTCAGAGAGGAACTATTGAATTTTTCGCAGAGAGGGCGTATTTTGCAGCTTTCTAATTTTAAGGATGATTCAAGCCCTATTGGTAAGTCTATTTAGTGTTTTTCTTTTGTTTGTGGGTGTATGTGTATAGAGAGTTAACGTTCACTGTATGCTTTTATGTTTCTCTTACAGCCTGGGATTGTTCAGCTTGGGTACGTACTTATGCACTATTTCTCGAGGAACGGCTTGAATGCTTCAGGGTTTTAAAATATGATACTGAGGCAGAACGTCTTCCCAAGTCTACCCCAGGGCAGGATAAGGTATCAAATGTTGGTTTACTCTCTTTTTTTTTGGTGTTTCTACCTCTTTTTCTTTTCTGATTGTTTCGGTTTTGCATATTGCGGATGGCCAGGGGTATAGTAGAACCAGGGATTTAGATGGTGAAGAACTCTTGGAGCAGTTGCCAGCTTTGCAGCAGCTTCTCTATCGTCTCATCGGTTGCAGGGTACTTTTTCTGATGTTATTAGTTTCGGTTGTTGATAGTTTGTGACATTGTGTTGTGGCTGCACTTGCTGATCAATGAACTGTCTTACCCCTTTGCTTTTTTCAGCCAGAAGGTGCTGCTAACCACAATCATGTTATACAATATGCACTTGCTCTGGTACGTAACAGATTATCCCTGATCCTAGGATTAACATTTCCACTACTGGACACAGTTGTTGGTGTCTTGCTCTGCAAAAGCTTTCTGTTCCATCTGGAAAAGCAATGCTTGAAATTTTCTAAACTTCTTTGTCATCGTATGATAGGTGTTGAAAGAGAGTTTTAAAGTCTATTGTGCTATTAATGATGGAATCATCAATCTCATTGACAAGGTAGGTCTAGTTTGTCTTTTTGCCATCATAGCTATCATATCTCTCTATCTGCTTTCCTTTTTCCCTGCTTAACTTTTCATATATTGCAGTTCTTTGAAATGGCAAAACATGAAGCCATCACTTCCCTTGAGATATACAAGCGTGCGGGTCAGCAGGTGATTTTGTTGGACTGTTTCAGTTGGTATATATTTTACTTGTCGCACATTTTGTGTGTAACAAGGGATAATGTGTTTTTCAGGCTCGTAGCCTTTCTGATTTCTATGAAGCCTGCAAAGGATTGGAACTTGCAAGGAATTTTCAATTTCCTGTTCTAAGAGAGGTACTAACTGAGGACAACTTTTGATAAATTTAATTGACAACCATTGCTTTTTTCTGTCACTTAATACATTACTTTACATTTGTTTACTTCAGCCTCCACAATCTTTTCTGACAACAATGGAGGAGTATATTAAAGAAGCACCGCGGGTTGTCGATGTCCCAGCGGAACCACTGGTATGTATGCATATTTTCTCATATTAGTGATCCAATTTTTTTGGTCTTTCGGCCTTTTTTCTGTCTTATGTGCTAATGAAGTTGTCTACATTCAGCTTCTAACATATAGGCCGGATGATGGATTGACTGCCGAAGATACTGAACCGTCGCATGAAGAACGTGAAATGTTACCTTCAGATGATGTCGTTGTTGTATCTGAAGAAACAGAACCTTCTCCCCCGCCTCCTCCTTCAGCCAACGCTCAGAACTTCATTGATACAGATGATCTACTGGTGAAAATTCTATCATGATCATTTATGATTTTTCTTTCAATTTTGTTTCTTACTGCGATTCTTATGTCTCAAGTTCTTTTTGTTCAATTTTCCCCACAGGGTCTGAACACTGGTGCTCCTGATGCATCAGTGATCGAAGACCAAAATGCGCTTGCTTTAGCCATTATTTCAACAGATGGTGAGCGTCTTGTTGGACCATTTACATGTCCACTAATATTCTGGCAGTCTGTGTTACTTTATATTTTTTTCCCTTTGCTGACTCATTTCTGATCTCTGTGTTTCCAGCTAATCCTCCAACGCCTCGTTTTGGTCAACCAAATGATTACGATCCTACAGGATGGGAGCTTGCCTTGGTGACAGCACCTAGCAGCGATATCTCTGCAGCCACCGAGAGGAAATTGGTAAGTATTATTCTCTTTGTTATTCATAATGCCATACGCTTATTCATAATCACACAAATCAACGCCAGTTAGTAGTTGCCGGCTAAAAATTTGGCTGGAAAGTCGGAACTTTAGATGTTCAATCTTTAAATCTTTGAGACTAGGAACCTTGTTATTAGCAAATTAGTTAGTTCATAATGAAAGATTATCACATGCATTGTTTTACCGAAATATGTCAACCTTGAGACTAGGAACCTTGCTATTAATCTAGTTATGGAAGTTGGAAGTGGAACCGTGAGAATAGGAAGTTCATTGTTGGTCTAGGTGCTTCTATAGGAGGATAGTGTGTAAGGCTGTAAGCTAATATTGAAAAACCATTGTTTCTGTGCATCAAAATAAAAAATGTTTAGGCTGGAGGGTTAGATACGCTTACACTTAGCAGTCTATACGATGATGGAGCCTACATAGCTTCCCAGCGTCCTGTCTACGGTGCACCAGCTCCCAATCCATTTGCGTCCCATGACCCTTTTGCGTCGTCCAATGGTACAACTCCCCCACCTCAGCAGCCAGCGGTCAACAACCCCTTCGGTGCTTACCAGCCTACATATCAGCATCAGCCCCAGCCAATGTATCAGCATCAGTCCAACCCTCCTACCAATAATAGTAACCCATTTGGTGATTTTGGGGAATTCCCGGTGAACCCGGCTTCACAGCAGCCAAATACGACGGGTTATGGTGATTTTGCGGTAAACCAACATAACAACCCGTTCCGCAGCACTGGCCTCCTTTGATCATGTTGTCTATTCACGTTTGTATCATCTTCATTGGTTTTGGTGGAGGGAAAGAGAGAGAGGGAAATGGTTTTATTTGTGAGTAATAGAACCACATGATGATTTGTTTGATGATCTCTGTTGTTATTGCTTGTAGAAAGATTATATATAATGCATATATGAGTTATATCCCCAAAAGAACATTCTTAAAATTATTATGTTCATGTGTTATTTTGAGAGCTAGCTATAAGAGCATCTCCAATGGGAGAGAGCCTACTATGGGTTCTCTCCCATTGTTTAATATAAATTTTGTAAAATTTAAAGTTGAAAATATTTTTAAGAGTTCTTAAAATTTTCTTCCTCCAATGGTAGGGTTCTCTTAAGAATAAATCATTTAAATTTTTGAAAAACAAGAAGTGTTGTGTATTTGTAAAACAAGAAGAAGTGTTGTTTGTGTTTTTGTAAAACAAGAAAAAATGTTGTCTTTGTAAAACAAGAAGTATTGTTTGTGTCTTTGTAAAACAAACCCAAAAACAGAGCAATCTCAGAAAGATGAAGCTGTTAAAACTGAGTAATTAATTTCTGTTCATATGGTGTCAAAACTGAGTTAACTTCATATTTTGTTTGTTTCAGTTCGTCTTTTGTGTAGACTGATATTGTTCAAGTAATTGGTAGGAGTAATTCATCATATACTCAGAGTCAAGATATTTTGCAACTTAGAATCAGTCATTGTGAAATCTCTCAAAAACAAATGTTGTTCTATAAATACACTATCTTAATAGGAGACTGGTCTTTTAACAGCTTCTTTCTTCACAGCCACCTTTTGCTCTCTTTAAACAGCTTCTTTCTCTACAACATTTGTGTATATCCTGCAAAAAGGAAAACAATTGTATTGTGAATTCTGATTCCATAACATATATGATTGTCATTAGATCCATGCCAACAAAAACACTAAGCTAAGACATTGCACAAACTCTTTGAGATTCTTCAAAAGTGGATACATTTGGTTGGAAAAGTATGTCAACAGTTTTTGTTCCTCCTGTGTGAGTCTACCTACCTCTCTCTTAGTTTGATACAAACTGCCCATAACAAGGTGACATATTAGTATATAATGAATCTGTTAACTTATATAGAACCAATATACTGATCAATAAGAGAATGTATAAAATGTAAAAGTACCAAACGTCAACTTTTCTATCGATGGACTGCTGAAAACTTCCCCATTTGTAGCAGTTAAACAATTAAACAAACCTGTGAAGTCAATAAAATGCACAAACTCTCACCCAAACGTTTACTCTATCTTCTCTTTCAATCTATCTATTATTACTCAACACAACAAAGATCATCACTTTGACTCTCACTTGTCATTGACACATGTAAGCAAAAATAGAGAGTAAAACAAAAGTGGAATCTTTGAGTTTAAAAGATTAAGCCTTTAATGGAGACGAAAGGGATGATGAGATGATGAGAATTGGTGGCAATGAGGTGAGAGAGATTAGTGGAACTAACATAAGAGCCAACTATGTTTTTGAAAGATACAATGTAGTATTCCCATTGACAATCGAAAATCTAATAATCTCAATGCCACAGTCCCATAATCAATAGATCTGTATGTTTCTCATCATACACTACCAAACATAATTTGTTCAAACGTTTGAATCAATAACAAGAACATCAAATCCACAACTCTTAAACACTTCAAACTGACAAAATTAAAGGGCGACAAAGCTGAATTAAGCCCGATTGATGAAGAAATATGGAAATGGAGAGTGAGTGAGTCTTACCTTGTAAGCAGTTGCAATTCCCATCTTCCTTTCAAACAAGGCCGAGCACATAATTGATCAATTCAGCTCCCTTAGATGGAGTCGGAATAATCGTGTGAGGAGAAGATCCATGGCTATCGGGGATTGAAAAACGGTTGGTGAATCAGGATAAGAGCCATCGCGAAGAGCAATCAACGGATTCAAGGAAATCTTCAGTGAATCACAACCAGCAGAGCCGATAAAGAGAGAGAGAGAGAGTCGAGAAAGAATTTGGGAAGAGAGAGACAGAACAAGGTTTTTTTTTCTTCTTTTGTTAAAAATCGTTACCCAATTGACACGTATGCGTCTCTCTCTGATTCTTAAATCTCTCTAGAAAGAGACGGTTCTCTCATTATTGAGCATTTTTTATTTATTTTAATTGTACTTAAATCAGAGAAACCCACAAATTTAATGAGAGAACCTCCCATTGGAGGTGCTCTAAATGTTTTGTTCTAATGGGCCGATATGACGTGTCTCGTCTTAGGTTCTCATTTCCTATCGTCCTATTGCACCCATTAATATTTCAACACGCGTTGACATATAACACGCCGAATCATCGAATTATTGGCCCAATTGTTTATTCTTTGATGATGATAAAGTTCAAAATCAGGGATAATAACGTAAATTCACACAAGTTAATGAGTTATCACCTTCAGCCACGTCAGCGATCCTGCAAGATAATATTCTGATAGTCCGATAACCGTCAGATCATCTCTCGAGTTCCGATACCCTAGCCGTCCGATCAACAAAAACATTTTTTATTTAAATCATAAAGAAAACCTAATTAATAATTTTATTTCCCTTTTAAAATCCCCACACAGTTTCTTAGCTTCAGCGCAGCAACAGTACTCTCTCTATCTCTCTCTGCGAATTCAAGTTTGACATGACGACGCCGGAGAACGATCCTCAACTAGATCCAACGGCGGCACAGAATTTTCCATTCTCTCTCCCTCCGTACCCCAAGGTATATCAGATTGGATTTTCAAACGCTATTTATGGTGATTCGATTCCTTTGGATCTGAGAAATCTTTTGTTTATCTCTGTGGATTTCAGATGATTATGGAAGCGATCGAAGCATCAAACGACCCGTACGGATGCAGCAAAACGGCGATTGCAAAACACATCGAATCAACTAAGATCACTTTACCTCCGTCTCACATGACGCTTCTCAATTTCCATCTCAATCAAATGAAACAATCAGGTCAGCTCATGGTTTTCAAAAACAATTACATGAAACCAGATCCTAATGGTCCTCCTAAACGCGGCCGTGGCCGTCCTCCGAAGCCTAAACCGGAAGCCGGTTCAAGTAACGCGGCGGCGGTTCCAGCTCCGTCAACTTATCCGTCGAGGCCTCGTGGTCGTCCTCCAAAGTCTAAGGAGGCTCCGTCAGAGCCAAAAGAAAAAGCACCGAGTGTTTCGGGAAGGCCACGTGGACGACCACCGAAGAAGCAGAAGACGGAATCAGAGACGGTTAAGGCGGCGGATGCACCGAAGGCTAAGCCTGAAGGTGAGCGTAGAGGTCGTGGAAGGCCACCGAAAGTGAAACCAGCGATGGTTCCTGTTGGTTGTTAGAGTAAAATGCAAATGCTCCTTCGTTAGAAAGAGAGTTTTTTTATTAAAAAAAATTTAGTATTTTCCTAATTTCGTTTAATTTTTTTTTTAATCGTGTGTTGGTTATTATTTAGGTGGTTGATTAGAGGATGTAATTCGACTTTGCATTTGGTGTGTGATGTAAATTTCGGGTCATGACCCTTTTATAAAGTAACGGTTGGTGTATTTATTCGTTTTGATATTTTATTATGAGTGATTCAAGAGTAACAATTAGAATTGGTGGCAAAACAGTAAAAAATTATTAACGTCTGTTATAAGAAGTTCAATGAATGTTGGAGAATTTGGTAACATGATTTCAAAATTAGAAAGCAGAATTGAGAAGTTTTGACTTTTGAGGTGGTGTTGTTCAGGCGGGAGGTAGAGGTTTCAAATGATAGCAAAAGTTTGGAAACGTAGTTGGTCCCCCAGTTGGATTAATGAATGAGAGAATACACATGGTTGGATTGATCTAATGATGGTGGTATTGGTATTTGGTAACCTTTCGCACTTTTGAGGTGATTGAAAAAGCTTGTTTTTTTGGTTTAAACTTTGAAGAGAAGAGGGCCCAAATTCAATTTCATGAACCTATAATGGGCCTAAGGAATACAGTGAAACGGAAGTAGAAAAACACTTCGGCAACATGTTTGAGCCTCCTTGACAAAAGGCTCTCTAGCTAAATATAACTCGTATAATTCCATAGTCTAAGTTGTGTTAGCTTGGAGAATAAGCACTCTTAAGCATACAAAATGGTTCACGTTTTTTTGGCTTTTTGCTAATTGCTTGTTTGGTTACTGTTTTAGTTTTCAATTCGGGCGAGTGGACTATAGCTTTTTATCATTTCATGTTAAAAACCATATAGTCTCTTCAATTGATCAGAGTGTTTTTATTGTGAAAATTTCAACACTAGTCTAGATAAGTATTTTAACAGTAACATATCTTAGCATAATAAAAAAATGAAAAGACAAACGAACATACGAGTATAGAAGAAACAATCTTTAATATACAAAATTTTCACTTCTAGTTATATCTATATAAACAGTTAGATAATAGTCAAATCTACAACAGTATGTAAAATCAATTTACAAACTTTGAAATCTTGATAATATTCCAAAGAAAAATATATAAAAAAGCTTTTCAAGTTCCAACAGTTTAAATATCTATTCTCATAACCAGTAGCTAGGTAACACCCTTTTCACATGTACACGAAAACCGGCATGTAGTGAACAAAACCAGTGTAATCAGTTTGGACACAGTGCAATCTCGTGAGTAAAAGACAGACGTTTATTTTGTTGCTGTTAGGAAGGTGGAAGGACTTGAGTGGGACCATTAACAAAAATTTAAAGACACACACAAAAGTGTGTATGAAATGAGTATAAACACATTGATCTTGGTCTATTGGATATTAGATATGTCCTACTCATTTCACGGGTCGAGAGAGAAGAAAAAAACACAACAAAACTTATAACCACTCCATGTGATTGTGAATTTGTGATCTATATCTACTATATTCATACATACATATTCTTACATTAATATTATATATTTATATTATCATGCAGTTTAATTAGTAAATCATATTAAAGATAAACATCTCTCTGAACCCGTTAAACTCGGATTAAAACATGAACCAAATTTAAAACATCACGAAATCGTAATCATCATATCCACATAACAAAGATGACCAAGCATAAACCCCTAGTACATTTTAGAAGCTTGCACTTAACTTTCAATTTCCTTCCACACAAAACTATTACTTATAAGTTATAACTTAAAACCCCATAATGTATTAAATTATCAAAGAAACACTTAAATCAAAGTTAAAACTCCTCATGGTCTCATGCCTCATGGTCATGGAGCTCCATTGTTGGCATAAGTGTTAACAAGGGCAAGAGCATTACTCGTTAACCTCTTCACTTCCTCGAGCCGATCACAAACGGTCGTCTTAATCACTCCTCCTTCGTCTATATCTTCAAATCCATCCGTACACGTGTCCTCATCCGTCAATGCCGCACTCATCCACGTCTGCACGTTACTCATCTGAAACCTAAACGTTTCCACCGACCTCCGAGCCGCCATGACGCCGCCTCTGCCGCCGTTCATGTCGCGTAGCTGTCGGAGAGATCCTCTCATCTCGTCCACCGCGTCTTCAACGTTCGAAACGCAGTCGCGGATTACGGCTGAAGCAGTTTGGTGGCCATCGCCGGAGTATCTAGCCGCAGAGGTTACGGCGGCAGAGCGTGAGAGTTTGGAGAGATAAGCCGCCGTGGATTTGGCTTGCGATAGTGAAACGCCGATTGCGAGCTTGGCTAGCCTCGCCGGACTGTCTTGAACGGCGGAGGCGTAGCCGGCGAGTGACGTGAAGCAGACGTCTGGATATAGAGTCGCGTTGCAGCTTGTTCGGATGAAATCTAGATCGTTGGTTGTTGTAGTGTTTGGTCGTGGAGGCAAACGGACGGCTGAGATTGTTCCGCATATGAAGAGAAAGGTGGTGAAGAATAGAAACGTCGTCGGATGACTTTGGCCTACCATTTTCACAATTTTCCGAAATTGCTTCTTCTCCTGTAAGATTTTAGAGGAGTGATTGGCGGTTTATGTAGGCCTTAGTGATGGGTTTTGATGTTACAATTTTATCCATCCTTATTACGTGGATTTACTAGATTGCCACTAATCATTTTGTCTGAAATGTGTGAAATCACGGATTATGTTTTCGGTTAAAAGGGTAAGACCTATATAGTTTCACATTACGATGAGCCATGTCGTTATGGAACTACATACTTTTTTGATAGGAGGAAAGTACATACTTGGTCCTATCCTTTCGATAATTCCAAATAAATACATTAGTTCAATTAATGTATTTCTACCTCTATATGTATCTAAAAGATGGAGAAAAAGCAACATTAAAACAAATAAACTAGCTAAATTTTCAGTACTCTTATCGAACAATATTGTGTACAAATTGATTACAGCCAATTAAAAATCAAAATTGATATTGCATCACATTGGTCGATAGTATATATTATACAAAACAGTGAACTTTTTATATTATAATTATTTTGGGGAATAGTTGGAAAAGATAAAATACTTTTTGCGACGAATTATAAGTTCGAAGTCTTACAAGGTGTTTAAGCTAGATGGTGGGTAGCAACTTTTAATTAGGTGACAAAAAACCTCAATATTCGAATGGGAGCCACAAACGTTGGGAGATTCCATGGAGATTCGCCTACCTTCTTCATTTTGCGATTGTGGGATGGTGTTTTTATTTGTCGTACCAAAGTAATTAATACGTTAGAGTAATGTTCGGTCACGCAATACTTAAGCACCATTCATCTCCAATTATTTTAACGATACAAATTAGTGCGTACATATGATGATGTGAAGGTTCAGAGGAGGTTACATATCCAAAATAGTTTATTAAATGTATTTTCATTTTTAAGATATAGATACAATAGACGTTCAAAACGTTTTCCCCCATTTGTTTTGTATAAAATTTCATTTCTTTGAATTAATTCTTCGGCTAATCTAAATACCAAATGAATGTTTACTTGATTATATAGCATAACCTATTGATAACAAGCAAAACATTTCTAACGTATATTATAGGATTGTAAACCTTTTGTTATACTATAGGATTTGAAATCGCATTATGGCCATGTTGTTAGGAAATTATCAATTTGGAAATAATTTATTATGGTATTAGACCAACCATGCTTTTTATGGAGACGTAGAAAACTCAATATTATGGTACTTCTCTGGAAAGCAAATACTTAGGGTTATGATGACTTATATGTATAGTGGGGAGGTAGCCGACTCATTGTTATTGCGTAAGACAGTGTATATATACACGCATACTCGTTAGATATAAATTAATTTTCCTTTTTATCTACGGTTAAATATATTTTCTAATTGATGTATATAAATATTTTTAGTTTGGTTACGAATGTGATGGAGATGGAGTTAACGACTTCTGTTGTCTTCTTTTAGAAGATAAAGAAGACGGCCATTAACATTATCTAGCTATGACTATGAGGAGGGTCCATTTTGGTTTAGTCAACTTTTCAAGAAACAAAATAAAATCAAATACATAATCATGGTTTTAGTTGATTACGGACTTTAACTTTGTAGAAATTCGTGGCGAGATTGGCTCAAAATTTACACTTGATTAGTTAAATTTACAAGAAAAAAGAAAAATAGATAGGATATAAGCCACATGGGAACATTTATTCTATGGTGATATCTTTTGCTCCTAAAGCTCTCTCTAATTAACTACCTACCTGTTTTTTTTAACTAACAAATTCGACCAAATTATTTTTGAGAAAAACAAACGATGTTTTTATTGATTAATAAAAAAAAAATTTACTGGTTCGAGATTTTGAAAAAGAATATTGGATTATTAATGTTCATTTTACTTAGAGTTGAATTTGTGAGGGCGAGTGAAAAAAGTAAAAAGAAAAAAAAACATTATTGACCAGCTATCATTCATATCCATTTCCAACGTTCAAACGCCGTGAATTATGGCAACATAGATGATACAATCATGCACGGGTTGTTTAAAAGCTGTGGTTAGGTTTTGAAACAAAAGTTCTCATGCAATTATTACATTTTCTTTTTGATTTCAGACTCTTTTTCAGAGGCAGTTTTTTTTCTTTTCTATGGATAGTTTTTATTGTCTACAATATGATAATACAAGAAAATTAATTTAAAACTCATTTGATGAAATCTAAAAATATTCTTTCGATAAAAAAAATCTCGTATATTGCTGAAGAAAATATAGAATGCTTGAAAGTATAGTTGTTCAACAAATTTGACCGTAACTTATATTATATGCACAATCCATCTAGATTTATTCATATGGTATCAACAAATATTTTTTGTTTGAGAAAGTTAATTTTCTTTATAATGTATACATGTATAATAAATTTTATTTGTTTTGTTGTGAATAGTCTTCGAGTCTTCGTAACTTATATGCACAATCCATCGATCTAGATTTATGCATATGCATAATAATCTAACATGTATATATTTATATTGTTTATAGATTATAATTATTTAAAACGGTTCGATAATCCTAATCAGTAGTGAAAATTTTTTCAAGATTAAATTACTAAAATAAAGTTTATCAATATAACATGAATTGCGTGGAATAATGAAAAAGAGGGAATATAGCTTAATATTGTTCTCAAATAGTTTTTATATATATAGTTTTTCACTTAAATATTATTTAAATTATTAAAAATAAAAAGTGTTTTAAACAAACAAACAAATTTTTTTAATACAATATTATTGTATATGAAAATATATAATTTATTGTTATTTGTAATTATATTTAGTCGTGCAAAATAGCAATAAGCCACACACATATACTTAGTAGTAAAAAGGAGGTAAAATATTTTTTTGGCATTTTCCAACGTACATAATACTCCCTCTGTTCCTAATTGTTTGATGTTTTGAAGTTTTCACACATATTAAGAATTTAATTATTGTTTAATCATTTGAACATTAATTTTGATATTACATATTTTAAAATAATTATCAACCAATAGTAATCTAAGAAAGTTAATTATTTTCAATCATTACGCCTTGAAGTTTACGATAAATCAATAAAAATAAAGAACAAAGGTAGAAAATCAATCTTTGTGGGACAAATAACAAAAACTAGAACATCAATCTTTTAGGAACAGAGGGAGTATATGTTTAGCAAAACAATAAAAAATATGTCACTTTGCTTATATATAAAAAAAGATTAGTTAAACCCTTAATTATTTATCTTGGTATCCTAATGATCATATCCTTACACCTTGTTTTTTTTTTTGTGCTTTATCAGCAGACCTAAAATCACAGTCAAAGTCATTGTTTCCAGAATGGTGTGACACATATCGGGAAATCCGAGAAGTATGTCCATGGTAAATTTTCTCCAAAAGAAAAAAAAATTGATATGTAAAACAAATCAGATTTTTCAGGATATTTAGAACTTGCATGTTTGATTTTTAAGATATTTAGAACTTACATCTCCTATTTTAGTATACGGTTTGAAAATTGGAATATCGCACACAATGGGATGTCGATGTAATGCTTCAACAACTTCTTCAAATTTATCCAGTGTGATCGCATCTCCGATGTATCCTAGTAAGGTTGAAGATCTTCTTCACAGGTTTGGCGGAAAGGGTGTGCATCTTCTCTTTCAATTCCATTCTTGCTGATGAAGTCCAATGTATCCTTCACATGTAGAGGATAGCAAAAGTGGGCTGACTTTCTAGATAAACAACGTAATTTCGGTCTAGTAAAATCTACCAAGTATTGAGCTGAATACTCAAAGTAAATTGTGTCGTGCATCGAGAGGTGTCTTACGGTGGAAACAAGCTCTGCAAATACAATTGCCCAACAACAATTTAAAGAAAAAAAATGTCAATGTATACTTTTATTTTATTTAAATATAAGATGTAAGATTAATTGAACATAGTATATTTATAATGTACTGACATACCGTGGTCGTCTTGGTTTTTGACCATAAATCGTCTTTTATTAATGACATATGTACATGATCCTAAGAACCGAAAAATAAATAGTATTAAAAAAAAAGGTTGAAGAATCTAGATAGACAAAGAATATTTTATTTGATCAAATGTTACCTTGTTTGCAGTCCAATGTGCATATTAGATGTTATATTTGCAACCAGTGATAGTTATATCCTAATATGGGACCGAACCAAAAATGTATTGAAACTGACACAACTCCACGTAGTCCAGAACATCGTCAACGACGTCGAAATCGGTTGGCACTGTTAATAGTTTATCACTATCATTAGTTTCTAAATGTGTCAATTCATAACTAGTACAAACTTTGAACAAACACAATGTTTTGTAACACAAAAATTGGCAAGAATAAAAAAAAATAGTGAGAGGATTAATCATGTAATTCATTTGACTATGATATCCGGTCCCTAGAGACCTCTGCAAAGGTGAAGCTGCGAAAAAATGTCACAAAAATGTCTTATTGAATCAACACTAACGAACGAATATGATTGGTTTTACTGTTACTACTATTGGCGACAGCAACAGAAACAATAAATCAAATCTCTCATTGCTATTGTTCTTCAATTACGTGGGCCTAATTATGGGCTTCTAATGAAAAACGCCTGAAGTTAGTAGTAGTATTGTCATTCTTTGCTTACAGAATTTATATATGGGCTTTGACGCCCAACATGTTATAATCCACAAGGGAATTTGGGCCCAAATAGCTCTCGGCGAGTCAAATTATTCAAACATTTGGCTTCTTTGTAAGAAGAAGTGGCATTGATTCATCTGATCATCATTGGCTTAAAGGATAAGAAAAAAAAAAGAGCAGAGCAAATTCTAAGAACTATGATGAGAGAGGACGAAGAAGAAGAAGAATGGCGATCAGTTCACGAGGTTTTATTAATTGTTCTTCCATATCTTCATTCCTTGTTTGAGCTTCTCTCTATGACTCGCGTTTCTCGATCGCTCCGAGACGCCATCAGAGACGAAACCGCCTTGTGGACAAACTTCGTTATTGAACCACCGTTGAGTTCTCGTCTGACCGATGATATTCTATCGGAGATCACTTCGAAATCCGCCGGAAAGCTCAAGACTTTGATTCTCCGTCAGTGTCTTAGGGTCACCGACAAGGGACTCCGTCGTGTGGTGGATGCTAATCCTCTCATCACCAAGGTAATTTCATTTGATTCATGATGAAACCCTAGAATTAGATCTATCTGGAATTGGAATCTGAAACGTTTTCTCTCAGATAATTGTGCCTGGATGCTGTGGATTGACTCCTAAAGGAATCATGGAATGTGTTGAAAGCTTGTCCAAGAACAATCATAAACTGGAGACACTTCACATCAATGGCGTCCATGGCTTTACCAAACAACATCTCTCAGTACTTTCTACTTACCTTTCTTCCGAGGGAACGATCGACGTCGAGGTCTGCCCCAAATGCGATCAAGTAATGATGATTCCGCCTTGCTCAAGAGAATCATGTGTAAGTAAAACTCTGAAGATAAAGATCATTGAGAGTGTTTTGAGACTCTTAATACTTACTAATATCATGTTTTTTTCTTGGTTGAATGAAGAACCAGAAGCAAACGAATGAGCGCAAGTGCCGGGGATGCTGGCTTTGTATCCCTAGATGTGCAGAGTGCTTAGTGTGCCTTGTTGCTCCAGATACTGAGAGTCAAGAAGCAGCCTGTGGTAATGACGACGTTCTGTGTCTTGAATGTTGGCTTGTGCTTCCCAAGTGCAGGTTCTGCAATAAACCCTATTGCACTATTCACAGCACTCGTCGACATGATATTGCAATCACTGATGCTGCGTCTCGGCCTTCCTTTGAATGCGAAGCTTGTTACTATAGGGCAGGTACAAACCCATATGAAGTCGACTATCAAATCTAAAAGAAAAACACTTGTTGTCTGCAACTTTTTCTATTTTGTATATGAAAAGCTTGGATTGTGAAATATTCAGCCATACTCATGGATAGAAATAAGAAAGAAAGAATCAAGCTTTCAACACAGGAATTAGTTACAATCATCGATGATCTTGAAGCCGAACCTACAAGCTACCCTCAATGAACTCCTTGTTAAAAGGAGATGATCAACAAAACTGGGTAGACAACTAGACTCAGAGAGAACAAACCCACCGAGCTCTTTTGTCTCAAGTGTTTCAAAGAAAGAAGTTAAAATTTAGAGAAACAAGAATCGAGAGTTGTTGTTGTTGTTCTTTTCAGAGTTTCTACAAGAATACTAAGGCAACGATCAGTAGAAGGGAGAGTAATGTTAAGTCACTAAAAGATGCGTGAGGGTGATAGTACTTTGGGATGCATCCAGATGTTGTAGAGTTCGCTGAGGGGGCTAACGCCGTGGTGTTGTTTCCAATTGTCTGATTGCTTTTCGCACTGCAAAACGTAGAGAAGTCGATACAAAAGAGGTGAGCTTGTTTCGTTTGGATATTTAAAGTTGAATCTTTTGTGAGGAGAAGAATAAGTATGTTACCTTCCAGGGAACACACATGTTCCTCGACCTGCAGAGACAATCAGAAGAACACAAACCCCATTTTCAGATACAGCGCAATAGGTATTCTCTTTGCTAAGAGGTGAATGATAATGTTTGAGAGATTCACATACTTGGATCAGTGGTGGTGACTGTAGCCACTCCTTTGAAATCACAGCTTCCTGAAGCTTTTCCCATCTTCTGGTAATAAGCATTAAACGCATAAGTAGAATGTGCAACCACATCGTCGGGTTCATAGCATGACTCTCCCTGCATCAGTGCCGAGCAATCAACTTTCCCTGGACCGCAAGCCCAGTCAAGAGCTGCCTGAAGCATCTTTTTATCAACCTTTTCCTTCGCTATACAAAATGTCTGGTTTGTAGTATCATTTGCCAGAATCGCCCCTGCGCCCGCCAAACGCAATGTGTAAACCGGAGTCCCGTTTGTATAAAACAGCCCCCAGTTCTTCTCAGATATCGGTCCTGGCCTCGTATCCTCATTGTAAAGCTCGTAGATGTATGTAGTAACTGCAGTTCCCGGGTGTTTTGGCGTTCCAGTCTTGTTGATCACGTGCTGGATCAAATTGCTATTGTAAGTGTTTGCGTTCTCTACAGTTGCGTCGTGCTCAGACGGGCCTCCTTTAGATGGCCATCCGGATTCTGTGACCACGATTGGAATGTTGGTGAAGTTAAGATAAGACATTGCAAAATATGCAGCGTCGACAATTGCATCAAAAACATTTGTGTAATGTAACAATGTGTTGGCGTCTACAGCTTCTTTGTTGGCTTGGAGAGGCTGGAAAAGCGCATAGTCAAGCGGTATAACTCCATTGGACTGAACATAGTCGAAATACGGGTAAACGTTGAGCAGCAATGGCGATCCTGTGGACTGTAGGAATTTGAGGAGAGGGACAATAACTGGATCCCAAGTCTTGTTGAAGAAAGCTTGTGAAGGAGGGAAAGAATCAAGAATGATGGTTGAAGAGTGAGGGGTCGATACTTTGATCTGACGGTCAAGATTGGCGGTGATGAGAGCAGCTTGGATGTATTTGAGGGCTGAGACAAGGACAGACGCTGCGTTTGGTAGGCTGGTTAGGACTTCTGATCCAACCGCGATTGTGGTAATGTTGGTCGCAGGGTAATAAGCAGCTACGTTTCTAGTGACCCAATTGGCTGCAGTTGCGTTTGATTGGCTGATACCAAGAAGCTGGTCGTTAGGTACTGAGATTATAACTTGTACGCCGGTGTGAGCAAACGCGAGAAGCATTGAGCGGTCTGCGTCATAGAGGCGGACGCGGTTGATGTTCTGTGATTTGAGGAGTGCTACTACTTGTGTTGGACTTGGCATGTTTGTCACTTCAGTACCAATATTCACACCGATCAAAGAATCTGAAATAACATATTAAAGACGAAACAATTCAAATGAAAATCCGTAAACTGGTCGGTCCAATTCTCAACAATAAGCATTAAAACCAAATTGCTAATGCAAAAAGAGTCAAAAAGAGTTTCGTCATTGGCTGGTGCGTAAAAGTCGAAAATGCCCTTAGACTGAAGTGTATGGTTGCAACCAGCTCTGAGGACAGTTTGGTCCAGTTAGATTGCAGAGTACTACTACTGAGAAGCATATGAGCTGGGATGCAATATCTTGAGATTCTCATTCCCATTAAAAAGAATGGGAACATTGGAATATTAATTTAAAAAAACTAAGATTTTTCAATTAAAGTCTTCATCTTTTCATGGGGAAAAGTAAAACCCTTAATGGAATGAAGAACACCAGAATCATCTAAAAAGAAAAATAAACATTTCCATGAAAATTAAGGAAGCAAAGAAACAACACATTTTCTAATTAGTGAGCATAAACAGAGATTAATTGTATAAACAGAGAGATCCTATAGAGAAAGAACACACAAAGAAACAAACAAACTTAAACCACTAAAGTAGAAGAAGATTCCACAAGTGAGATTGAGAGAAGAAACATAGAAAAATCAACAGATTTATTAAGCAAGAAAATGGGTTTATTATTTAAGCTGATTTAAAGATTCAAGAGAAGAAATTTCAGAAATTATTACCTTGAGAGAGAGCAGAACTTGCAAAGAGGAAAAGGAAAAGGAGAAGAAGGGCAGCCATTGATGGAGCTTCAAATCTTGGGGAGATGCTTTGATTTGCTTCTGAAGCATAAAGACAAGACAGGTCTCGAGGTTCTCTGTAGTAACCCACGAGAACAAAATCCTACCAAGACAAAAATTATATTTATAAAGAAATAGGTATAGAGAAAAAGAAAGTGAGAAATTAAGAATCAGTTCGCTTCAAAAGATTTATATATAACTTGTGGCCTAAAGGCTAAAGTTGGGTTTCTGAGTTTTTTTTTTTAGCTGAAAAAGATGTATCGTACCACTAAATATTAATAATTTATTTTTCGGTGGAAAAAATTGCTTTTATTTTCGTTTTAAACTAAGCTTACTCACTTTTAAATAAATGTTCTAGGATACTTTTTTTGTTTCTTCAAATTTATGGTAAATAGATTTTTGTTTGGTGTATTTTGTAGCCAATGTTTTAATTGTCCTTTGCAGTGGCAGTGAATCACAGTTGATTCAGTTCAACGGTCATCTATGCATTTTAAAAAATATCCTTGTTTCTTTTAATTTTTGAGTCTGAACTATTTATATATCACACGAGTAATCCCATTTATTTCTGTTTTTTCTTTCTTTTTTGTCAACTTCTTTTTTTGTGCAACATCTATTTTCATTTGTTAACTATTTACTGTTTTTTTCCTATAAAGAATTTATATGAGAGATTCTTTAATCATTTACAGGCTGGAATTTTTTTGGTTGCTTTTTTTGTCAGTCTTTTTGTTGCTTATCTTTTCTCTTTTTATTTTTTCTTGTTATTTTCTTCTTGCCATTTCGGGTCTAAATAAGGTTCGTATCTCTAAAATATTTACTTCAATACATCGTCAATGTTGATAGATAATAAAACAAGTAAAATACAACAATTAAAATAGGATATTGTTTTAGTCTTTCAAAGCCAAATGTTATGTCGAAAAGAAAATGAACATTATATAAATTGTTTTTTTTTTGGTCAGCAAAATGCAATGATCTTTAATTTGTTTACTATGTGCGAAAAAATGATGTAATAATAATTAAACAGCAGCATTTGGGCTCATAATGGGTTGAAAGATATAAGTCTGGGTAGGCCCAACATTACTGATATAAACAAGTTCCATTTTCCGGGTCGGGTCATAAGATCCGAATTTACAAAGGCATTCAAATTTCACTCTCTTTGTTCAATCTAAAACCCTAAGTCTTGTTTGTTCGATCAGCATTCGCGAGTAACCTGAGTTTGAAATCGTTGAAGATTTGAAGACACTTAGATCTGTCAGAATGGGCAAACCAAGCAAAGGGTTTGTCTTTTCTTCTCTTGTTCGAACAATTATTCATCTGAAGCTCAGATTTGTTTTGTTTGTTTTGGAATGGTTTTGTGTTTGAGATTTGCTTTACCGATGCCAAGTTTCTGACATAATTTTCACTTTCAGATCGGAAGTGACGACGAAATCTGATAAGAAATTCGATAAGAAGCTTCAATTTTACACAAGTAAGCTCGGATTGTGTCGAATTCGAAGTTTTTTCTCCTAAACAAAGAAATTGCAATGTGTCTGAAACTTTGTTTGTGAATGCAGAGGTCAAAGATACAGTTACTTCTTTGTCTGTTCAAAAGGAGATTGGCAAGGTAAACACTTCCTCTAGGATTATGTTTCCCATTAGTGAAAGTATCAATCTTTGTTAGAAATTATTAAGAATGTTGCAATACTGCAATTTGAGTCCATTGTTTAGTTCAGGCATTGTAGGAATTGTAGGAGTTTTTAAATGAGCTTACTTCTATTATGGAGTTGGTTGCTATTGTGAAAGCTTTGAACTTTTTATATATATTTTGATTTGCTAATGAGGGTAACTCTAATTACGGTTTGTTCAGAAGAAGAAAATCCGCAGCCGTCAAAAGAAGTTAAAGGCGTATGATCTCACCAACCTCTCGGAGTTTCTTCCTGAGTTTGCTGCTTTGCAGAAATCAGCTCTTCCTGCACCCGAGTTGAAGATGAACTGTAAAAGGCGACAAAAGCTCGTGTAAACTCTCCATTTCCACTGTGGTTGAACTTTCTGTTGTGATTTGAATCTGAAGGATTGTGTTGTGTGTTTTTAGATTGACGGAAGGGGAAAGATTGAACAAGGTTCTAGACCATCCAGCTTTTCAAGCTGATCCAATTGGTTCGATATTTCAGCATTTGCAAAGTCAACAGCCACCGGAGGAAGAGAAGCCGAAGAAGAAGACTAATACAAATGGAAGCAAGAAAAGGAATAAGAAAAAAGGAAAGGCTGAATCCATGGATTTCTGATCTTGTCCTATAGAGATAAGTTTACTTATGTTTTGTTTTGTTGTTTTGTTATAGTAGTAACAAAAAACATGATCTTGGAAATGAAGAATCTTTAAATTTGATCCTTGTTATTGTGCAAATGACACAAATTTTTCATAAACCTATAAAATGTGCTCGAATCACCAACACAAATCATCTCATTAATCACACCATACAAGAGAGAAACCTAAATTTGTAAACTTATTTTATGGTTTCAAGCTAAATCTTCTGTGGAACACAAATGATCACGAGAGTGGTTCACTGATCTCCAGGAGTTCATTGCGGAGTCCTGTAAAGACGAGAGAGTCTGTTTCTATCGGTCTGAACTTGATGAGCGCTGAAGGAACAAGCTCTTCGTCCTCTAAGGTTATTGGTTTCTGTCCCGGGGCTGGAGTATGTGGAATCACACGCCGTTTAACCAGTACAGGATCAAGAAGCTCAAACTGCAAACTTGGTTCTTTCAAAGCAGAGCTCACAAACTGAGAAGACAACAAAAAATCACAGAAATATCAAAAACTTTTGCCTTGATTGAGTAAAACCCAAAATGGTGTGTGCCTTTTTAAAGAGAATTCAGATGTTAACCTCATAGAGAGCAATAGTAGGTTCCCATGGAGCAAACACACCTTGAAGCACAACTCCGTCTGGAAACTGCACTCTTATCATACTTCTTTTGTATCTCTTTCTAGCTGCTTTTGCTTGTTTCTCCTTATAAGATCGAGGAATCAAAAGCTGTGATTCCGCAATCTTTTTCCTCCGTAAATCCGCTTCTCTCTTTATTTCATCCGCCGAGAGACTATAGAATGAATCAGGTACCTCTATTCTCGATGCTACGTTTTCAGAAACCGAGAAAAAGACGCGAATCTGAACCAAGAAACAAAATAAAACCATTCTAAGAACAAGTCTCACCAAAAATGTGATCAAGCAAAGAACTATACCTCTCTATCTATCTTCTTTGGAGCCACAGGTTCCATAACCTGAACAGAAGATCCTGAATTCTCTGTCTTTCTCTTTTCTAGAAACCCGACAACTTTACTGATCAAATTCGATTGTTCTTCACCAGGGACATCCATAACAGCCCAAATCTCATCATTTTCCTCTTTCAATTCAAAACCAACCAGCTCAAGAAGCTCAACACCTCCCGCAACATCACCAATGGCTTCTTTAATCTTAGCATTGCTCATTCTAACCTTTCTAAACTTAGCATTCTCAGGTTCTTTAACTATGTTCTTAAACAACCTAAGCAAAACATCAATGGAGCTCTCACTTGGCTTCCCAGAGAGATACACAACCACAAGTTTCTCGATTTCGGATTTATCATTATCATTAGTATTATCCTTCTCAAATGAAGATTCGTCTCCATTAGTGTTCCCAAGACAGCTCTCGACATGAACAGAGACTTCTTCCTCTGACGTGAATGGATTTTTACAGATCGGACACTCGAACATATTCAGAGAATAACCATTCTGAGATCTGTTCGAAGACGTTATCAAAGCACCGAACGGGTCAAACCCATCTTGTGGAGCACGAACCGGGTCAGGATCCGGGTTTCTCGTTGACCCACTAATCTTCTGATCGGAGGAGGATATGGGTTTCTCAGGCAACGGCGTCGAAGTAGGATTAGGATTGGGTTTGGGTCTAGGAGTCGGATTGGGAGCTTGGGAAGAGTTAAACCGGTTATGAATCGGGTTAACGGGTCCAGGTGCAGAGGAAGAAGAAGATCCGAGAACCCTACCTTGGCCTTTGAATTTGCCGGAAGAAGAAGAGAGATTGACTTTTTTCATGAAACCCTTTAGCTTATCTTTAACGTCATCCATCTTCTTCTTCTTCTCCGTGTAATCTCAAGCTAAAAATAAAAAAGCTACAAACTTTTTAAATTAAAAATCTGTGTCTGAAAAATCAGAGGATGATCTTCTTCTTTGGTCGTCGAAGACTTTTTGTGTTTGTTCTGTTTTGCTTTGCTTCTCTCTTCTTTTTGTGTTTGTTCTGTTTTGCTTTGCTTCGCTTCGTAATTAAGCCGAATAAAAATTTGACCTTGCTGCGTCATAATTCTAATTAATGGGCCTTTTCAGGCCAAATCATTGTATTGATTACTAATACCAACAAGTTTGTTTCTTTGGGTCATCTCATATTGGCCCAAGTAAAGTTAATAAACAACAAGCCTTTGCACTACATATCTAATTTTATTTTATTTTTTGGATTTTTTTTTATTTAAGAATAATAGTATCTAATAAGACCACACACACACAAAAAAAAAAGGTTTTTCTTTACCTGATTCTGTTTGCAATAGAGAAAAATATAAGATGAAATTGTATCTGAAGTTTTTCTTTTTTTTTTTTTTTTTTTTTTTTTTGAGCAAAGGAAATTGTAGCTAAAGTTTATCGCTCTTTTTGGTTGATGATGATGGGAATGAACTCGTCCAACTTTTGGAAAATGTAGTTTTGTTCCTTACCTCTCTGTTTAATGTAAAACATCAACAAAAATCATAAACATAATCTTTATAAAAATCGAGACTATATAGATGATAAAAATTTACGCTAGGAAAGTCCTTGTGAATCTAGTCTTTTTCTGTATATCGAGTTTTGTTAAGTAAGCCATGGCTACTTTAACATTGGATAATTTTAGCAACCTTTTTTTGGTTTTTTTAAGAACGTAAAATAGAAAGGAAGCATAAAATCAAATGATGTAATGATCCACACACAAAAATGTTTTTTGTGTAGCTGCATCTTTTTTGGCCTAGGACAATATCGAACGCATAAAATGAAAAGAAATACAAAAGAAGTAAAACATTTCAAACAAATTTTAATCTACTTCAGAGCATAGGTCGAATAATTGATGATAGAGACTGTGTCACGTAAGCTGATTGTTCCACCATTTATGCTTTTAGCTAGTTCTCTCCTACTTTTTTTCGAAACATAATGATATAAATTTGAACACTTTATAAAGTTCTGTTTACTAAATATTCATATATTTTAGTATGATTAGTATCTAATTCAATCAACTACACCTACCATTGACATTATTTTACTTTAAATCAACGTGGATGCGAGAATACGTTGTAATGAGTTAAGATTATAAGCATTTAGAGAAGGGGTTTCAGAACTTATAGTTGTACGAACATGAATAGACTTGTTTGATTAATATATAATAGAAATGATACACCGATGCGTTTTGCAAATGAGAAAGCTAAGAGAGAAATTGAAGATAGTAATAGTTTTGAAAGAACAAAAAACTATTTATATACTGGAAATAAGAAAATGTATAGCTAGTTTTGGTTTAGATTCAAAGAACAGAAACATACATTGTTTTGTCACGAACGGTAACACAAAATCAAGAATAATTCATTTAATCTACAATATTAAGTGATTATGATAATATATATATATATATATATATATATATATATCATAAATAAATTGCATATGCGTCACTTTTAAATGTTCTTACGTAAAGATACGATCACAAATCTAAACGGCGAGAGTTTTCTATACATTTGAAAAATACTAAAACTTAAATTAAAGTGGGTCAAAAAAGAAACATCCTTTAGGATTATAGTGGAGAATATGAAGAATCTCTTCGCTTTTCTTTCTCTTAATTCTTTTAAAAAAACATATATTGATGATACAAAGAGTCAAGATGCGAAAGGCAAAAGCCCATAACGTTATTTACTTCCCACCTGATATATTAGAAAAAACATTAATAAATGATATAAACAACAACATAAAAAGTCGGATCATAGTGCCTTATCTTTGGGCTCCATTACATATTGATCCGTTAATCATAAAAATATTTGATTGTGATGATAATGTTCATTAGATTAGTTAGGGATGGGTCATTTCATTTACCTTTACCTCTCTCGCACGATTTTGCCATAAAAGAGAGAAATACGACGAGTAACGTAACTCCAGCAATTAAGCCAACTATGATTGCAAGTGTTTTCTCTATCTCATCATCATCATTGTTACGACTCCCACCTAATTAAATCCCAAAAATAAAACATTTTTAACAATACAATTATAAAAAATATTACATGCATATTTTATAAATTCTATGCAAAGAAGAAGTTGAAAATAAACGAAAAAACAAATCTTGAAAATAGAAACCTCTACTAATAAGAGAAAAAAAAACTTATAATTAATTAAATACTATAAAATCAAAGAAGACATTACCGTAGCCGTTAGCTCTAGAGTGTCCTCCACGCGCAGAGTAACGCGCGTAGCACTTGGCTAAGTACACGTCACCCCAAGCGGCTCCTCCACAATCCGATCTCAGCCGTCCGATCGCTTCCATCAAACAGTCTTGACACTCGGTCGCACTGAGATCTCCGGTGCACTGCGCCACACCTTGTAAATTCCCTGACACTCCTACTCTGTATGAACCACCGCTACTCGCCGCTAAATAACCAACCACCGAGTCTCTACGAGTCAACTCGTCCGAGTTATAACCAACCGGTGGTCCACAACGGCGAACCACCACCGTCTTATCTTCCACGCCGAGGAACGTCGTGTTGTCGTATTTAACGAAACAGCCTTCGAGCTGCAACGCGCCACCGCACGCCATGGCGCAGAGACTCCCGAGTCTGCTAACGGCTCGCGCGACGCATCTTGCGCAATCTCCCGAGCCGGAGGATAGATCGCCGCGACACTGGTACAATCCGTAGACGGAGGAGATGTCGCCTGAGATTCCGTTGAGGGTGAAGTTGTTGTATGTGTAGAGAGAAGCGGAGCTAACGAATGAGGTTAGTAGTGAGTTTACGTTTGACTCGTAAGGCGATCCCGGAAAGTACTTTGCTTGTGAGCAACCACCGTAGATGAAAGTATCAACGGCGGCAGATGAAAATGTTCCGAGAAGTGACGCGACGGCGATAAAGAGAACTAGTTTTGTAGCGAACATGACTTTCGACGATTGCTTTTTTTTTTTCTCTCTCTGTCTCTGTGGTATGTGGTTCGAGAAAGTATGAGAACGTCGCAACTTTTTTTATGCTTGTTTTGTTATTTTTTTTCTTTTTTATGCTTGGTGCGTTACTATATGATTATGAAACACTTTGATTATTTTATCTTATTATCATCTGTTTATCAGTATGGTTTGGTAATTGCTAATTGCTATATACTGTATTGTCAACATTATTTTACTTGGTAATGTAAATTTTTTTCTATTAAAGTACTTGGTAATCATATATATGAAAGGAGACTATCTCTCTCCATATGGTCGCCACGTCAGCATTTTAGCCTCTTCTGGAGATGCCACATCAGTTTTTTTCCATCCAATCAAAACATTTCATTAATATGAGTCAGCTTTTATTTTTAACACATCAGCTTCTAATTATAAATGTCAAATGGGGAAAACACAATAATAGCCCATGAGGGATGGCCCATATGAATTTGAAAATCTATTTCACAAGTTAATAATATATTTATTATTTAATTATATATATTATTTAATTTTACATATTGATTTTTACTAATACTAACTTATTTTGTTATTTTATGTTTTTTTTTCATGAAATTATTTCATTGGTTTTATATACTCCTAAGTTTTTTTTGGCTAATTTTTGTAATCTTAACTCAAAATATGAGTGGATAATAGTATAGTGGATTAGCTAATGGTTTGAGTAAGTTTTTCTCTTAATTTTTTGATCTATATGACACTGAGGGTGAAGAGTACGTAAGGTCATCAAATTTTGGAGGTTCTATAATCCCAACATTACCATCTATAAAATTGGATTAGGAAAGATTGTTTACGGATTGTGTGAGTGATGCATTGTTGAGTATGTTGGTTGAAAATATATTTTAATACTAAGAGTAGTTGTTCATTGTATGAGTAAATGATTAGATAATTAAAAATTACATTTATCAAAATATAACATCAAATAAATCAAAATAAAAAAAACCGGAAAAAACCGCGGCGTAAAGTGGGTGATTAACTAGCAACAAGAACAATCAAAATAATTTGTTATTAACAACTTTTAAAACAAACCCACGCTACGCGTGGGTATTCATCTAGTGTTACTAATGTAATCATCGCTTATTATTTTTGTTAAGTTAATTTTACACACATGCATTCGCGATTTAGGTGATCTTTGTTACATGAACAGATCTATCAGAGATTATAACTATTATCTTTTGATCACTAGGAATATTTCAAACTATTTAAACTGTGCCAGAATGAAAAATGTGAGTATTTTATTACCAACAAAAATATGCTAAATATGCTAGAGGTCATTTTTACATTATTCATCATATTTTTTAGCAAATACTCTGTGTGTTTTAAAATATAAAATGTTTAGGATAAAAGCACACCGTTTAAAAAACTAATTAATTTATTTATTTGTTTGTTTTTTTATACAAAAACATAATTTAATATATAACTAAAAATAATCTGGTCAATAATAAAATTTACTGCAGAATATAAATGGTCACAAAATTGAATGTATTTAATGTTTAGCATAGAAACTTGTATTATTTTTCTTTCTAAATCATCTTATATTGTGAAACACTGGAACAAAACAAAATGCCTAAAACATCATAAAATATGAAACAAAAGGGAGTATCTATTATCATAATTAGTAGAACCAATATAATTAATTATTAATAACTTGTTACTTAATAGTTTACAAATTTTCTAAGTTTTAAATTAAATAATATACAAACTCTTTTTTAGTAAGAGATTAGCTTAATTAACTTTACTTAGTTAATCTCTTTAATATATGGCATAGTTTTACTTTACTGACCAAATAAAAGAATTTGGAGTAGTTTAATTTGTTTTTCCTGTCTATTTTTCTTGATTAATTTATATTTTTCTAATATGATCTGGTTACTTCTCTTTCTCTACAAGTGGTTATTATAAATATTTTGCAATAAATTTAAGAACTTAAAAATTATAATTGTAATACTCATTTAAATAATGGGGGAGTTGAAACATGTAACGAGTGTATATATCTAACTCTATTTACTTATTGGTTAATCAAATCTACTACTTACAAATTAAAATCTTTGCCAAATAAAGAAAAGTAAATTAAAAATGTACTACTTAAAATTACTGTCCAAAAAAGATAATCAAAATTAAACTCCAATTTTAAGAAAGTACTTTAATCCATTATATGTGATAAGTTATAACACAATTTGATCTATAATATTTTTTTCATCAAAATAACTCAATTTTAACTTTGACCTTAAAATTAAAACTATGACTTGTTCAACTGTTTTCACCATTTGTACCATATTTTTGGTGTTTTCGATCCATTTTGAAACTTCTGTTGAAGGTATAAGGTTGCAATCCGCGGAAATGATGAACAAGAACCTTAATATGGCAATGAAGGACGTCGTTTTATTTAGTGTTCCTAGCCGCACTAAGCCAAGTGCACCTGGTAAACGATCTCACCTAGCTCCTAAAAACCAAAAAAAAAAATACAATCATATTGCTTATGTAGTTATGTTATTATCTAAAATTCAAAATTCAATTTAGTTTGGTTTTTCAAAAATTCAAGATACAGTTTACTTGTTTACATGATATTCATCAACTTTGATTTGAAGACATTTAACATAGATTTTATAAAATAACCATTGAGAATTTGAGATCACATTGTATAATTGTATATTTTTTCACTATGTACAAATGCTTTTTGTGATAGCCGAATATTTAGGAATGGCGGGGACAGTAGAATCCATAAATGATAGTGGGCCAAGTCATAGAGGAAGAGGCCACGATAGCCCACCAGCAGATGTATCAGCGAACGACATCGTTTAATCTATGTAATATAAAATCTTTTCGCTGTTAATTTTCATGTGAATCAATATAGGCCCAAATTTAAATAACGGGCCTCACCCAAATGAAGCTGATCATGCATGGCATGGCACAGCTCAAAATTTAATTCATATTTTCATCAATTAATTACAAAGAAAAGTTATAAAATAGTAATATATCCGATATTAATTTGATAAAATTCAACGCAAATATGTGAACGAGTATTAAAACATATTAGTAACAAAAGAAATCTTTAACGAACAGAAACACAGATAAATATACATATTTATCAAAATATTTTAAGAAATTGGGAATTAAAATTGTGAAAATTATTTCTTTACATATGTTATATTAGTAAAAAAAAAATCAGCTGCTATTAAAATAAATAATAATTAATTCTTCAAATGAACAATAAATAAAACATAAGAATTGATTAAAACTCTTTGCAACCATTAGATTCCCATAAATATAGATTAAGTTTAAGAGATCTTTCACATTTTCCCAAAATTAATGGTACTAAAGTCAACACAGCAGACTACCAATATATATATTTTTTTTGTTTAAAAGGCAAACAACACTGTTATGATAATAATAGTAATTATTGAGTCTGATTGATAAGGCAAAGCGGTACACGTATTTTAGCGGTATAAAAAAACGATATAGAAAAAGTTACAAACGGTAAGATGTAGTGGTAAGAGATATCGGTAGAAAAAACTGAAAGTTCTTATTTTGTATCGTTTTTATGGTTGAAAGTGGTATTGCGATACGATGTTACCAATCAAAACCATTATTATTATTGTTATAATTATTTAATACCATCTACATGGCTAAGATGTTGGTTGGTGACAGTGAATAAGTAGCTGGGAAAAAAACAAGTTACTCAAAATGTGAACCAAAGATTTCCAAAAGATAAAGCCAATTTTGATGATGACTCATCAACATTATTTTTATATTTTCATAATAAAGTTTGAAAATGACATGCTTTCTTTTCATAGGGGTTATATGATTAGAGTAACTTATTCTTGCTTTGTTTCTTGTAATCAATCACATCACGCCACGTATCATCTACTTGCATAATTTAGTATCTCTGAATCACAAAGCATCATGATGAAATCAAATGTCTCCATTGCAAATTCAAAGAAGAGAGAGGAAACATAAACAGAGGGAAACACAATTATACAGTTTTTGCTTGCACTCTAAGTTTATCTTCTTCCCTCTTCTTAATCATACCTTAAGAAGTTCTTGCAGAAACATTATAAACACAAACACAAGACTTCTTAAATCACATGATGTTAATCTTTTTCCTCCAAAACCTAAAAATCTACCCTTTTTTTTTTTGTCCTGCTCTGCATCGGCTTTTCGAAATCGATTTTTCGCCGTCTCAATAACTAATTGAAACCCATCTATTTTATACCTACAGAGATCCATTAGCTCATAAACTCCACTCACAATCAGCAATTTAGCAATCATCACTTCATCAACACATTGTTTCAATAGATATTGAAATAGTCTTCTCTTCCTTTGGTTGATTCATTGGTGATGAAAGTCTCTCAACCAAAACATCTAATGCTTCTTTCATCCACCAATCTCTACAAGCTTCTCTTGCTTCAGTTACATTCATCTGCAATCCCCAATAATCATACCAATCAGTAAACAAAAGCTGCTAGATATGTTTCAAAATATCAAATAAAGAGTAGTTTTTTAGCTACTGACCCAAATTCTTTGCCTAACATGTTGTTCAGGCCAAAGCTCAAGTTGTTCTGTAACAAGCATAGGGAACATTAGTCCTTCATAGTAGGTTCCTCTGCTTTTACTTAAAAAATCCCATTTCCCAAGTTGATGCTGCCAAATTCAAACAAAACAAAATTAAGAACAGAACAAAACAACAAATATCAAACAAAACAAGAAATAAAAAGATTTTAACTTTAAAATACCTCAACGTTGCCAAGAACTCCAGCTTCTTCAAGACATTCTCTTGAAGCTGCTTCTTCTACAGATTCATCAAGCTCCCAACCACCCTGAAATTTGATCAAAAATCATCAAATCAAGTCTTGTGTAAACATAAAAATCCAAACTTTTTATAAGAAGATTCTTATTGTACCTTGGGGAACATCAAGGCGTGACCTTTTTGGGAAGAGATAACAAGAACTTCTACTTCATCACTGATTTTACCATCATTAGATAGCTTGAATCTGTAAGGAACACATCTGCAAATTTCCCCAAAGAAAAATTCCATTTTAGAAACTCAAGAAAGTTTAAACCTTTTTTGGGTAAAATCTATGAGATCAGATCTATATGTACATAAAGAAGAACATACCCAACGACTTGACGACGACCTTTGTTGTATCTCTGAAACTGACGACCCGTACGAGAAGCCAAACACACCATTTTCTCAACACCCATTTTTCTTAGATAAAGAAGGAAGAGAAGAGTCTGATGTATAAAAGCAAAGATGAGCGTAACAGCTAAAACGGATCAGAGTCTGTCGAAACGAAGAAGAACCCACGAATCTTTGGTCGGTTAAAAGATCGAAAGTTTAGTTTTTGTTTCTGCTTAAGTGTTTATGATTCGATTCGTTACGCCTGAAACAAGATTTGAGAGAGAGAGAGAAGGAGAAGGAGAAGAAGAAGGAGATGAGACAAAAAGCGTTGTTTCAACCTCCAATAGCTTATCTTCTTTATATAATAAAACGGCCGCTCTTTTTTTTTTTTTTTTTAAAAAAACAAATATGAATACATGGAATTTTCTTCATTGGTCGAGAAGCTAATTAAGCTAATGTTAATTTAAGTACCATAACATATATCTAAAAGTCTAAATTTATCTCATTTCTTAAATATAAAATATAAACTTATCCCTTCTCTATCATATCCATTTTTAGTTAATTTATGTTAATATTGTTGACATATGTTTATCAAATTATCAATGATGTCATCTCTAAAGCTTTATTACATCATAATATTATCCATTAAAATGTCAATTTATTTGACAAACAATAATTTCAGCACATGGATCTTATTTCATACTTTAGTGTTTTGTATACTCGGAAATTTAATTAAAATTTTTTTATTTATTCCTCAATGAATCCAAATATGATGATGCTTTTTTTTTTTTATTATTATTATGATGATGCTTATTTTCATCGTATATACTATTTTACATTTTATACGGGAAATAATTCGATAAATTTTGTAAATTTCGGAACAATGTAGTTAGGCCCAAACAACAAGTGTTAGATATTAAATAGTAATATGGACAAAGCAACAAAACTTTGATAATTAAAAACACTTTGTATATATTGCAAGTGTGGGGCAATTTTCTGTATCATTTAACTTAACGACATATTAGCGTGCATCAATACACTTTAACAATATATGATACTCTATAGAATAATGCTACAAGTTGAGATATTTTTTGAATAACAAGCTCTGGTCACTTATTAGTCATTATTTTTTGTCTCATTAATTAGCTCTTACTGTAAAATTTTCATGGTAGTGTAGATTTAACAAAAGTAGCATGGATTTCAACAATAAACGCCCGGTTATACAAATTTGTATAGGTCAACAAAATTAAGAAGCAAGAGAATCAATTTAAGGCATAAAAGCCAATATATAATTCAACGTAAATAATAATTGGACGTTGTCCCTGTCAAAGTGTTTAAGGGGTTTCTCTGTCGCTTCGTGGTCTCGATTTGTAGGGTTTAATTGGTTAATAACGAGAGACATTAGCCATTAGGTTTTACTAATTAAACACGTAAAATTTATAAAATTAGAAACGTAGTAAAACAACAACAAAAGTAGTCTCTATCCTTACGCGGCACGTTTATGTTGACTTTGGAAGAGACATGGTCACGTGCGTCGACGCCTCCTAACCTATGTGCTAGATCGATCAAGTGCGTGTTTGAATCGCGGTTAGTCTGCGTTTGATGTATGTTCGATGTATCTACGTTTTTTTTCCTTACCTGAGAGTGATGCAGTCGTTTACATATATTACAAGTAATCCGATCGTTTTATTCAATATAAAGCTGCTAATGTATAAGGCGTGGTTTGGACCAGTTTTAATCCAAGAAGATTCATAATTTTGCTCCTTAATTATTATATACCAACCTCATGGGTCGAATATCATGAATTCATGATTATATTAAGTTTTTGTTTGACTACGATATATAGAGTCCCATGCATGGAACATACACTACGGCACAAAAAATAGGACCTACCGATGCCTTTCTTTAGCTCACTTAAACTAAAAAACTAAACGAATTAACCTCATTGCGAAACTAGTATGATATATATTAAAATGGCAAAACGACATTTGTTGTAAAATAGAGAGTATTTAGTAAGTTCAATAATGTAGTTGAAATTTAAAAACATTTATAATGTTCTCATTACTTCTATTAAGTTGATAATTAATTTTGTAAGTCCAAGTGTCAAATCAGATTGTAGAAAAATACGAAAAGAAACAATCTTGAGGATTGAGTAGGTATGGTAACATAGACATATAAGCTAAATGCACCATAAAGGTTCAATGAATTTTGCTGGAAAAAAACTATTATTATAAATTAAGACTTATCGAATATGAAACCTTCCTGCAAATGTGTGATATGTATTGTTTTAATGGTTCAACCATCAGTATTTAAATTTTAGCCACCGTTTTAGAATCTTTCCTCTTTAGTCACCCAAAAAGGATTTTCTTTCATCACCTCACATGAAACTTAAAGCATAATGACATACATCATGGTTCTTTTATTCTAATAATAATTAAAAAGATAATATATCCAAATTTGTAACATTTGACAAAGCTTCAATCATATTTATTAAGCTTATTAATCATTTATATGACAATTTTAACGATTTAATATTATTTTGATTGTTGCTATCTAGATAAGTTTGAACAATAATTTATATTCTTTTTTCGCAGGCAGGTTAAATATAGGACAGACGATTCGCATGCATATCATCAAATTATGTTACTACAAAAGGCAAGTAGATCAAGAGCCCCATAGTGATGGATAACTAAAAGTGTTATACTATTCAAACTTTAAAGGTTATGCGAAAATTCTAATATGCTAATCCAAAACAGACGCCGAAATATTTTGTTACCGATTAAATTGTGTTATCTACAAAATATGAAAAACATAATCAAATTCGAAGCTACTTCTGGATAAACTGTGACCACCATAAATGGAATAAGCAATGGAATATAATTGGTCAGACATAGAGATACCGCCGCACAATATGTTTCTCTCAGCCACAAAGACATTAAGACACTCGCTATACAAATTACATGGACAGGAAAGAGTCTTAATAATCATTAATCAATGATCAATTGATGTTTTTTTTTAAAGATTAATATAATAATCATTCTCATTTTTTTGATTTTCTTAATATATTTGGATTCCATGCGACTTTATTACAAACACATTTGTTTGTTGGAATATATAGCAAAATATAATTGAATTATTATTTTTGGCTGAAATTATGGATATGAGAATAATTTCCGAAAAACTAGGAAATGGACACGACCACGAGGGCAGCATGGGATTATAGATCGACAATAAATGGCATTATATTTTTTTATAGTATTTATTTTAGTTAAAAAAATAGATTTGAATAATCTATGTTTTCGCACCGAATTAAAGGAACCAATGTTCAATTTGTTTTGCAATGAGTAATAAACTAAACCAGCACAATTTACCAATAGCACAAACAGATTAACTAGAAATTAGTTGTTTCTCATCTGTTTGTTGACACACTTTAATTAAAAAAACATCATTTTATTTATATGCAACAATATAGCTAGAGATGTATATTTAAAAATCCATTTAAAACTTTAGATAGAAATTCATAAAAATATCTAACCGTATAAAGCAATAATAAAACTTGGAACATCTATGTAAATGAAATAAGCATAATTCATAATATACATATTATATTTGGATTCGGGTTGTATATTTATGTGTTATTTTCTTGAATTGTTAATGACTTTCTTTTATTCTTCTTCTAGAAATATTATTTACAGTCTATAGAAAACTAACGATCAATTAAAGACTTTAATTTGCCCATTAAAGTTTTCTTCTAGATTTCACATTGAAATTAATTTGGAATACTTTCTACGATTCCATGCATCTAAAATTATAAAACCATAATAGTATCGAGAAGAAGGAAAAGCGACTTTCTAGAATTTGATTTGAATTTTAGTTGTTTCATGCACAAAATTCCATTTTAATTAAATGTTGAGTAGTAGTCTCAAAGAAGAAAAGAAATCTTCGTAAATGTATGAGAAATATTATATTTTTACTCACAAAACCTAAACCTAACCCTTCTCCTTCTCACATATATATTTATATTATGTACTATTATGAATAAAACAAAATCTGAAAACGACGTTGAATATTGTAATGTCTATATTTAAACTGCTAAATAAACGCATGACATGAAAAAGCGTAGAAAATTGGTTACATGAGTTTTAAAATTTATTTTAAAATAACCATTTCTTTCGGTTGGTCGAACTTTTGCATCGACCTTTAACGTTTTACTGGATTTATTTTCTTAACCACTACAAAGTTTATGCATCGATCAGTTGTAGATTTGGGACCTTAGTTTGAATTTCGGTTTAATTTTTTTATTAGCTATTAAAATGTTAGACTAAAATATATTGGTGAGATAGTACTAGAACCCACAGTCTATAATTTATGAGAAGAAAAAGAAAAAGAAAGAAGATGTCGGCATCAGAGGAAGACCGGAGCAAGTCTTGAGAGTTGAAATGGTCGGACACCACATGCTCTCTTTCCCTCTCTAATAATACATTTGTTATCAACTCTCTCTTTATAATTTGTCTTTTTTTTTTTGCTTTCATTTATGACTAATTGACAAATTATGATTGTTATGAAAACTCAATATATATAGTTTTATGTATTTTTAATACAAGTAGGTTTGTCTTAAAGGGGTTAAAATAATATTATTTCATTTTCTTCTAATATTTTGTTAAAAAGTTTACGTTTTAGTGTAAATTTAAGGATTTATTTTTTGAAATTAAAAAAATATATTTTGAAGAACTAAAAGGTTCTGAACCGGATTCGTACGTATTTCTCCTCAGGCCATAAACCAAAACATTTAATCGAGTTTTTTTCAAATACCATTCGAATTATTGACACTTGGTAAAACTGGAATATTCCAAAGCAACTTATTCCACAATACTCCTGGGAGCATGTAGAAGAGACAAGTTTTCTTATAATTTAGAACGTCTATTCTACTAACTATGATTGAAACCAACAATTGTGGTCCAAAACAAAATTGTACATTGCTACCGAGTTTCTTTTTATTAAAAAGCATGATGAGTTCTATATAGCCAAAACAAATTAGTATGAAAATAGTTTGATTCTGATGAGGATACTATGAACAAATGAAACTATTAAAGCTAATATCATGGTTATGGATTCTAGTTATATACGAATAGTTTTCATTCCCGTGGTTGTTTTGTTTGATCGTCTGCTAATGTTAAGCTCAATCATTATTTCTTAAAGCCTTGAGTAGTTCTTATGAAACCTATGCAATGACCGTGAAAACGTTGAAGATATATATTAGTTTTAACCAAAAAATGTTATGCTAATAATGATCTTGTGACGTTAAATTCCAAAAAACAGAGTACATCATGGTCCCAAGCGATAATTCGTTTGTCCTATTATTAGGTTTGGAAAAACTCTACGAATCATAGACGAATAGACCAGTATAGTTGATTATAGTTTTCACAATTTAGACCAAAGATATAGTTTGATTTTTTGTTTTTGTTTATGTTTTGTTGTCATTACATATATAAAAAAATTCCAACCAATCGTTGCCTTGAGATATGTAGTTGGATTTTTATTTTTAATAGAGTGTTTTGTCTCAAAATATGAATTATACAAAAGGTTTTATTTTTTCTGTCTAATTATGGACATGCTTAATTATTCCAAATGTATGATAATCCTCCAACATCTCTAATGATTATACCATAATGAAAAAATACCTTTGTTTATATAAATATATTAAAGTGAGATTCAATTAGTGCCACCATGTGACCTGATGGGCTCTCCGTAGACAAATGTGGGGGCAATTTTGTTGGATCAACCAAACCCAAAATTTGTTTATATTTGCATTGAAGATTACATTAGTAAATAAACAATGGTTAGAGTCAAGTTTATACGAATACGGACCCAACTAATATATTGATTGATTTACATCAGATATAAGTATATAATGAAGGACCACCAGTGCATGTAAATTTATCATATAATTTGAAGATTTGAACACCTGCATAATTTTAAGTAAAAAATTAATTGAGTACTTAATTAGTGTGCAAAACTTGAAACATCACAGAGGAAGTATTATATACCAATGTCAATTAATTAATTGTTTTACAAATAGTTTTATTCACCCATATTGTTTTTATGTAAAATTGCGAATGATTTGTAGCAAAAATACAAAACTGTGTACTTTAAAAAATGTTTCTATGTATTGGATCCAAGTAGGATTCGAAGACTTTGAAGGGCACATCTTTTTCAAAGTTTACTTATATATTAAATGTATATTAAAGTCATTGTTTATATGGTTTTTTCTAGAACACATAATTTTCCACAATATGATAATTTAAATTAATTGAATTTTGCTTCTTTTGTTTTATTTTGGTTGTTTTGTGGATAAAATCCAAAAATTACAGTCACTATCTTTCGACGTGTCTTACTTGCAACCTGATCTTTTTCTACAATGTAGTTTTTTTTTTTTTAATTTATATTTCTGTCTCTTAATCCATATAAATTTAAAGAATTTTTGTATAAGTGTCAAAGTATTAATTAGCTATTTCTATATTTCTAAAATAAACCATAAGGATCATAGTTCATACTCGTTATACTATTCTTAATTTTCTGAAAATATCAATAAAACGTTATATACAAAAAGACTATCAATAAAATAATTTAATTTTATCAAAATAAAATGAATTAAACTTAGATAACATTTGTGACGAATGAATCGACGGTGATGCAGGTCATATGGGTCGGTGGTGGTTCCGTTACGGAGACGTTGACGGTGCGATATTGGCGTCAATATGAAGTATTTATTAAATATTTACTTAATTGGGCTTCAAGCCCAACAAAAATGGCGTTAAACAAAACAGAAGCCATGTAATATATAAATCCATATTTCTTAACATATACTCCCTCCGTTTTCGAATAGTTGTCGTTTTAGAGCATTTTTTTGTTTTAAATTAGTTGTCGTTTTAAGGTAATAATGTAACTTATGCCAATAACTACCCAAATTACCCTCATTTAATTAAACACAAATTATTTGTAAATAATTACTTGTCATTTTTATAAGGTTAATATAGTCATTGTATACATTTTCTTAATTTGTCCAAATACAGTTAAAACGACAATTTTTAAAAAACAGAGGGAGTAAATAATTGGGCTGTACTTGGGCTTGGACTGTTTCACTCTTTTTTTTTGATTAATAATGAATTTACATGATTGAAAATAACATGTCATTTTAGATATTTCCAAAATTAAAAAATAATTCCAACTGTCAACGGTCCACATACGTTATCTATACTACAAAAACTTAAAAAAACAACAAATAATTCGTTTTGATAAAAAAATGTTTCTGTCTCGTCGAAATTGGAAAAAAAAAACATTTTAAAATACAGAGAAACGAATTATTGAAAGGAGAAATTTAGAGACCATTCAGGTTTTGATTGATGCAAAAAAAAAGAAAGATTCCCATTTTATCATCTTTTTTAGTTTTTAGTGTCAACTCTCCAACAAAAGCAAAAACCTTAAATACTAATTTTGTTCTTTTTTTTTTTATATAACAAAAAAGCAAAAGAACCAAACACGGTTTCACATGAATCCCAATTTCATTGCAAAGCAAAACTAAAAACAAAGCAGAAGACTTTTTGGAGATCGAATCTGTTCATGTTGATGGGTTTTGGCTGAGATTTCTAGAAAGAGAGAGAGAGAGAGAGTACTAAGTCTGTGTAAAGTTGAGAACTTTTTTGGGTTTAGAGAGAGAAAGGACAGAGCTTTACAGAGATGGAGATGAAGCAGATGAAGTTTCTTACTCACCAAGCTTTCTTCTCCTCTGTTCGATCAGGAGATCTTAGTCAACTTCAACAGTTAGTTGATAATTTAACCGGAGATGAGTTAATCGATGAGTCATCGCCGTCTTCTGCTGTGGCTGAGCTTATGTCTGTGCAAAATGATGCCGGAGAGACCGCCGTCTATATCGCCGCCGCGGAGAATCTTGAAGAGATTTTCAGTTACTTGATTAGGTTTTGTAGTTTGGAAACAGTTAAGATCAGATCCAAATCCGACATGAACGCTTTTCATGTCGCTGCTAAGCGTGGTCACTTGGGTATGTCTCACTAATTATGAAACTCAATTTCAATTCTCTGACTTGAATTCGAAGCTCGAGCTAATGTTGTTTTTGTATAATCCAAAATTTCTGCAATTTTCATTGAGTTTTGGTTCTTTTTGCTGATTTCAAATCTTCAAACTTTGGCTCTGTGATTATGATTTTGAATCTGCGATTGCTGAAAATGGATATGAATTTCTAGTTTGGAAGATAATTTGATTTGGCTCTGCTTATGATCTCCAGGGATTGTGAAGGAGCTACTGAGACTATGGCCCGAGCTTTGCAGAATCTGCGATGCTTCCAACACGAGTCCGCTTTACGCAGCTGCGGTTCAAGATCACTTAGAAATAGTAAATGCTATGCTTGATGTTGATCCGAGTTGTGCAATGATCGTGAGAAAGAATGGGAAAACATCTCTGCACACAGCGGGAAGGTACGGGCTTCTTCGGATAGTGAAAGCTCTCATAGAGAAAGACGTAGCAATTGTTGGTGTTAAAGATAAGAAAGGTCAGACCGCTCTTCACATGGCAGTTAAAGGGAGAAGTTTGGAAGTAGTTGAAGAGATTTTGCAGGCTGATTACACAATATTGAATGAGAGAGATCGAAAAGGGAACACTGCTTTGCATATCGCTACTCGAAAGGCGCGGCCACAGGTATTATACTGCTCCTTTCGTCTTGTTGTATCGTTCTTTAGCTTTCAAATATCCACTATAATACTTTAATTGCGTAAATGCCTTTGGATTTTGTTTCTTAGATTACGAGCTTATTGCTGACGTTTACGGCGATTGAAGTCAATGCGCTTAACAACCAGAAAGAAACTGCTATGGATTTGGCGGATAAGCTTCAGTATAGCGAATCCGCTTTGGAGATAAATGAGGCTTTAGTTGAAGCTGGGGCTAAGCACGGGAGGTACATTGGTCGGGAAGATGAGGCGAGAGCACTGAAGCGAGCTGTAAGCGATATCAAACACGAGGTGCAATCGCAGCTTTTGCAGAACGAGAAAACCAACCGCCGTGTCTCTGGGATCGCGAAAGAGTTGAGGAAACTCCACAGAGAAGCAGTTCAGAACACCACTAACTCGATAACTGTGGTAGCGGTTCTGTTTGCATCGATAGCGTTCTTGGCAATATTCAACTTGCCGGGTCAGTATTTCACGGAGGGGTCGCATGTGGGACAAGCAGAGATCGCAGGGAGAACTGGATTCCGTGTGTTCTGTCTTTTAAACGCGACATCCTTGTTTATATCACTAGCGGTTGTGGTAGTTCAGATAACCCTGGTGGCGTGGGACACACGGGCGCAAAAGAAAGTTGTGTCTGTGGTAAATAAGCTAATGTGGGCAGCTTGTGCTTGCACGTTCGGAGCATTTTTGGCGATTGCGTTTGCGGTTGTTGGAAAGGGAAACTCGTGGATGGCGATTACCGTGACATTGCTTGGAGCACCGATCTTGGTAGGGACATTGGCGAGTATGTGTTATTTCGTGTTTCGGCAGCGGTTTAGGAGCGGTAACGATTCTCAGAGAAGGATTAGGAGAGGGAGTAGTAAGTCGTTTTCGTGGTCTTACTCTCATCATGTTTCCGATTTTGAAGATGAATCAGATTTCGAGAAGATTATTGCTCTTTGAAATCTCGCAACACTATGTTGCTGAAGCATCTGTGTATAGATCGTCTCTTCTCTTTACCTTTTTTCCAACGCAAGTCTGTGTTGTATTCTTAGAATAAAAATCTTGTTGGTACATAGTATCTGTATCATATATAGCAATAAAGTCGCCACCGGTATACCATATCTGTATTGTTTCTTTTGTTATTCTACTGTTTAGTATATGCAATTCATTCGAGTACTAGTGAAGTGCAATGTTTCTTATTAGCAAACATTGTATAAGATAAAATATCACTGTGAGATGAGGGAAATGGAAAAAGGAGCATCATTCAACATAAAAATATCCAATAAGTCACCTCTACAAACTCATGTGGTTTTCCAGTTATAAAAAAACAACACAAAACCACATGATCACTTCTCTTTCTTACATCCACAAAAGTAGAATATAAAAGCTCCAAACAATGAAACAAGAAACGAAACCCAAAAAAATATAAGGTAGACTGAGGGACTGGAGAAGAATCTCTCGTAAAAAAAAAAAAAAAAAACCCGACAGAGAGAGAGAGGATGGACACGACCGTAGCTTTTCCACAAGTTCCGTCGAAACTTGAAGAGTTACTAAAAAAGAGAGATATACAATTTTACAGGAGACAAAAGGGATCGGTGGTGTCCACACAAAGAAGAAGAAGATGATGATGATTGTCGGGGATTGATATTATTTATTATTTATGATTGATTACCAGGTAGGTTAAAGCTGTAATTGACCAGGGCCTTTTCTTGAAGATCTTGATGGAGGTCGATTGTTGTCTGCAACGGATGATGGTGTCGAAGAAGGTGGTGGTCGTTGTTGTTGCTGTTGTTGTTGTTGTTGCTGCTGCTGCTGTTGTTGTTCTTCAGATCTCCTCACCTCCTAATACATCAAATTACAGCACAATGAGACTATCCATATCTATTATTACTCCAATTGCTTGAGGGAGAAACTGGTAAATCTTCGCAATTATGTTCCACCATTCTGTTACGTTATACCGCAGATTAACAGATAAATATTTGTTGCGTTGAGTGTACCTTTGATGTAGAAGAAGAGGAAGTGTGATATGAGTAGTTCACTCTAGTCCTTGCCTGGCCGCGATGTAGATTTTGTACGTTCTCAAACTGTTGTAGCCGCGCAGCAAAATTGATTCCTTGGTGAGAACTGTTGATATTATCCTCTTCTAAGTCACCGTCCTCGTTTTGATGCTTATACTGAGAGAAAGGAACTCCTGAAGTTGCTCTGCCTATTTGGTTTCCAGTACTGAATGAGTACGTTGGCACAGTTTTGAGTCTTGTCCTAAGTATCTTGAACGCCGCGCTTTGCTGCATACATTAAAAAGCCAGGAACTATCAGTTTTGTTTATTTAAAAACAGCAATTCTGCGATAAACCAAATAAGTCTGTCTCTTCTTTCATTTCGTTTTACCTGAGGAAGTAACATTAGAAGACCATAAAGTGTTTTCAGCAACCATGTGTACCTTCCTGGTTCCAGAAGCTGCAGAAGAAAATAAAGTTTTGGTAGCGACGAAAGAATCTGGAAAAGGAAACAGATTGTTTGAGATAATTCAAGCAAACCTGCAATCTAAGGTAAGTAAAGATTGGAGTTTCGAGAAGCCGGATCAATTTATCAAGCTGTACTAGAAATTTGACGTTAATGTCTTCTTCTACCAATGATTGAATCACAACACTCGCATGCTGGTAAGCCTGTCAATAATTCCAATTCCTCGATATTCAACATAGATAGTCAACACAATCACATTGTATTTAAGTTACATTTCTTTTTGTTATTTACCTGAGCTAATAAGCAAAGGCTTATAATTGCCATGGGTGAATGGCACCATGAAGTATACAAGGCAACGAAAAGTTCTTTCCCTTCGCGATTGACGAGTGAACCTTTTAATAGATCTCTTAGTTTTGATAACTCCGGGGAAGTAAGCAAAATCAAATTCAATGCCTGAAATAAAACAAAAAGACAGTCTAGTGATTAATAGATATAATCGAAAAAGCCAGCCAACTCTCAAAGGGCCAAATAAAACACGCAGACAAAACCAATCAACTCACTGTATTGACCTTAAAACATTCCTTAATTGAAGAAATGTAGAAAAGGAGATAATACCTGAACCATGGTAGAAGCAAAGTCAAGATTATCTTCTCCCTCCAGAATTGTAGAGAGCTCTCTGTAGACTCTTTCGGCATCCAGAAGTACACACATTCTTCGGACGATAAGGGCACCACGCCTATAACGAGATATGTTTTAACCAACTAAATAATATGTTTTATTCCAGAAACTTAAAAGGCGGATTATTAGATGCAACTAACCTTTCCAAAAGAGAATTATCAGCTCGGAAATTGTGGACTAGAAATACGATGAGCTGGCGAAAGTATTGTGGATCTTTTGCTACACCAGCATGAACCTCCAGAACCAAGAGCACCACCTAAAGTATATATTTTCAAGTCCAGATAGTTCACATATCAAATAAGTTTATTACTAGGCAAAACCAAACCTTTATATGATAAAGTTCACCAACCAATCAAACAAACAGTAATGGAGATAAAACTTACGTCATCAGAAGAATCAGATAGTGCTTTTAGAAGGGTGTCAAATATGTCATTCAGGAAACACAAGACCTGTTACAACATTACCAATTAAGCTATAAAGCAATAAACAAAAGGGCTAACTAGAAAAGAATGATGTCCAAACAAAAATCAGTTTCTTCACCTCAGTACGATGCTTGTTTAAAAGTGTTGATATCCAATTCAATGCTTCAATCCGAGTAGCCTCAAAATCACTTGATAGCTGCCTGCTCAATGCAAAAACTCACAAATCACAAACAGGCGAGATTTGATAATATTCAAAAGGAAAAAAAAAAAAACAAAGATAGAGAAAAACTAACCTCCTTGCGACAGAGAGAATTGCGCCAACGTCAAAACCATCCGAGGGTTCAACATGGATTGAACGAAGTTCTTCATTGGTTTCACGAGCAACCTTATACAAAGCAAAAAAAAAAACAAAGAAAGTGATAAGTTATAAAACCTACAGTTTCCATCATTGAGTAGGAGGAGAAGCAAACTTACCACCCTGATTTTCTCTTCTTTGTCAGATATGCAAGGCAAGATAGCCCCAAGTATATCAGCATAATAACGCACAAGCTGGTCTCCCCCAAGTTTTACAAACTCGTTTATCTAGAAAAACACATTTAATAGAAAGCAGATATTCTTAGCATATGAATCTTCTGAGCAGTCAAAGTATTACGCATATATGTAACTGGAAGAGGCCAAGAAGAAGAATGGTTTTTTCTGCTTACCCACGTGATGGCTGTTAATCGAGTGAATTCATCAGGAGAAGCAGCCCTCTGCACCAATATTTCAGCCATGCGACCATAATCTACAGACTTCAACAGTAGCACTGATCCAGTCAGTAATTTACCGATGAAACATACAAACAGTCTTTAAAAACAAACACGAACTAACAAGATAAGATAGATCCACAGAAAATGGGATTTTATAGCAACATTTTTATCTTAGTCCAAAAAAATTAAGGCTGCAACAGAAGTCTTACTGGTGAATTTTTTATCTCTTGAAGAAACTCTGAAAGAGCTGAATCAGCCTGCTGTCTAATTTCATGACTAGAGTCGCTCAACATATTGAATAACCCTGGAATTTGATTGACAAATTGAGTCAGCTGAGCACACAAATAACTAAACTTGAATATGGACATATACATCTAGCTGAAGTTAGCAAATCGCAATTACCATCGAGAAAGTCTGGCAAAAACCCAAGCATATCAATGTCTGGAACACTATCAAGAACAGTGATCCATCCAACTAGAAATTGCCGAACATAAGGGTTTAGAACGTTCATGCGCTCTTTTAAAAGAGGTATGAATTCCTCAATACTGCAAAAATCCAAATTCCAAAAAATGGAGAATCAAGTAAAGTTAATAGTGATAGGTTTTTTTTGATACACAGACAAAAAAGCTAACTAAACACACCTGAACTGATCGCTTTCCGTCACAATATCCTGCTTTACAAGGTATTAAATCTATTTAACATATGTTTAAAATCAAAATACCACTCATGTGTAAGGAAAGAAATGTCCATACCTTAACAAGGCGATCTAAAAGATGAGCAGCACTTTGGACATTGGCATCAGAATCTGCTGAGAGTTTGCATAAGGCATCAAAAATCTTATTGAAGAAAATAATGAAATCGCCTCGCACAACCTGTAGCAAACCAGAAAAGAAGGCGATGGTGCATCAATACCAAAATCAAATAGAACACTGATCCGAAACACATGTATATTATTACTACAGTCTTTACCTTTGCAATGTTATAGAGAGCTTCACATGCATAGTACCGAACTCGGCTATCTTGATCAGAAAAGGAATTAATCACAGGTGGCACTATTTGCTTCACATGTCATGAATCAAAAAGAACAATTAGAAAACATCCTATAATCCAAGAAAGAAAGTACACTAATACTAACGATGGATTTATACACTGATAAGATTATAACATAACTTTCAAATCTTACTATGAGCAGATTAACTATGTGTTATAGTGCAAACCATTGAATAAATTCACAGTTATACCTCAAGATATTGAGCAGCTTCTGTAGACAAACCAACTGTTACCGCAGCTAAGCCAATTAGACCACCCTATACAACGAAAAGCAGCCGGAAAATGGTTCAATGATCAAAGCCCTAATCTCAAAATTCTCCGATCTAAGTAAACGCAAATGCTAAGAAATAATCTCAAAATTGGAGACCTTTCGATGATTAGCTTGAGGGGATTTGGCAAATTCCTTAATCAACATCTCAATGACTTTCGAGATCTTGTCATGATCACCCGAAGAAGTGAGATTCTTCACAATATTCTCAAGCTACAACAAAAAAAAAAAAAAAAAAACTATAATCTCAGAAACTAGAAAAACCCTAAGACGCAACAAAAGAAAGAAAGAGAGAAGAGAGAAGAAAATTGAAACCTCAAGCGCAGCATTTTTGCGCTTCTCATAGAGTTTATCGGAGAGATTGCGATGAACGGCGGCCGGAATCGCAGAAAGAGCGTCTGACATGTCTGTCAGATGAAATCCACCAAAAAGCAAAACTTCTCTCGGAACCAAAATCGCGATCGGATGAGAGAAGAAGGAGAAGCGGAGGATTATTCAACGTCAAAGACGAAAACAATCAGATCTGGTCAAAAACGACGAACTCATCTGTGGCTACCAGTTACTCGGTTTCTCCAATTCGATTTCTGCATAAACATATTTCTGATTTTTTTTTTCTTTGCTCTTTTTTTTTTTCCTAAGTGGATTTTTTTTTTGGTAAAAAATGAACACACAACTGATGTCTTAAAAAAAAAACTAATAAAGAAGACAAGTGAAAAGTGCGTGATCACTGTAGTAAATGACAAATTCACCCTTAGTACAGTGCTAGACAACCGGGGTAATATCGGTATTTTCTAAGAGTTGAACTTTTCATAATTTTAGGTTCTTTGCTAAATTAAATTTTTCTATATAAAACATTCAATTATTTCCAACTACAATTTTTTTAATAAATAAAAAATATTTTCTAATTAGAAAAAATAAAATAAAAATAATTATGTTTTAGTTGCAAAATTTGCAAGTAAATGAAATATCTGTACTATTTTCATATAGTTAATTTTATTATTTTTTCAAAATATATAAATTATCTTTGACTATATTTTTTATTTCTTTTGTATATATGATGTTAATAAAATAAATAAAAAATAATTATTTTAGTTGTAGCGTTAGCCCGTGAATCAAATGTGGACATTATTTCCAATACCATTAGATATTATAATTTGTGTGTTTTAAAAAAATTAATGTTATTTCTCATCATGTTTTTGCATATGACGTTAAAGATAAGATGAATAACGATAATCATATTTTAGTTGTAAGTTGTAACACACTCCCGCAAAACAAATATGAAATTTTTCCAATACAATTACCTATAGTAAAATTTTTTTAAAAAACTTTGAACATAATCCCAACCATGCTTTCTTTACTTTTGTATGTGGTGTTGATAAGACAAATAAACACTAATCATGTTTTATTTATAACGTACGTCGATGAGTTATATATGAATTTTATTTCCAATATCATTAGGTATATTAATTAAATTTAATGTTCCACATTTAATATATTTTTTACCATGCTTTCTTTGTTTTATATGTGGTGTGGATAAGATGAATAAACGATGATTATGTTTTATTTGTAACGTTCGTCGATGAGTCAAATATAGTATTTATTTACAAAACAATTGAAAAATTTCTCTTTTAAAATAGTTTATATTATCTCCAACCTTACTAATTTCTTACTTACCAAAAAAAAACCCTTACTTATTTTTTATGTGGTGTGGGTAAAATGAATAAAGTATAATTATGTTATTTTTGTAACTCTCTTCATTGAATCAAAATTTTCTTATCTCTGGCCATGTTTTCTTCTCTGGCTATCTTATTAATTTATCGATTTGTTTTATTTTTTACACTGGTCCCAATTCGGGAACGGAATAATTTATTAATTTATAGAGGTTATTAATTTAGCGAGTATTAATTTATAGAAGTTTTACTGTAAATAGGGTATATATAATCATGTTTTATTTGTAATTCTTGTGAGTGAGTCAAAGATGGACTTTATTTCCAATATTGTTAGGTTTAGAAAGTTTTCATTCTTAAAACATTTGATATTATCTTTGACCATATATTTTTCCTTTAATGTTTGTAGGTGTTGTGGATAATATAGCTTTATTTCCAATAAGGGATTATTGTCCAAAATGCCATTTTTGCATAACCATTTTTCAAAAATGTCATTTTTCCAATAATTTTCAAATTTGCCATTTTTGTCACTTGTAAAAACTAAAAATTTCGGAAATTTTTTTCATAAACACACATATTTCGTAACGAAAACTATACCCTAAAAAAATGAAATCTAATAAACCGAAACATCATGTATAAATTTATGTTTTTGTATATAAGAAAATGGCATTTTTGACCTTACAAAAAAAAAGAAAATGGCTTTTTTGAAAGTATTCTTGGCCAAATGGCAAAACTTATAAACACCCCTCAAATAAATCCCTTATTTATTAGTAATTGATTTTTTCCAATAATTAGTTATAATAAAAAAAATTTTAAAAAAATTATCTCCACTCTATTTATTTACTTTTTATGGTAATGTAATAAATAAATAATAATATAAAAATGAAAACATTATTAATAAATAGTTTTGGTAACGCATAAAGATTTTTTTCCGTTTACTCCAATGTTACTTTTTTTTGTTTCCTGACCATATTTTTACACACAGCCAATCAGAGCTTTGTTTCATCGTCTTGTCGAAGAAGGCGATAATATTAGATCTGCTCACCATTTCTCCGCCATAGCCAAAGATGGGAGACAACAACCCTAACCGACCAGAAGCCGAACGTCTTCTCGGAATCGCAGAGAAGCTTCTCGAGTCACGAGATCTCAACGGTTCAAAAGAGTTTGCAATCTTAGCTCAAGAAACAGAGCCACTCCTCGAAGGCACCGATCAAATCCTCGCCGTCGTCGATGTTCTCCTCTCATCTTCCTCAGAGAATCGCATCAAAACCAAACCAAACTGGTACAAAATCCTTCAGATCGAAGATCCAAATGAATCATCAACAGACAATGACCTAATCAAGAAACAATACCGTCGTCTAGCTCTTCTTCTCCACCCAGACAAAAACCGTTTCCCTTTCGCTGATCAAGCTTTCAGATTCGTGCTTGATGCATGGGAAGTTCTATCAACACCTTCAAAGAAATCTCAATTCGATCGAGATTTGAATCTCATCTTCACAAAAGTAGATCTCAATACTCAAAAATCGAAGAAGAAAACAACAACTAATGAGAAGATGGCTACGTTTTGGACGGCGTGTCCGTATTGTTACAGTCTTCATGAGTATCCTAGGGTTTATCAAGAGTATTGTATCAGATGTCAAAACTGTCAAAGAGCGTTTCATGCGGCGAGTATTCCTCAATTGCCTCCGTTGGTTCCTGGAAAAGATGAGTATTATTGTTGTTGGGGGTTTTTTTCCGATGGGATTTGTTGGTGGTAAAGGAGGAGAAGCTGCCATTGCTAATGGAGTTGATGCGGCTAAATTTCCTAATTGGATGCCTCCGGTTTTCTCATCTGGCGGCGTTGCAGCTCCGATAGCTCCTCCAAGTGTTAATGGTGGCGGATACGGGGTTGGTCATCCGTCTTCTTCGCATGGTGTTCAGGTTAGCTTTGATGGATGGTCAGGTGGTGCGGGGAAGAGAGACAACGTTGGAGTTAATTTAGATGGAACGCCGAAGAAGAGAGGAAGAGGAAGGCCGAAGAAGAATCCGGTTTAGTGATCTCCGGTGATGGTCAAATATGGAGAAAAAATTTTAAAAGGCAAGTTTTTTTTTTTTTTTTTAAGGCAAGGAAGATTAGGATCAGTGTTTGTTGTCTTAGTGTAATCTTTTTCTTTTTTTTTTTATGTAGTTTGTTAATTTAACTTGTTATAACTTTTTATGCATTTGTTTTCATTTTTGCCATTTTTCTCTGTATTTTGTTGTTATTACCGGTTGTTTTATCTTGATTTGCCTCTCTTATTCGAAATCTTTGTATCATAATTTGCTTTGAAACATTTACATTGACTAGGAGAGTAAAAACAATCTATTTTTTCCTCATTATAATTTGGCAATCTCGCTCTTTTCCACTTCACTTGTTGGATGGATTAACACTTATCTCTGTAAACAAAATTGAAGAAATCAAGATTGGAGAGGAAAATACTACCTCCACTCCAACACTTCATTACAAGTAAAGAGCGTCAATACTAGGCCTGGGCGTTTGGGTATATGGTTCGGTTCTAGAACCGAACCATTCGGTTCTTAGTATTTTGGTTCTGAAATTTAGGAACCATATTGGAACCAAATCAAAATCGGTTCGGTTCCGGTTCGGTTCCTCTACGGTTCGGTTCGGTTCGGGTAATAAATTTTGGAACCAAATTATTTCGGGTATTTTTGGAACCGAGAAAACAAAACAATCATAATACAATATTCAAATGCAATTAGGTAAGTATGCAATCACATATTTGTAAGCATACCATTACAAATCCAAAAAATATTCGAAACTTGGAAAGTGTTATGTCAAAAGACACCCAAAGTTTCAAAGATACCGAAAAACACAAGTTTTTAAGACACCAAAATAACCCGAAGTTTAAATCTGTTTCAAATTACAATCTTCTGCTTCTTCTTCTCTCCAAAGATTGTATCAAAAAACACCACAAAACCTGAAATAAAATGTACAAAAAGACTTTTAATACAATGAAATGAAATTTGAATCACATAGAATAGAACTAGAGAAAGGGAAAAAATGACCTGAATAGATACTAGAGTCCATCACCATCTCCTTAACAAAACGTGAGTCAGCTTAATTCCCTTCGCAGCCAAACTCAAACTCTAAACATCAAAACAGACAATAATTAAGACACTTAGACTACACAGATTTACAAGTATTCAAGAAAATTGACAAGAGATATTACCTTTCTCAAGCTTGTCTTGATCTTCAATCTCAGATATTACAAGGTTTCTCTTTAGGTTTATGAAATATATATAGTGGGTTGTTGGGCTTGGGTTTAGGTTTAGGTTTGTATGGATTTGGGCTTTGGGATATATAGATATAGGTAACTAGATTATATTTTTCGGGTACCCATTTGGATCTCGGTTCTTACCCGAACCGAACCAATACCCATGGATCTGAAATTCAAGATCCAATTTATATTTTTATTAGAACCAGAACCGAACCATACCCATCAATTTCGGTTCGGTTCGGTTCGGTTCTATGTGGATCCATATTTGTGCCCAGGCCTAGTCAATACAACTACTAAAGGCAACAACTACAAAGTTTAGTTCTTCTTATAAAAAGTAATGATCAAAAGTATCTTCTTTTATGAGTCTATAAGTGAAAGCAAAGGACTTTTCATAAGACTTCTACTTCTTGACGATATTAAGATCAATGTGTACATACGCAAGCGAAGCCACAAATACTAAGAAGAAAGCCGTTACAAGCATGAATGGTTCCGCAAGCATGTATATTGGTTTGAATGTATAGTACACCTGCAAAAACGTCACACATGTTAAGCACTTTTATAGCGTTTTTGCCAGAAACCGTTTGTAACTTATGGAACAAAATGAGCCTATGGCTAATAACACTAATACACCGAGATTTTTTAGGGTTCTTCTAATACTACAACACATAACACATAGATAGCTGTAAGTGTTAAGGCATTTTTTACCTGGAAGGGTACGTTGTGAGTGGGAACTACATTATCTTTTTGCAACACAACCACGGTTCTTCCCACAATGTCAAGGTATGAGTATTTGACCTGAGACAAGATCATATTAGAAACATGTTTTGTAATAACTATATAGTTTGGATATGCAATTCATGTAGTATATGTGTGGCTGATGAAGTACCTCTAACTCTTGATTTACTGTAAAGGGCAAAACAGCAGAAGGGTCCTTTGATCCTTCAGGAAGCACAACCTGCAATGATATCTTCCTATGTTAAGTTGCAATCTACTAACAACTGAGAGAAATAACTACTCGTAGAAAATGCTAAACCCACTTTGAGAGTCAACTTGTTCACTATAGTTTCGACAAGCGGGCACCCAAAGGTAAAGTTCAAGTAACGTCGGCCATCAGATGCTTCAAAGAGATAGTCTTCCAATGGAACTCTATAACCGATGACAAAAGTTGCACTCCACCCTCCAAATAATGGGTACCGCGGTTCAAATTCAAGTTCTGACTGCAAAGACCAACTATTTTTTATAAGAATCCAAAGACTTAAAAGAGAATAACAAATCAGATCACTTTTATGAGGTATACCCCCCTAAGCAACAGATTGTTGTAAAATTAGAGAATTGGCAGATTTTCTCAGGGAACAAATATCACTGCCTAAATGGCCACAGATCAAGAGAAGAGAACCAACAATACCTTTCTAAAGCCTGTACGCAAATGTGAAGTTGAGATGTTTCCTATGTTATCCCTGTAGTAGACAGAATTCACTCTGGGAGGCAGTACTGCAAGTAGCGCATTGAAAGAGGATGCACCACTGACGGACCGTTTAGATTGATAATCAACCCTGCCAAAATTGAGATTTCAGTATAACATTTCAGCAGAACAGCATACATATATTAACAACATCTCCATTGAGCTCTTTCACCAGTAACGCAAATAGCTAATTAAAAAGACATTTTTACTTCAATAACATGGAAAAGTTGTCTTCAGTAATGGAAAATGGCACCTTAACCATTAACTCAAAACACATAAACAGAAATTCTGCAACATCTAATTCCTAAAGATAAATTTCCAGATGTCACCTCATACATAATAAAAGTCATTAAGCCCATTACATACCTCGAGAAAACACCCTTATGCCGCGCTCCCCCATGAGTCAACCTATAACTTTCTGTAATCTGAAGGCTACCCCAGTGTGAAATCTCAATTTCACGCACAAGCTCCTCAACAACGGCAAACGGACTGTTATTCTCGAAGTGAATGATGACAGGTGTGTAAGAGTATGAAGCACGATTCTCATATGGTCCATATTTTATCTCTTTGCCAGCCCGGTTAGCAGGTTCAATGCTAGTGAACGACTCTACTCTAGTAGTAGGAGTCTTAACAAAAGTTGTCTGTTGCTTAATATGATATGGTGACAATATCACTGCACTATCATGGTAGTAAACCAACTGAGATTCTGACTGGGTTATCTCCACTGGGAAAGGTTCCAACGAATGAGTCAATATGTAAAGCACCTCAAGTGAAACAGTTTCACCCGGACCTAAGGGGCTAATAAACTTAACACGGTAGTATCCAGTGTCATTTGGTGCATCAGGTCGTTCAGTTGGTTTTACATCTAATGGCAAATAGGTTTTCTTCTTCTTCTTGCCAGTAATTGCCAGGGCTTGGACCATAGCCAAATTCTTGATCTGGGTAGGTGGGAAAGCAAGAAGCATTTCTGCAGCAGGATCTTTCCCAATATTTTCAACCTGAAGAAAGAAATCCAGACAAGAAAATGTCACCTCCTAATAGAAAAACTTAAGGATGATGAAGGCGAAAAGGGAAAATATCAAGTGAACTGTCACAACGAATCAAAGCCAATAAGTTCCAACCTTTTCAACAAGTATCACTACAATAACTAAATTTGACTGAAAGAAAAGAAGCTTGTAGTTTCATATGACATTAAACCAATATTAGCTTTAATTTTCCAGTTCCAAATTCCAACCTTCCAGTGTATATTTAATAGGAATACCTATTATAAACATATGATTAGAGATACCTTGAGAGTCAAGAAGGCCTTCACGATATGTGAGCTTAAATCAATCTGTAGACAAATACAAACACAAAGGAGGAGCATTTCAGTTTTGAGGCAATAAGATTCTGCAAACAGCTTCTCTATCATAAAACTTTCTGATTACTAAACTTAAACGTATAACTGGTGAAAAGTCACACCCAAAGAGTCACATCATCTATCAATGTACATTACATATGAAGCCTATCGATGATCAACAGTGAAGTGACCAATCAGGCAATCACACAGTAATTCTACAAACCAAGCATAGATCGGAGAAACGGCAAATCCCAACGAAAACTTCATTAACTTGAATTACGGATCCATTAAAAAGAGCAGAAATTTATGAATTTGTTACAGAAGATAGATCGGAGAATCTTACCCTTCGCTCGGCATTTACGATCTGGAGATCCTGAGCTGAGGAAAATGCAGAGATAGATAAGAATACAGCTACGAAGACGAAGAAGATCCCGATACGAGCAGCCATTTTCGTCACTGCAATAAGAACAAAACTCATCAACGAAAGAGCTCAGAGATGGCGAATTGATACGATTTGGAAGATCAGTCAGAAAAAAGTTACTGACCGATGAGGAAAGATAGAGTGAGAGAGATCGTGGATCGTAAAGACAGATACCGACGGCGGAAGGAAGAACGTCGGCCGGCGAAGTGAGAATGATCCGGTCAACTACAAAGTCTCAGTCTCTCTCACTTCTCTCGTGATTTAGGGATTAGTCTTTACGAGCTTTTTTCTTCCTCAGAACCAAAACGACATGAGACGTTGTCGTTTTACAAACTTTTAAAACTTATGGGCCGTGCAGTATAGCTGTTATTGGGCTTCATACCACAAAACATCAACAGTTGGATTTCAGACACGTGTATGACTTTGAACGGTTCCGATGTCACTGAACACTTTGCCGCCATTCAAATTCGTTTGTCGACCTAACTCTCTTTCTTCTCTCGCCATCTTCAAAATTTTCTCCGGTCACTTGAATTCGTGTTCTGATTCGAACAAATACGCGAATTTTGTCCATTGCAAAGCTTGAAAGCTCAAAAAAGTTGCTTAATTTTGTGTTTTATTTTCTTCACTAACATCTCTGCCATGGCGATCGATTGTCTCGTACTCGGTACATTTTTTTCTTTTTCTTCTTCTTTCTTTGCTTCTTCAAAGTTTCGTGTTCTTATTTTTGTGTTGTTTCCAGGTGCTGGACAAGAGATTGGAAAGAGCTGCGTAGTAGTGACGATTAATGGTAAACGGATAATGTTCGATTGTGGGATGCATATGGGCTGCGATGATCACAATCGATACCCAGATTTTTCTCTCGTCTCTAAATCCGGTGATTTTGATAACGCGATCTCTTGTATCATCATCACTCACTTGTAATGATTCTTCAATCCCACAATCTGTCCCCTTTTTGTTAAAGTCATTTTTCTTAGTTTTTGTGGGATCGTATGGGTTCTAATAGTGTGTGTATTCGAGTTTTAATAGCCATATGGATCATGTTGGAGCGCTTCCTTACTTCACGGAGGTTTGTGGGTACAATGGCCCGATTTATATGTCGGTGAGTTATATCGTCCCTAAGGTGTTCGATGAAATGTTTGACTGACTTGTTTTTTTATTTAAGGTAAAGGTTGTTTACTTTGATTTGTCTCTTTTGTAGTATCCCACAAAGGCTTTGTCTCCTTTAATGCTTGAGGACTACCGAAGAGTGATGGTGGATAGAAGAGGCGAGGATGAGCTGTTCACCACTGCCCATATCGCAAACTGCATGAAGAAAGGTACTTGAATATTGGATTTAGTTCATTTGAGGTCTTTGTGCACGAACTTGTTTCATCTGGTTGATGAATGTGTGACTTGCTTTGTAAATTCAGATTCAGTGTCTATATCTTGGCTTCCTTTTGTTTTTTTCTATGTAGTAATTGCAATAGATTTGAAGCAAACAATTCAGGTTGACGAAGATCTTCATATCCGTGCATATTACGCAGGGCATGTAAGACATTCATTCTGATTTTAGAGAACTTCCTTCTAAGTTTGTTATTTTCAGAGTTTCTGTATTTCTTAAAGCTTCTTTTGTAATGATCATAAGGTCCTTGGAGCAGTGATGGTTTATGTAAAGGTTGGAGATGCAGCGATTGTGTACACTGGAGATTACAATATGACGACAGATAGACATCTAGGAGCAGCTAAAATTGACAGACTCCAGTTGGATCTTCTCATATCAGAGTATGGAAAACAAATACAAATTTGTTCGCTGGTATTTTTCAACAAACTTAGAAAGAACAAGTATACCTGATGTATGTTTGACTATGCGTTTTAGGTCTACATATGCAACTACCATTCGAGGCTCAAAATATCCCCGGGAGAGAGAGTTTCTTCAAGCTGTATGTCTACTTGTAGCTATTAACACATGGTTTCTAAATCTGTTCTTAAATGGTTTTTGATTATAATTCTGGCATCACTTTTGGCTTGCTCCTGATCAATATACCCCTTTAGGAAAGCCTTAAGCTTTCGTTTAAAAATTGTCTGATATCTCAGAAAACTCTTCTAGGTTCATAAATGTGTTGCTGGCGGAGGGAAGGCGCTGATTCCTTCATTTGCTCTTGGAAGGGCTCAGGTCTGTCTTCTTACAGAATAGGCTCCCTGTGATAGTCTTGAAACAAGTCAGTTACTTAAACTTGTCTATGCTTCTCTTATGTCTCATTGACAATTGCGTTTCCTTGTTCAGGAACTCTGCATGCTGCTTGATGATTACTGGGAGCGCATGAATATAAAGGTTCCAATTTACTTCTCATCAGGTCTGTTAAATCACCACCAATCCTCATATGAAATCAATTCTGCAGATTAGTCAGCTCAACAAAGTCGTGATCTTATTTTATAAATATTGATCTCTATCTTCTGAAGATTGCTATCTCTAAAGATCAATTGGTATTTTTCCAGGTTTGACCATCCAAGCAAATATGTATTACAAAATGCTCATCAGCTGGACAAGCCAGAACGTTAAAGAAAAGCACAATACGCATAACCCATTTGATTTTAAGAATGGTATGTGTACTAACATTTGCAAATAATTTTAGAACGTTGAAGATGAAATTGATATCAAATGGAACCGAAGTTTTGCTTGAATATATCAAAACTTTGTAAACTAGTGGTTGTGTAATTGATTGATAAATCCTTTGCGTCATTTTTTAGTTCTTATAAACTACCTTAGTTCTGCAACTCTCCTTGCTTTGTAACTAATACTTCACGCTGACACACTCTGCAGTTAAAGATTTTGATCGATCTCTTATACATGCTCCTGGGCCATGTGTTCTCTTTGCCACACCTGGTATGCTTTGTGCTGGCTTCTCACTTGAAGTGTTCAAGCACTGGGCTCCTTCTCCCATAAATCTCGTTGCCTTGCCCGGGTACTATACCTATTTGTGTTCCCCTTTCCTAGCAATTCAATTTTTTTACTTAGCATCTAACACACAATTGTATCTCCTTGTGGATCCGTTTTATACAGATACTCCGTGGCTGGTACCGTTGGGCACAAATTGATGTCTGGTAAACCCACAACGGTTGATCTCTACAATGGCACCAAGGTTGATGTCCGTTGCAAGGTTTGTATACTCTTTCTTCTGGTTCTCACAAAAATACGTAAAACTTTACAAGAAAATATCAATGAATCACCTTTTTATTCAGACGTTGAACCTAAAGTTAAAAGTTTTGATTCCGTTGTTATCAGATACATCAAGTGGCTTTTAGTCCTCACACAGATGCAAAAGGAATCATGGATCTCACAAAGTTCCTTTCCCCAAAGAACGTTGTACTCGTGCATGGCGAAAAACCCAGCATGATGACTCTTAAGGATAAGATAACCTCAGAGCTTGACATCCCCTGTTTCGTCCCTGCCAATGGCGAAACAGTTTCAGTAGCTTCGACCACTTATATAAAAGCAAACGCTTCTGATATGTTCCTTACAAGCTGCTCCAGCCCGAATTTCAAATTCTCAAACTCTACTCAGCTCCGTGTTACAGATCAGAGAACCGCAGACGGGGTTTTGGTAATAGAAAAGAGCAAAAAGGCAAAGATAGTTCACCAAGATGAAGTCTCTGATGTATTACATGAGAAAAACCATGTGGTCTCTTTGGCTTATTGTTGTCCAGTGAAAGTCAAGGGAGAATCCGATGATGTTGATCTGATCAAACAGTTGTCTGCAAAGATCTTGAAGACAGTGTCTGGTGCTGAGATCCATGAATCTGAAAACTGTTTGCAGATTGGATCTTTCAATGGAACTTTGTGTCTGAAAGACAAGTGTGTGCATAGAAGAGATATAAGTAGTAGTAGTGAAGCTGTCGTGTTCTTGTGCTGCAACTGGTCTGCTGCTGATTTAGAACTTGGTTGGGAAATCATCAGTGTAATGAAACAAAACATGTGAAATCGAATTTGTGGCAACTCTTTGGATCTCAGATGTTTTGTCGTTTTCTTGTCGGTGTTCTAATATTTATGTAAACATTTTTTTTATCCTAGTAATAAAATTAACCCACTAGTAACTAAACTGACCATATTTTAGCGCCAATTTGTAGCTAATAATCCGAAGGTCAAAGGTGATTATAGTAGTAATACTGACTCTGTCTAAATTATCAATGTTAATTAATAATTAATCTCGTTTAGTTAAATACTTAAATCCTAAAATTTAATTAAAACAATTTTTAAAAACTGTCCGCCATGGCTTAGCGTTTTCTAGAGGAGAGAGAGAGAACGAAGAATCTCAATTGTTCTCTTCGTTAGTTCCATAGAAGAAGAAGAAACTGATGTCTTCTTCAGATTCCACGGCGGCGCGTGATCAACATGCGCCGCTTCTCCGTCCACGTCACGACGGCTCTTCTTCTTCTTCATCAGCCAGACCTACAGCTCTCGCCGTTCTATTAGGACGGATCACCGGTCACCGTGCACCGTCGATGCTGGTTAGAGAAACGGCGGCGCGTGCTCTCGAGGAAAGACGAATCGATTGGGGTTACTCGAAGCCTGTAGTTGCTGCTGATATACTATGGAACGCTGCTTTAGTGCTTGCGTCGGCGGTTATGCTTGTCGGTACCGTTGAAGAAAGACCTAATGAACCAATTAGGGTTTGGATCTGTGGGTATGGGTTACAGTGTTTGATCCATGTGGTTTTGGTTTGGTCTGAGTATTGGAGAAGAAACACAACTCGTAGAGCTAGGGATTTGGAGTCTGGTGATCATGAAGATTACACTGAGTATGATTATGAACAAGACAGTGACAATTCAACAACTTACAGGTTTGATTATTAAATCTCAATTTTTTCATGGTTTTATGATTTTGATTATGATTTGATGGATTTTGTAATCAGTTTTGCGAAGAGATGTGAGTCGATAAACACAGTGATATCATTCATATGGTGGATAATTGGATTCTACTGGGTTGTTGAAGGTGGTGATAAGCTTTTAGGAGAAGCTCCTAATCTTTATTGGTAACAGATTTATCATTTCAAAAACAGGAATTGCTTTGTGTGTTTCCCAAATCTTACGGGTATTTTGCAGGTTGTCGGTGATTTTTCTGGCGATTGATGTCTTCTTTGCTATTTTCTGTGTTGTTTTGGCTTGCCTTGTTGGAATAGCTCTCTGCTGCTGTCTTCCTTGCATAATCGCTCTTCTTTATGCCGTTGCAGGAACGGTCTGAAGCCTATCATCGACTTTTGTTGTCTCAAAAGATTACTACTTTAAAGACTTATAAACGCCTTTTTCTTGCGGGTTATACAGGAAGGAGTATCAGAGGCAGAGCTCGGTGTTCTTCCACTGTACAAATTTAAGGCTTTCCATAGCAACGAGAAGAACATTACCGGTCCTGGTAAAATGGTTCCTATACCGACAGATGGCTTATGCTTAGCAACTGAAAGAACTCTGCTTGCTGAGGATGCGGTATAAGCCAATCTATCATGACAGGAATTTGTTACTTACAAACTCTACTTTTATAAAGTTTCAAAGATTTCTTCTGCTTGATTTTTCTTAACAGGACTGTTGCATATGTCTGAGCTCATACGAGGATGGTGCAGAGCTTCATGCTCTTCCTTGTAACCACCATTTTCATTCGACCTGTATCGTTAAATGGCTTAAGATGAGAGCAACATGTCCTCTCTGCAAATACAACATCCTTAAAGGAACCACTGATCAATCTTGAAGACTAAACCCAACCAAGCAGAGGGAGTAAGATTCTGCACATATGGAAACAGATTCCATTTCCTCAATTAAAAAGCTTCTGTATATATTTATATCAAAATCATGTATCTTTTGTTAAAAGCATCCATTTTTAAATGTAAAAGATCACACTTTACAAATGCCCTTCACTATATTTGCCAATATTTGAGAATACAACAGCTCCTGATGCTCATAGCTCAAATCATGAGTAAGTTCAAGAACAGCTCACTTCATTGTCACATTGTTTGCTGCAATCCGCATCACTTACTGCTCTTGCAAGCCCTCTTGTTTGCATATCGAGAAGCAAATCCGAAGCAGCGGTCATGTTTCCCTCCTTTTCATATGCTCTAATCAATAGATCAAAAACAGCCGAATCAGGACATACTCCGCTTCTCAACATTTCATCGAAAACTTGTCTAGCCTCAACCATCAAACCCTTGCTAGTTAACCCATAAATCAATGTTGTGTACGCAAACAAATCCAGCTCAAGACCCTCTTGAACCATTTTGGTTTTTAACTTAAACGCATCCACCAAATTCCCTTGCTTACACAAACCAGCTATCCAAGAAGTGTACATGAACTTATCTGGAACAAGTCCAGCCTCTGAAATTTTGCTAAACAATCTCTCAACTTCTATAAAGTCTTCTTCTTTGCACAAAGCATCAATAAGCACAGTGTACATAACATCATTAGCTTTCTCTGTACAGAAATAAGATATAGCTTCATGTAGTTGTCCATTCTTCGCAATCCCATCGATCATAGTCGAAAGAGCTACAACATCTGGCTCAAAGCCTCTCTCAATTAATTTGTGGTACATGTTAACTGCAGCCTTCATGCGCCCGGATTTAAAATATGCATTCATCATTGTAGTAAAAATCATCATGTCAGGAACTAAATCACCTTTCTCCATATCTTCTACAATCTCTGTTGCCTCCTTTAGTTTACCAATACCGCAAAGGCCTGATATGATTACGCCGTAAGCTGTTATATCAAGTCTCATCCCTTGATTGAGCATTTTGGCCAGAAACTTCATGGCATTATCAGAATCTCCTCTCTGAAAAAACCCATCGATAATTGTTGTGTATACAAGAGAATTTGGCTCAACTCTATCCTCGAGCATCCGCAAATACATTCCCTCAGCTCTCTGCATTTCCCCTTTCTTGCAGAAACCATCTATCAAAGCAGTATAAGTGACAACATTCAAAGACATCCGAACGCGCCTCATTTCCTCGTATAACGAAACCACAACCTCCAAGTCCCCGGCTTTACAGTACCCATCAATCAAACAAGTGAAAGTAACCACATTTGGAAATAAAGCATCTCTCTTCATACAGTTAAAACTCTTCAACGCCAACTTCAACTCCCCGGATTTGCAGAATATGTCGATCCAAGTACTATAAGTAACAACATTCGGCGAACAACACTTCAACATAACACCCATATACACAAAAACCTCATCTAACATCTTCATCTTGCTAAACCCATTAAACAAAGTATTAAAACTAACTATGTCAGGCTTGCAGGTAAACCCATGAGAAGCTCTTAAACTCTCTAAAACCAAACTAGCACTTCTAATATCTCCATTTCTACAATGCCCATCAATGAGAGAGTTATAAGATATAACATCTGGTTCACACCCGAATCTAGGCATCGAGTGGACGATATCTGCAGCGAATTTAACTTGCCCTAATTTACAAACAAAGGATACGACCGAATTGAATGAAGAATGATGAGGAGTGTAACCTCTGGAGACTAAGTAAGCTAAGAATTTGAGAGAGAGAGCGCCGCAATTGGAATTGATTAGCTGATGAATATGCTTGTTGCAGGTGACTGGGTCTGGGAGATTCGAGGATTTTCTCAGCCGAGAGAGAAATTGAAGAGTTTCTTTGACCATTCATGGACATGGGTTTCTTCAGATGATTCGAAAGGAAACAACTTTTTCAAAGTTTTTAAAACATCAAACGGAGAGGCTTAAACCCTAAAAGAAGTAAGAAGCGAAGCGACCATGGTCAAAGCTTAACTCTTTTTCGGCAAGAGACTTCTCCACAAAGCAAGTCTCAGCCCAATAGCAGATAATCGAATGGGCTTGTGAAAACATTCAAAGCCCATTGTTTTTTCGTTTTTTCTCTTGGTTTTTGTTTATTATGTTGGGTCGGGTCAAAAGTTGGTTTTGGTCAAATCGGGCGGGTCAAGTTTATATCAAAAACAGTAATTAACTAATTATCTCTCTCTCTATTCGCTGTGACTTCGTTATTTACACACAAAATCACTATAGCCATAAACCTCTTTTAAATCCTCCTTGTCTTGAAAAATAAAAACTTGCTATTTAGCTCCGGTGAAGCCGAATTCAAACCCTAACACTTTTGATTCCTCGATTCTTCTTGACGATTCAGTGTTGTTGCGCCTCTTATTTCTACATTTTGCTTTTCCGATTTGAGAATGTGCTGATTTTAGGTATGTGCCTTCTCGTTTGTGTTGTTTTCTTTTTCCTTGGTGGATTTGGGATTCAATAGTTTAGGATTTTGATGTGTAGATTAGAGAAGTAAGCTTTATAGATCGGTGAAAATGGAGGAAGGAGGATATGCGTTTGAGGTTAACAATGGAAGACCACCGTCATTGACTATGTCATCGTCTTTCCGTGAAGGAGGAGGAGGAAGTAAGGGTTTAACACGACGGAGGTCAATGAAGCCGAGTTTTGACGCGGATAATGAGTTCATTACTTTACTCCATGGCTCAGATCCGGTTAAAATTGAGCTTAATAGGCTTGAGAACGATGTCAGAGGTACTATTTGATACTCGATCTGTTTATTCTATTGGTTGATTTCAAGTTTCCGTTGACATTTTTGATTTTGTAATTTGGTATAATTGGGGTTTGGATATATGTTTGAAGTTTTCCTTACGTGCATGAGTGTCATTTCTTGGTTTTAAACATTGACTTTTTGGTGCTCAGATAAAGATCGGGAATTATCTGAAGCTCAAGCTGAGATTAAGGCATTGAGGTTGTCTGAACGACAACGAGAGAAGGCTGTTGAAGAGGTTAGTTAGTCCTTCTTAAGATTGTCTGAATTGCGGTGTATCTACTTCTTCTTCTTTTAAACTTGAGAGGTAATTCGATGAACAAGTCTTGTTAGTCATTGATATTTGTGTTGATTATATATGGATTGGGAAGATGAAACTATTTAAGACCACGTAGTATCACATTAATTAGTTTGGATTGTGTAATATCTGCAGTTAATCTGTCTTTTCCCTATACATTTCACAATGTCCTGTAAGGTTGTTTGGATTAGATTTGATGCAACTGAATATTTCACATGAACAGAACGTTGGGAAATTGTTTGGGTCGTATCAATGGTTAGGAAGAAGTTAAACTTGTGAAGCACAATTTGAATTTGTAGATTCTGAAAAACTGTTATCCTTCAGCTATAAGTTTTTGTTCAATTTGCATTTGAGTTCTTTACTATGTAGTATATGTGGTTTACTAGATCTTGATTAGTTTTCCGGTATGTGGCTGTAGTACTTTTCTGTTACCGTTCCTTTGTAAACCTGGCTCCACTCTTGTTTGGCCTATGATCAGTCGCTCTACGAAGCATATACATATTCTTGAATCCCTGTTTCTTAAAAGATTTGTTATGATTGGGCTCCCGTTATTTTTTCTTAAAAGATTTCTAGATCATCCTATTTTTTTTCCATCTTTGTATATGCTGACGCTCTACTCTTTGATTTGATTGCTTAAGCTTACCGAAGAGTTGGGAAAGATTTCGGAGAAGCTCAAACTGAGTGAAAACCTTCTTGACAGTAAAGTATGCTTGCAATGTTTCCCTCAATTACCTTTTATTTTTCAATTTCTTTTCTTTATGGATTCTATATTTGATGATATCACATGTTGTTACAGAACCTTGAAATCAAGAAAATTAACGAAGAGAAAAGGGCGTCCATGGCAGCTCAATTTGCTGCAGAAGCCACTTTGCGAAGGGTTCATGCTGCCCAGAAGGATGATGATATGCCTCTTATTGAAGCTATTCTCGCCCCTTTAGAGGCTGAACTCAAGTTGGCGAGACATGAAGTATTGTACTTCCTTTCAATCAACTGTATCTCTTATATCTTGGCTTATTGCGTCTTAGAATCTTTTTATAAAACTGGGCATTGTTTTTTTCATTTGTAGATCGTTAAACTTCAAGAAGACAACAGAGCATTGGACCGCCTAACTAAATCGAAGGAAGCAGCTTTGCTTGATGCTGAAAGAACTGTTCAGTCTGCTCTTGCGAAGGCTTCAATGGTTGATGACCTCCAGAATAAAAACCAAGAGTTAATGAAACAGATAGAAATTTGTCAGGTATTACTTTCACCTCCTTTACTCAGCAGTACTTTTAATTCCTGGATCTCTCTCCTTCGTTATCGTGAGCATGCCTTGTTTATCAATTGTTTAAACTAGGAAGAGAACAGAATTTTGGACAAGTTGCACAGACAAAAGGTTGCAGAAGTTGAAAAGTTTACCCAGACTGTACGAGAGCTTGAAGAAGCTGTTCTTGCTGGTGGTACAGCTGCAAATGCAGTGAGGGATTACCAGAGGAAATTCCAAGAAATGAATGTAATAATTAACTTACATGTATAGTGCCTCAGTAGCGTATTGCTACCCTTGTTCTTAAAATTCAATTCCTGTGCTAATCATAGCTATGGCCATTAATCCTTTCCTTAGGAAGAGAGGAGAGTCCTTGATCGGGAATTGGCTCGTGCCAAAGTAAGTGCAAGCAGGGTTGCAACTGTAGTGGCAAATGAGTGGAAAGATGGTAGTGACAAAGTGATGCCTGTGAAACAATGGCTCGAAGAACGGAGATTTTTGCAGGTTACTTTTGATATTTTTTTTTTTTTTTTTCTGTACTTGTGTTACTGCTTCGAGTTGTGTTCATATGCATTCATATGCACTGAAACCTTTGTAACTTGTGTAAGTGCATTCTTTGACCATTTGTCCTGTTTCATTTTGGACAGGGAGAAATGCAACAACTACGTGACAAACTTGCCATAGCTGATCGAGCTGCAAAATCTGAAGCTCAGCTGAAGGTAAGAATCGGAGTTAGGATCCACATAGCTTTACTCTTCTTTATGTCCCTATGTTTCAAGGCTTTAATTAGAATTGCTGCTTTTGTCTTTTGCAGGAGAAATTTCAACTGCGGCTTAGAGTCTTAGAAGAGAGTTTAAGAGGGCCTTCAAGCAGTGGAAACCGATCGACGCCTGAGGGAAGAAGTATTAGCAATGGGCCTTCTCGAAGACAATCCCTTGGCGGAGCTGATATTATTCCGAAACTGACATCAAATGGATTTTTCTCCAAGAGGACACCGAGTTCTCAGTTTAGATCTTTGAGTGCTAGTACAAGTACAATATTGAAGCATGCTAAAGGAACATCCAGATCATTTGACGGAGGCAGCAGATCTTTAGATAGGAGTAAACTACTAACAAACGAACCCAGATCGAAGTTTCCGTTGAACCAATCTTCTGAAGGAACAAGCGGAAGCGAGTCACCTAATTCAACAAAACAAGGAGATTCAGAGAAAGCAGCAGCGACAAATAATGATAGTGTCCCAGGAGTATTACATGATTTGCTTCAGAAGGAGGTGATAACTTTAAGGAAAGCTGCTAATGATAAAGATCAAAGCCTTAGAGATAAAGACGAAGCTATTGAGGTTAGTCATTAGGTTTACCTTTTCCAGAAAAATGGTTTGCTTCTATAATCTCTGATCGAAATACTCGGTCTTGTGTTTGCTTTTAGATGTTGGCGAAGAAGGTTGAAACACTAACAAAGGCGATGGAAGTCGAAGCAAAGAAGATGAGGAGAGAAGTAGCAGCAATGGAGAAAGAGGTTTCAGCTATGCGTGTGGATAATAAAGGATCAGATAGTAGAACGAAACGTCCCTCTACTAACTCAAAAGGAGCTTCAACAACTGCACAGTTACTTTCTGGAAGGTACTTTATTATAATGATCCAATTATTATAATTTTAAGTTGGTTAGGTTAGTTCTTTAACTATAATACTTAAATGTTTTGTTTGCATAATCGGTGTTTTAGCAGAGGTTCAGGACGAATGGGGATGACAAGGAGCACGCAATGAACAAAGAAGTCGATTCCACGAGCAAAATATGAATCTCAATTCAGTGGCTAATAGATTGAAGGAATGACAAAAAGCATACAAATGTAGAAATCCAATATGGGAGGTTTGTGTGATTCTTCTCTAACATAGTAAGATTTCAAGGTAAAAAAGAGAGAGAAAAACTGATTTTTAATTTCTTGGCTGATGTTTATTGTTTTCCCTATATATAGAAAAAAGAGTTAGGTTTGTGTTTTAACTACCAATTTGAGCTTAGTGTGTGATTTATTTTATCTCTCTATCTTACCTTTGTCCAATTTACTTGTAACATTTACACATAAATCTGATATTCAAAAAACTTAACTCTTTCTCATTTTGAGGTATGTTATAGTCTTATAAGAAACCTGAAACCTTAAATAACTAAGTGGTTCTAGTTCTGAAAAATTAGTTCAGAAACAGAGATGAGAGTCACTAGTGGTTTGTAATAGTGAAAGAATTGAAATTTTCATTAGCTTCATTGATCCAAACTCAACATTCATCAACATTAGTTGAGTCTGGTGTCCTTGAAGGCTTGAAAAGAGATGTCCTTTTGAATGTAATGAATCTGTGAAGGATCAAAAGGACCTCTCACTCTATCAATCTTTGTAATCACTGCTCTCTCCGGCAACACACTCCTCGCCGGATCCACCGCTGTTTCTCCGCTCAAGCACGCCGACACTCCTTTAAAGATTACAACTTCCACTTCTTCATCGTCGACAATGGCCGTTACTATAAGCGCTTCTTCTCTACACGACTGGCTATATATCTCCAACATCGCCATCTCCTCGTTGTATCCATACAATTCATCTTCATCTTCACCTCCCTCGTCTCTCACCCTTCTCCGAGCACCGCACCGGAATGCCTTCAAAGCTCTTCTCTCCGCCACCGGAGGGGCGGTGAAAAGGGTGTTTCGGTAGTTATTCAAGTTTGTGAGCGAGGGTATTTTAGTCATTTGAGCTTTCTGTCGGAAAACGAATAATCCGGCTATGCCACCGCATGGATTCGCCGGCGTGATAAGCATTGTGATATAGTAGTGCATGAGGACCGTTAGAGAGACCAAAGATTTTGTCTAGATAAGATTTTTTTTAAGTACTCATGTGTATATTTTACATGTAAGGGTAGTATCAATTGGATTAATTACATCAGAGTGCCACTACAGCTATTACCAATCGCTTTCGTTGCCTCTCTCTTCAAACCAGTGGCTACTTACTCAACACTGTACGTCTTCAATCATTTCTTCTTCTTCTTCTTCTTCCCCAAAATCTCTTTCTCAATTCTCTAGGGTTTTCAATATTCACACGAAAGCTAATGGCGATCAACGATCAGTTTCCTAATGGGTTAAGAATTCTTGTTGTAGACGATGATACTTCATGCTTATTCATTCTCGAGAAAATGCTTCTTCGTCTCATGTACCAAGGTCTAATTCTTTATCAAAGTTTCCACCTTTTCATAGATTTTCTCAAGAAAGTTCACATTTTTCTTCTTTTTGTAGTTACAATTTGTTCACAAGCTGATGTTGCGTTAACCATTCTAAGAGAAAGAAAAGACTGTTTTGATTTGGTTCTAAGTGATGTTCATATGCCTGGTATGAATGGTTACAAACTTCTTCAACAAGTTGGTCTTCTTGAATTGGATCTTCCTGTCATTAGTAAGACTCTGTTCTTTATTGTTTGTCTCTAAAGATTGAATCTTTGTATCAATGTTTCTTACATTTGCTCTGTTCTAGTGATGTCTGTTGATGGAAGAACAACTACAGTTATGACTGGAATCAACCATGGAGCTTGTGATTATCTTATTAAACCTATTCGTCCTGAAGAGCTTAAGAACATTTGGCAACATGTTGTTCGAAGGAAATGTGTAATGAAGAAAGAGCTTCGAAATTCTCAAGCTTTGGAGGATAACAAGAACAGTGGTACTCTCGAGACGGTTTTTTCGGCTAGTGAATGCTCAGAGGGAAGTTTGATGAAACGTAGGAAGAAGAAGAAGAAGAGAAGTGTTGATAGAGATGATAATGAGGATGATCTTGATCTTCTTGATCCTGGAAACTCGAAGAAGTCACGCGTTCTTTGGTCTATTGAATTGCATCAACAATTCGTTAATGCCGTTAACAAACTTGGAATTGAGAGTATGGTCCTAAACACTATCTATTGCTTATAAGAAATTCAAAGTAATTTGTGCTTATAAGAATCTCTCTTGTTGTTTCAGAAGCTGTACCAAAGCGGATTCTCGAGTTGATGAAAGTTCCCGGTTTAAGCAGAGAAAACATTGCTAGTCATTTGCAGGTATGTTTGATTGATTGATTGAATCTTTCTTACTAGGCTCTATATAAGGGTTATGACTGAATCAATATAATTACAGAAATTCCGAATGTATTTGAAGCGATTAAGCGGTGAAGCTTCGCAGAATAATGACACGGAGTCAATCAAAAGATATGAAAACATTCAAGCTCTGGTTTCCTCAGGACAATTACATCCACAAACATTAGCTGCATTGTATGGTCAACCAATAGATAATCATCTCTCGGCTAGTTTTGGAGTTTGGATTCCTAATGATGATCATCTTGGTAGATCTCAAAATGAACACTTTTCGATTGATGTATCATCGGCTTCTAACCGTCCTGTTTCTGTGGCGGTTCATGGTCTATCTTCCTCAGCAAATTTCAGACAGAGAGGTGATGTTAACAACAACAGAATCAGACAAGGGTATGGATCAAATGTTAATGAAGAATCTTGGATCTTGGAAAGGTCTTCAAGACAACGATATTGAACATCATGAATTGGCTTAAGAAGAGGAAGCTCTCTGCTCTCGTATTGGTTCTGAAACTTTTTGGATTAAAGTCTAAAGTAAACTTGTGTGTCTGCAATGTTAGCTTCGGACAAGTCATGTATTTGTAATTTGCTAGTTGCTATTAATGGGAAAGTAATTATGTTACCAATCCTAAATATTATGAATTGTTATCTCTTACTTTATTATGGTTGCCTCAAGTTTTAGCGTGATAATAACCACAAGGCATGCAACAAACAGAGTCTCAAATTATAAGTACATAAAACGCAACATTAGTTTTGTTACTGCTAATGTTGCACAACTTTAGCCAAACAAAAAGCAGCCGCTGAGGCAATCGCTCCTATAAAGGCGGTTTCAAACGCACTTCTAAGAGGTTTGCTGCCGGTGAAATGCCCTTTTGCATAGCCAAATATGAAGAGAGCGAACAGAGTTATAACCACAGACGCTACTACCGCATCTATGGCATGCGGTATGAGCATGTAAGGAAGTAACGGTATAAAACCGCCAAGAACATAAGCGATTGCAATCGTGAACGCGCTTTGTAACGCTCTTTTTGGATCAGGCTTCTCTAATCCCAGCTCAAACCTGTATGAAACAATTAAACTTTCACTTATATAACAATGTAACATGCTTATAGTAGGAATATAAACATTTATGTGATATAACAAAATCACTCGATAATTTTTATATTCACATAATTTGTTGTTTTCTGTTTGTTAATATTCACGTAATTTTTTTGTTGGAAAAAAAGATTAAAATTGGAAATCGGACCATATAAGAATCTTGCCCACACCTGGAAAGTATAAAGCTCAGCTTTTGCAGAAAACTAAAAGTATCCCTCGATTTTCTCCTTAATTAAGACTATATAATATACATAAAACAATACTAATGAAATTAGTGAGACTAACCTCATCATGAAATCAAGCCAAGCTTGAGGATTCTTACGAAGAGCATTAACCACAGGTGAATATTCATGTGGCTCTATCCCATACTGTGCCAGAATCTCTGCCACTTCAGCTGCCTCTGTTTAAATCCATATCGTAAAAAAACTGTGTTAATTTTCTTATGGATGGCTTAGATTGAGTGTAATTTTGGTCTTACCAGTTTCAGGAACGGCCACGATCTCTTCTTGTTCTCGTTTCATCTCCCTCGCGTAATGATCCTCTTCACTCTTTGCCGCTAAATACCTAAATTTGTTTTCAAATTTTTAATCTTGCAATAAACTCAAGAGTTAAATCATGCACTATTTTTCTTACAATATGATTATTACTTAAGACGAAATATGAAAATTGATTACATATATTGTAGCAAAAAAATTTTTTATTACATATGGATACATGCATGTATATGATCATTGCATGATCTAGGACTATTTTTGTTTTTTTTTGGGTAAATTAATCTATAGGACTAATTTAAACCCAACAAAATGATGTGGGACTAATTTCATAAAGAGTTACGTGTAAATTAAAACAAATCAGTATTTTAACAACTTTTATACCACAATTTATCATACGTAATAAATGTTTGTAGTAATTATACCACAAGTAGGAAATGAATCATCATTTGCATGTAGGATTAGTTTTATATGATTAATAAACTTAAATTTTTAGTCATAATTTCAAGATTTTATAGAGAGTTTACGTGTCAATATAATTAAAACGGAATTAATAATGAAAAAGAAGAAGTACCCGCCGAGTCCCATGGAGATAGCACCGGCAGCGACTTCGGCGATTCCGGCGGTAAGGACGATAGAAGAAGAAGCATTGGCACCGGAGAGACCAGCGGCGAGGGCAAAAGGAACTGTTAAACCATCGGAGACGCCGATGATGATGTCACGGACGATTTCTCCGGCGGTGAAGTGTTTCTCGGTGTGATGATCGAGAAGTGATTGCTTCTCCGGTTCGATAGAGATTCTTGTAATCTTGTCTTCGTCCGACGACATTGATGATCGATTCTCTTTCTCTTTCTCTCTCTCTCTCTCGATAAAGTTGTGAAGTGTGGGAACATGTATATATACACGCAAAGAACGAGGGGAAAAATCATTACATCAAATGAGTTATTTTGTAATTTGGTTTTAAATTTACTTAAATTTTTTCAATGAGTTTCATTTTAGTATAATATATTTCATATTATTTAATTATTGATTTGTTACCATTTATAAGAAAGCTACAAAAGATAAAACTAAGTAAATAGGCCACAAGTTTCCATGAGTTTGCAATAAAAATGTGTCAAATCTCTTACATATAAATATAAACACAATTTCAAAAGAAAACTTTTAATTCTTTTTTCTTTGGTAAACAAAACCTTTTAATTCTTTTGTAAGTAAAAGTATATATTTCATAAGTATTATTCCAAGCCTCATTAAAAAGAGAGATTATTTGAAAGCCATTTTCTAATATAATGAAGAGAAAAATACATTGTTATAGATCAATTTTTAACTACGCTAAATCTAAGAGCATCGGCATACCTTATATGTATACCTCATATGGAAAAAAAATTCATGAGAAATTCATGAAAAATTCATAACTAATTTAATGTAAGTATTTAAAAAACTTCTTGAGAAATCAAAACAAATGATTAGTTCAAGAAGGCAAACTCTAATGTCTTTTGGAAGTTGCTTGAAGTGATGTTGAGTGTTTCTTATTACTCTTAATAAGTCGCTAGGGATGATATATAAAGTTTTTCCAATAATCCTCTAATCTTCTTTTTCTTTCTTTTTTTTCCAACATTGAACCATCTCATATGAGTTAATTCTAACCGCTAAAAGTCTTGTGACCTCATCTGTAAAACTTTATTCACCGATTAAGATCCTATGCTTTCCACACAAGTTCTATAAGACAAGAAGAAATAGTTTTAAGTTTTGAACTTTTTGATCAGAACTTCAGATAAAATTGAGCGTGTTTGCCACATGCTTGTCCACAACATGAAGCCACTTATGCATTTTCTACGTGGACACAAGAAACTTTTCTAAAAATATAAAAGAAAGTTATATGAGAAAGCAACAAATCTTATATATGAGTCTGCAAAAGAAGAATGCATGAGAAAAAAGCTTATTTACATGAAGCCATATGCAACGTTCCAATTCACACCCTTTCATGTATTTCATCTTTAACTTTCTGTGACCATTTATCAGATTATTGGAAACATTCAAAGTCTCATTTGACACATAACATATAACGAGAATGTTATATAATCAGCAAATTCCCAATGTTCACACGGTTACAAATAATTACAGTTCGGTAAATGTCATCTTCATTTTCTATATAAGTATTCGATTGATCCATTTAAAAACTTTAGTTTAGCTAATTAGAATACAAAAAAAATAAAAATTATACGAAACTAATCTGATGTTTTATAATTTGATTAAGTTTTTAATTACTTCCAAAATTTATCAACTAATTTGGTTGTTGATGTATTCATTTCTGGAATAAGATAAGTAAACTTTTTAAGATTAAAGTAAAAAAATATATATAATTGGAAATTTAAGGCTTGTTCACGACCAAAATATTATTACTTTTGATATGTAATTAAATTAAATGCCTTGAACACATTTTTGGATACATTATTCGGTTTCTCTTCGTTAGGATATGGCAAAAATTGAAAAAAAAAAAAAAAAAAAAAAAAATAAGCAAAACATAATTAAAAAATAAGGAAAACCTAATAAAAAGATAAGCAAATGCTAATGAACACGTGTAAAAGTACAAATTGTGGATGTTGAGTCAGTTTTATCGAGGGAGTCACTACTTCGCATGCCAAATTAATTGAGGTATGGAATATATCCTAATATATGGTCTATCTACAAAAAGTTCTTGAACACACAAGAAACTGACCTCTAAGCCATCAAGTATCGATTGATCCCCTTGTGAAAACTCCATACCTGGCAGTAAAGTATCAGTAGGGAAATCAAAGCTTTGCCATAAGAAACCAGCTGTGTCGTTGTCCCATGTGTTCTTGATAATGAAGTTTCCATCATTAAGAAGCTCTACAACCAACGTTGAGCTAACAACGTTCCAGTTTGATCGACAAGGACGAAGTTGTTGTTGGAAGACTTGAGGATTCCAAAAGAATTAGAAAGAGGTTCATCCATGTTAGCAACCCATACATATGTTCTCTCCAGTGCCGGCTCAAATAGGGGGCGAGCGGTGCGACGGCCAGGGGTCCAATCCCGTGCTCCAATAATTAAGGGGCCCATTTTTTTTTTTTTTTTATAAAAGTATTAAAATTTTAAATTACAACATAAAAATAAAATTTAGAAGATCCCATAATTTTTATTATTATTGTTTTTAGTTTTAATAATTAACTTTTTAATAAAAATATCATACAATTTTTTTATATAACACAAAGAACACAAAAAATAAAAAATTTAAGGGCCTAAAATTTTTTTTGCCCTAGGGCCTATAAAACTGTTGAGCCGGCACTGGTTCTCTCGGACATGTTTTTGTACCAAATGCCGACATACCAACGATTGGAAGCGAGTTTGAAGAAACCCAACTCAAAGAGTGCTTTGTGAGACACTATGGTGATTGGTGCGGTTGCTAGTAAGAGTCTCTGTTGACGGAAGCTTGCTGGTAGAGATGGAGAACACAGGAACGAGTAAGCATTTTTAATCTCCATCCGAAACAAAACAGAGGTCCAATCAAGATCATCGTCTTTTATTTTTTTTGCTTCTTCTCTTCGAGATAGGATGGTTAACACTTTAATTTGTAATTCTGATCCATTTCATTACTATATCTAGCCGAGATGTGCATTGGATCTATGTAAACATTTTCCAAATTGTTTAAAATTAGGGGAAAAAATAACTAGCTACACGATGTATAATAGAATATATGACCAGAGAAGTTAAGAAATGTATAGTCAACTAAGCGAACTAAATTTATCGCATACATACATGTATTAACTATATGATGACATCACGAATATCTTATTCCGGTACGCCGTTCGTCGGAATCAAAGTTGAAATAGCTAGAAAATGAATAGAACAATTGCAGCAACCAAATTAAACCAAACCAATCCACATAAACCAGAGATTCCCACTCTTCCTTTAACAACAAACCATTGAACCAAAAAAAAAAAAAAAAAACAGTACAAGATCGCCGCCAAATGCCAAAATCGTCCATTCACACAAACCCATACGAAAGACCTGTCGCAACAAATCAACCAATGTTACGTGGTCCCAAACCAAATTAAACCGAATCAAAACCACTTCAACCGGAACTCCCTCTCTTGCAATAACAACAAAACAATTAACCAAAATCGTCGCCATCATCAATTAACAAAACCACACGAAAGAAGAGACGATCTCGTCACAAAAAATCAGGCCAATGTCACGTGATCCCAAACCAAAACCAAGTAAACCGGAAATTCCACTCTTACTTTTAACAACAACAAACCAAAAAAAACGATCGCCGCCACAAGGGCAAAACCGCCAATTCACTATCAAAAACAAATCAGTCCAATGTCACGTGATCCCAATGATAAAACCAATCCTCTCTCTCTCTCTTTTCTCGTAGTCCTTTTTCCAGTCATGGCGATAACCGTAAACGACGACGCTCTCACGGAGAGACAAAAAAACCCCAAAATCATCCTTATTAACGATTTTGCCATCCCCTCTTCTTCTTCATCATCATCATCACCTTTCATCAACCTCGCCGCAACTTTCCGCGACAACATCAGATCGTTCCTCCATGAATACGCCGAGATTGAAGATTACACCATCGACGGAGCCACCGTCTCTACCCTTTTCCTTGGAAACCAAGCAAACGGCGTCGTTTTCCCTCTTTACATCATCGAAGAACAAATCTCTGTTTCTTCTCCAAACCCTCTCTGCGATTTCTGTCGATGCGTTGGTAGGTTTTTTTTTTTCTATTGTTTTTGTTAAATTTTCGATTTTTGATTTTGGATCGTTTACGTATTATAGGTTGGGGTCATCACTATGTATCGAAGAGGAAGTATCATATGATAATACCAAAGATTGATGAATGGAATGAACCATTGACGAGCAAAAGCTTGAAGCTTTCTTCACATTTGATGCATGGTTTGATTCATTGCAATGGTTTTGGTCATTTGCTTTGTATCAACACTGATATTGATGATCCTGCTTACCTCTCTGGTGTCCAAATCATGGACTTTTGGGATCGTCTTTGCACTATTCTTCACACTAGGTACTAACCAAATTTATCTCTACATCGATCACTCTTAAAAGCTGTTTCTTTTTACTAATTATAGGAGAGATTGTGACATTCATGTTAGATATTCCCACATTGACATATAATACTTTTTTTTGCTATTCTTAGGAATGATTTGTTGTATTCATGTTAGGAATTTCGACGTCGGACGGATAAATTTTTGCTAATCATAAGGATGATGGTAGCATTGATGTTTAGAAATTCCGCATGGAACGGATAGATTTTTGGTAATCATACGAGAGAGGATGATGATAGCATTGATGTTAGAAGTCTACTTGTATAATTATTTGTATGCTAGTTATAAGAGAAATTGTGGCGTTGATGTTTAGAATTGAAGTTGACAATGAGTTGGGACGCATGAATAGATTTTTGCTAATTATAGGAGCGACTATGACATTGATGTCCTACATCGACAATAAATTGAGACTTAGTCTAATATATTGATTTTGAGATGGAATCACATAACCCTTTGAGTTTTTTTTTGTTTCTTGGGTAAACTAAGATTGAACATGAGTATTTTTATTGAAACCAAATTTCGTGTTTTTACACAAACTATGGATTGCAACAAAATCTAGTTACTTATACAAAAATCCATATGGAAATATATATTAAAATCAAGCAAACACAAACCAATTATAAACCAGAGTGAATAATGTAAAGTGAGGAGTACTGAGTAGTGTTTATAAAGTTGTTAATCAATGATTATGTCTTTGGCTTCAGGAAGATTTCTTTGGATGATACATCTAAGAAGGGAGCGATGGATCTGAGGCTGCTCCATGGTGTTGCATATGGTCGACCATGGTTTGGGAAATGGGATTATATGTTTTCTCATGGAAGCTTTGGGGTCAGAAAAGATCAGTATTGGCGAGCTATCCTCACTCTTAGCTCTATAGAAGTTGACAAGGTTATTGAAGATTTTTCTGGAACAAGTAAAGGGAGAGTGATGAAGACGATCATCGATTTCTACAGAGGATCCAGTGAAACCCCATTGGCCACTCTCTCTGATCTGCTTCGGTTCATGCTTGCTTTCAGATCAAAAGCTCCCATTCAGAGGAAGACTGCAATGACACTAGTAGCAATGTCTTTAGATCCTGTTTCATATCCTATCCTTAGAGCTGATGAGAACACTGAGGTCTGCACATCCCCTAATCAGGAATCAGATGATAACGGATATGAATCTGGCAGAGAAACTGTCCTTGATGATCATGAAATTAGAATGGCGGGCATAAAGACCCCTGAGTATTACTCATTTGATGATTTGGGCAGGAGAGAAAATTCTAGATGGCCTGGAAGGAGGTTGAATGAGGCAGCCCAAGCAGTTCTCAAAGTGTTTAAAGAGCGAAAAAGTACCATTACTCGTCAGGAGCTTCGACAGGCTGTTAGAACTAGCATTGGTGATACAGGATTGATTGATTTCTTGCTCAAACACATTGACAAAGTTCTAATAGGTGACCAGATAGTGCAGAGGTTCACAAACTCGAAAAGCCGGATGTTACAGTTCTCCCTCCGGACAATCAATTCCCGTGTTCAAGAGCAAGAAGGGAAAAAGAAAAGGAAAATGAAACCGCAGGAAATCAATGAATGGACATCCACCACTCCCGGACTGAGTCCGTACGATGACATTCTCTATCTGTATCAGAATCTCTTGTTAACTCATCTTGATTCAGACACATACTGCGAAGCGTCTCAGATTATCTTGAACTGCAAGAGCTTTATAAAAGAATGGTCTTACCAGGAACAAAATCCTTTAACAGTTAGCTGCCAAGTTCTGCCCAATCATGAAGAACTACTTAGAGACTTCACACGGTTATTACCGCCTGGTGAACTCGTGGTTGTTCCTGAAAACGCAACCATCAAAGAACTGAAATTTGCAGCAGAGAAAGCTCTGAGGGACACTTACTTCATAACGGAGACATTTGAAGTGTTGGAGATAAGAAACAGGTATCTCGAGAAGCTAGACGACAACTTGGCTCTAAAATCACAAAGGAATACAGAGTTTCTGGTGAAAGGGTTTGGTCTGGACATAGGCACAGAGTTAAGGTATGAAGGTGGTTTTGATGACTGGACTGTTGACTGCAAATGCGGAGCTAGAGATGATGATGGTGAGAGAATGGTGGCTTGTGATGCTTGCAAGGTTTGGCACCACACACTCTGCAATTCCATCGAAGACGATGAAGCTGTGCCCTCTGTGTTTCTCTGTAACATGTGTTATGAAGATAGCTTGAGATCCAAGAAACGCAATTTCAGCATTCGCTAGCCCTAGCTTGTGTTGCAGGAGATTATATATCATCCATTACTGTGGTCAAAAACTCAAAACTTACCAACCATAGCCATAGACTAAATTTTATGATGAAGACTTTTTGGCATAAAAAATTATCTGCATCAATATATGTTTAGAAGAAATATTGGAAGAGTGAAGAGTTTTATTTTTTATAAAGAGAGATGTTGTTGTTATACATGGCATGTGGAACATGCATAACATTGAGATTAAAAAGCACATGCATTATTATTCTCTCGTTTCCTTGAGTTAAATCTGTCATATCCTCCAATTGGCTCACAACATTCCTCTTTTATTCTTTACTTTTTGTCTGCCATAATCATACCCAATTAATAGTTTTTTTTTGCATTACTTTTACTTCTATTTGATATTCTAATTTTCTAAAGTGGATTTTGCTGCCAAAACATTATGACCATCATTCTTCTTTTTCTATCATTGATTTTTTTTTTTTTTTGATAATGCGAGTCAATAATTATCAATAACAGTGATCCAGCCATAAGACGAGGATGCTATATGATTAAAGATTTTTATTTTGTTGAATGTTGAGTTGGTTTTAAAGATTATCATAGTATTGTTTTTGTTTAATTTCATTCTTGTTCGAGACAAAGATCGCGACAAAGGCTCTGGCCCAATAAAACGCTCCATGTTGACTAGTGAGCCCCAGGTGGTCAATATTTATTTTTTGTTTTCTTTAATTGTCTTCTAATTGTTTTATTATTTCTAACTAACACAATTAGGAAATTTTCTAATCAAAATATCTTTAAATAAAATTAATACGAATTGCATCATATTAAAAACAAGTATATGTTCATCTTTTTATTAGAGTTTCAGTTTTGTAATTAAATAAATAAAATTGTCTAGACATGAATATTTCGACCAAGTAGAAATACTTGTTGGATCTGATAATTTTTCTTGTGGTGGTATTTACAAATTACAAGTAACGTAAATAATTTTTTTTTGTCATCAATTTCAGATATTTTACAAATTATATAGCATGCTGAAATATTAAGTTAAATTTATATTTATTCACGGAAAAATTAAAATTAAATCTATATAATATCATAATCGTGTTGCTTCGGTGTTTTTATTTTTTGTCAATCGGTTCTATCTCTTTAGTTATGAATTATTAACATTAGTATATTCAAATATATTATCATAATAAAGAGAAGAAATGATAATGATGGGTATTACTATTTTAATTGAAAAATAAAGTTGTCTGATATAATAAATATATAAAACAAGTTGCCGTAGACCCATTATCATGATCATTTGTTATATAATGTACGCATATATCTTCGTATATTTCTGCTAAAGATTGATTTATATTTAGTCTTTCTGATATATACCAATGATCATGGAAATTTCACATATATTTGATAGTACTTTATATCTTTTTTGACGGAAAATGACACATTTGCTAAACACCCAAAAAGTCACGATAACAACTACGGGCCATTGCTCTAATTTGTAACAATGCATATTGACAAATTGAAAAGTCTTTAATTTAAAGAAAAAAAGAATTGTTACATAAAACGGTATATATCATTGGACTGTTTTTTTTTTTTTTCGGCAAATCATATTTATTATATCATAAAAAGGTTTACAAGATACATGAACCACTCATATACAACCATTGACACAAATAAAGGAAATTGAACACAATTTCGATAAAGAAGTGGAATTGACCCTGCTTGCCGATCGGAAGCCTTACAGGCTAACAGATAAAATCTGTTACGTCCCCCCTTTACATACTCGTAATTGGCTATCATCATATAGATGAAACTCCAAAATGCTTTTCGCATTACTTTAGTTAAAAGAAAAAACTGAATTGTTGCTTGAAATGATTCTGCTTCTTGTCTTTTAAAACTCAATACGATATGCTGGAAACGCCGGTTAGTGGTCACGATTTCTCTTTTCATAGAAGTAAAATTTTCCAACCAAGGGAAAGAGAGAACAACATTATCACAGTCACTTGACGCCATATTCCTTCCCTTCACGCTTGTGTCTTGTTTGGATTTATACCCAAGACAATTCAATTGAATAAAACAATGGAGTCGTGCCGATAAAAGAAAGGCTTTCTTCCTTGAAAAATAATCAACATCATCATCCTCAAAGAAAGTTGCCACCTTAATTTTATAACCATATAGTACACTACCCATATAATCAATCAACGAGATGAAATATTCCAACCCAATTCGATCTCGGATTCTGATTCCATCAAGTGGATTGATTCTTCCATTGATTCCGGGATCAAAAACCCATGTAGAAACTCTATACCATTGGGTAAGAGAACATTCACCGGTTAAGACCCGGAAATTCCACCGGCAATGAACAAGCACACCGGAAACAAACTTTCTATAGAGAAAGACATCATGATTCCATCGAATCAACATTATAAGGTGGGAACGACAATGGATATGAGATGAATCTATCATATTGATCAGTGAAATCCCAACGAAATGAGAAATAAACCAAATCTGATTTGGAATTGACGGATTCAATCTCTGAAACCCAATCGTCGCGAAGAGGCAAGTGACTTGGGTTTGACAATCCCGATTTGCCATAATTAATTACTGTACAATAATTAGAGGAAGCAATTAAATAGAGAAAACGACAATGGCCGACGCCGGAAGAAGCCGACGCCGGCCGGAAACGGTGGAGAAAGAAGGTTTTCCTGTGAACCGGTGGCTTTGGAGAAAGCGTCTATGGCGAGAGAGAAAAACGGTTTCCAGGTATATCATTGGACTGTTAATCGTATAATTTTTCATTTTTATTTTTAACCAAAAAAAATATACACTTTTTCATTTATGTTGCAAAAATGTCAGAATCGGAATTGAGTTATGGAGAGTTTACCAAACCATATAATTTGTATAAATGACAATACTCTACGACGAATGTATTCCATTATTTGTCATCAAAACCTGTATCTATCAATTTATCCTAAAAAGCGTTAAGAATATTGTATAATATTCATTTTTCTTATTTTATTTTGTAAAATGTGTGGGTTCCAGTGAATCAACACAATCTCATGAACACCAAAACTTTGAAAACTTTTTGGGCCCATATCTCTCTTTTCTCCATGATGAATAATAAATAAATCACTCATACGCATTACACATCACTATTATTATTTTTCTTTGTCACACAACATCACTATTCTTAGCCAATTAGCAAAAAAAAACACATCACTATTTTTCTTTAAAACTTATTAACTTTTAAACATAATATTGATACCCGATATAATATCTTTTTAAAAATAAAATACACATAATGTATGGTTTGATGACAAAATCCAAAATAAAAATGAAAATTCAATAAAGAGGAGATCTTCGAGAAATTCCTTTTCTCTTGAGTATTCTCATGAGTGGTCTCAATGAAAAATTACTCAATAAAACTTCAGAATCTTCTGAAACATCAGTGAGGGACGATGTGCACGATTTTTTTTCTTCTAAGCTTTCTTCTTGATTAGAGTGTTCTTTCTCCAAAACACTCTGTTCCAATTTTGGAGAAAAACAAAATTTATGCTTTTTTGAAGGAGTTGATATCTACAGAGAAAAAAATATATTAAAAAAGGTAAAATATAAAGCAAATGTCTTTCAACTATTAGAGCATGCTCTAAACTCAAAATAAATTCCTATATTTGACTTCAAACGATATACGTTTTAAAGCATGTTTAACGTGTATACAACTCACAGATTAAGTAATTTCCAATTTTTATTAAATGATGCTCGTTAATGTAGATTACGTGTCGAAAATTATATATAGATATATATTATATATTTTAATTGATAGAAGATTATTTTTCTATATTAAGATAATTTCAAAACAAAATATTTATTTTTAATAAAAAATATTAAAATGAAACACTTTAAAAATTTTATTTGAGCATCTTCTAACCGAAAACAAATGAAAATTTGAGTGTAGACAATTATACAGTTTAAAATGTGTGAAATGCAAATCACTCATAATTTTCCTATATGTTATGTCAAAATATATGCCTCAAGACTAACATTTTTAGAATTTCAAGATTATTCTGTAAAAGATTTTTTTTTAATCCTTGATAACTACCAATAGACCAATCAAAACGAAATTCATATGGAAATATAAAACTTTAAGAAAATAGAAATTGAGATACCATATATTACCTTGCAGGAGATAGAGCAAAATCGATTAGGACGATCTTGAATATATCTTTTACAAGTGACACATGAAGCACCATTCTTGGATTTTGTTGAAGGTCTTGCATCTTTTGCTTGTGGTCTTGAATTCAAATGTATTGCCTTCTCTCCATTTATTTTATATGTCTTTTTCCCCATACATAAATTATTGCCAACCAATACCAAAAAACAAAAACATTAATTTGGAATTTATAGACTCTAAAACAAGAATTAAAGACTCAGCTAATGATTTTACTAATTAATTATTGAATGATTAAAAAAAAACCTGAATCTCGGAACAGTCGAAGTAGTTTTGGATATCGAAGAGACGAAGAACATCTTGATAAACGTATTTGCAGATCTGAAGACGACGATGGAGGTAATGAGAATCTGTAACTGTGTTACAACAATGTCTGCAGATTTCGACATTGCAATCAATGCAAAACACATTTTTCTCGTTCTTTCGAAGATACTTATGATTCATACATATCCCAAAGAACTCTGAGTTCAATAGTGTATCAATCCAATCTTCTTCACTTCTTCTCTTCTCACTCTGCAACAAATTATCATTATAATTTTGATTTGCATAAACTTGATTAAGATTTTTAATGAATTCATACATGGGTTATATGAAAAAAAAAATTAAAGGGATATAATCCGGAAAAAAAATAAAATCTGTAGAAATTTGAAACTTTATTGACTAGATATGAAGATTTTATATATGAAGAAATCAGTTTGCAACAAAAAAAAAAAATTATAATTACTTTTTTGAAGGATATCGAATCTGCAGAAATTTGACACTTATAAATGGATTATATGAAATAATCATAACTTTGAATTTAAAGGATAAATTCTGCAGAAATTTTATTGTTTCTAATATATATATTTTTTGTATTTAAGAGATTTGTTTGAAAAAAAACACTGCAGAAATTTTGAAACTTATTAGGATTTATGATGAACAAATTAGAAACAGGGGATGGATTACACATGAAATTAATAAGAAAATATAAAAAAGGTTTGGTACCAGATTCATTTTGGTATGAGAAACTGAGTTCCTTTGATAGATCAGATGAGCAGATTTTATATTTCTCCGATCAAAATCATCCAAAAAATATATTTAGGGTTCTTGAGGAAGAAGAAGAAGAAGGCCAAAAGCAAAAAGAAGAAGAGAGATGTGATTTGTAGTGTGAATAAATAGTAGAAGAAGGCAAACGAAATATCAAAGAAATGATATTAGGAATGTTTCAATTAATTATATATTGTGTTTTGCGAAGAATAATAAATTAAAAAAGGAAAATAAATGACAATTAATATAAAAAATAAGGGAAAAATCAAAAGTCCACAGAGTCAACAATAACTGTGGCTCTTTTATACCTAAAATGGATAGCAGGCGGGAATATGAAACATATGTAACTTTTAAGTTTTTAACCTTCACAAAAATTATTGTTTTTTTCTAGATAAATATGTAACTAATACTAATGAGGTGATTAATATGCAAATTATAATAATTTAAATGAGTGGACATAATTTGACTTTGAGGGGCATAAAGGTAGTCTTTATAATTTAGATGGTGCGATAAAGGTAAGCAAAGCTTCCTATATTTACTCCGAAATTTCCAAGGAAACAACTTATCAAATTTAGAATTATATCATTTTCAACATATACTGTACATAATTATATATACATAGATAGGAATATTAGATGTCGAAAATAAAACCGCTCCAAGTACACATAATAATATCTTAGCCAAATTCAAATCCAGCACATACATACTATACTTAAGGGGAGACTAGATTATTGCTTGATATTCGCATACATAGACAATTGAAATTTAAATAGATTGGTGAAATTTGTTACAGATTTAGTTTAAAATATCCTAAGAAATATTTTATCGTTTGTTCATAATTTATAAATTATAAATATTTATCACTTAAAAATCGTAAGGATGAATTTTAAAACCAGAAAATAATAATAATGTATTTTGATAAGGACTATATTAGCATTTATATATTACAAAAAATAAAGAAATAAATTAAAATTCTAATTTTAGGCACAAGTTCTATGGCATTCCACCGCGATACAACATATGACGGAAAATTTTCCCTATTCGAGATAATACGTATAGCCCACACATGAATTACTAAAAATGTGATATACCGTTTTCACATTTTTACGTTTTGGAAATATGATTTCGTTCAATACATACCATTTACAAAAACTTGTTACAAGTGTTTGTTCAATTTATTTCGCACGTTTTAAAATTATAACTAAGTTAGAAAAACTTAACCATTTACACGTAAAGAACCAATCATCAATTATAAAACCCTTCACAATTTTTTGATGTAATTAGAGAAGATAACACTAGATGTTTCTTTGATTTAGTAAAAAAGATTAGATATGAGCTCCAAAAATAATGCAAATTCAACTACAAAAAAAATCCATATTTCACTAAATTGTTTTAGATATATATTGATAAGTTTATATAATTATTAATTTATGATATTGATGCGATCATAATTATCTTAATTTCTAATTTTTTAAATAATAATTATTATCTTATTATCCTATCGATTTGTATTAATTATTAGGCTGGATTAATTCGAGACCGGAAAAATTAGTTTGGGTTAAGACATCATTGAGTCACCATGCCAAGTGGTACTAGTGTTACTATCTAGTGTTGTATTTCTTCTAATCTTTTATCTAGTGTTACTATCAGCATAGACCAGCAACGTTGAGCCGACAAATCCGCATTATTCGTTAGTTTCTCATGTTCCTCCTTTTTTGATTCTAGGATCAGTTTCAATGTAGGCTTAGCAAAAACTGACTAAATGTCAACATTCACTATATTATGTAGAATTGTGTATAACCTTTGATGTTTCGATTTTTATATCATATGATCAGTGAACCTAAACAGTAGATGCTTAATAGTAGATGCTTCATATATTTCGATATTGATCGGTGTTATTCTTATACTTTTGAAACTGCAGATGTATTGGATCTTCGGCTTGTAATCAAGCATTGTCTCTTTGAATGCTCTTTGGCTAAATTGAGAAGGGGTAAGACCAACTGGCTCAAAGCAAATTGAATGAATACGGAGAATGTGTTTCAAAGGCTGCTTTGATATTCCAGTGGGTGTGTGTATGGTCCAAAGTCCAAACCCCTAAACACATGGCTTTTATTAGGCTTGTGGGCTTTTTATACACATGTCTTTAGGAGATGGATTTTCAATTTTTGTTACAAAATCGTATTTTCTGACGGAAAAATAATTTTAAGACCTCAAAGATCGTTTTCTTTGCATAAAAACTACAAAGTAGATAGATAAATACACTAACCAAAAGCTTGCAGTAGATAAAAACGAAGTCATAAGTAAATGCTTCAGAAAAAAGAAAAAGAGAGAGAGAGAGAGAGAGATTTATCACACAATGCTTCATCTTCTTCTTCTACTAAAACGTTTTAGGCAATCTTGATTTCTTCAACGTCCATCCACTGAAGTGAACGAGTCAGCAAATCCAGATGGACGAGTTGGGATACTTGTCTGTGTATTGTCTTTGCTTCCATAAGCTGAAGAAGAAGATCCCGAATCATCTGCGGTCTGGCTAAGTCCCTCGAAAGCTTGCCATTTCTTAAGCACCTGCGGAAGTGGCATATCGTAGTCTATCCCATAGACGTCATCTGGGTCGGTCTCAGTTGGTTTCCATTGGACGGTGAGTGAAGAAAGGACGTTAACGATGTGAGCCATGTCAGGTCTTTGGTAAGGCTCACGGGCACAGCAATGACCAGCAAGCTCCCAGACTTTTTCAATACTGGCTAAGGTATCGTCGTCGAGGCTGATGTTTGGGTCGATTGCATTTTTGAAGGCATTTTCGTCTTTGCTGGCTGCTATCCGTCGGAACCAGGTGACTAGATGAACGCTGTCTTCGGGTTGCGTCTCATCTAGGGCTTTACGACCAGTGATTAGCTCCATAAGTATGACCCCAAGGCTGAAAATGTCAACTTTCGTCGTCACTCTTCCCGTCACTGCCAAAATCAGAGTTTAGAGCAATTGCAAAACGATCAAAGGATGAAACTTTAACATTTGGGTAAATGCAAAACGATCAAAGCATGAAAATTTAACATTTGGGTTATTAAGTGCAAAACGGCCAAAGTATGAAACTTTGACATATGGGCAAGTGAAAATCAATTGAAAGGCTGCATCTTTAATATTTGGGTAAGTACAAAGAGATTACAAACCTGCGTATTCTGGGGCAAGGTATCCGAAAGTCCCAGCGACTCGAGTCTCGATGGAGTATTTGCCATCAGGGGCTAAACGGACTAACCCAAAGTCAGAGACTTTAGCGCGCATATCATCACCAAGAAGGATGTTTGATGGCTTTAGATCCCTATGGATAAAGCTCTGATGCGCAAGTGTGTGCAGATACTCGACACCTCGAGCTACATCCAATGCAATCGCCAGCCGTCTAGTCCAGTCTAGTGGTTTTCTCCCTTCCTCTTTCCAATGAAACAGATGCTGACTCAGTGTCCCCTGAGGCATGTACTCATAGACAAGGAGCCTCTCGTTCCCGTCAAGGCAGTACCCAAGAAGTGCAACGAGATGACGATGGCGCATTTTAGTCAGAACAGTGATCTCAGATTTAAACTCAGTAAGTCCCTTATCACTCACAACCGAGGACTCCATTCTCTTCACAGCTATTTTCGTTCCATCATGGAGTTCGCCTTTGTAAACTGTCCCGAAACCACCTCTCCCAAGAATATTCTCTTCGCTGAAGTTATTCGTCACATTCCTCAAGACCTGTATCGATATAACCAAGTTCCCAGCTTCCACAACGTGAATATCACTTGCCGCACTTCCGCTGTGACTGTAGCTATCACTTCCTCCCCCACTGTTAAGACTAGAAGCTGCAACAGTGAGTTTAATGTCATCGTTGTCACCCGAATGATGTGGATGAATAACCATGTTGCTGGATGGACTCTGAACTCTAGCAGGTCGCTTCCTTTTCTTCGCGTAGAGACACACGCCAAGCCCAACCAGACACAATGCACCAACAACTCCACCAACCACAGGAACAATAATCTTGACATTGCTTGACTTCTTAGAAGTTTCACTGCCACCACTTCCTCCTGAAGGTTTACTTCCTGGTGAAGCTCCAGGAGAACCACTCGGTGAGATAGGTCCGGTCTTTCCGATATTAACGTTCCCTTCAATCACCAAATGTACAGTGTCCGGAAACTTTGGCACGACTCCATATAGATCGTTGTTAGACACATCGAGTGTCCGAAGCTTAGACAAAGTGGTAAGCTCAGTCGGTATAGGCCCAGAGAGTTCATTATCAGAAAGATTGATAGTCTCCAATGAAGTAAGATTAGCTAAACTCGCGGATATCGTACCCGAAAGATCCTGTTTCCTCAGGTTAACCACCGTAATGTTACCTCCAGAACAAGTAATCCCAACCCAGTTAACACACGGATTGTTTCCTTTCCAACTACTCGCAAGCTTCACTGGATATCCAAATGATTCAGCTACAGACACCAAAGTATCCACACGAGGATCACAAGCCTCACCAGCTATACTAGTACAAAAACTATTCGTGTTGTTGAATATATCAACACCAACGGATTTGCCAAACAACGGAGTCGGTCCTTGAAGCAAATTGTTGGTTAAATTCACAGTAGTAAGCGAATTCAAACGAATCAAAGACTGTGGAACAACACCAGTAAGCTGATTCTCTCTAACATTAAACACACGGAGAGATAACAAACCAGAGAGATCAGGAATTGGACCTGAGAACTTATTTCCTTGAAGAGAAACCTCAACGAGCGAAGTCATATTCCTCAATATCGAGATCGATCCATTAAGCTGCTCTCCCACTTGACCATTCAAGAACAGAGACTGAATCGAAGTACCAGCAAAACTCACCGGTAACTCTCCCTGTAAACGATTCTGAGACAGTTTCAGATTCGTCAGACTCGGAAGTGACTGAGAACCGAAGAAATCTGGGATCTTTCCAAAAATGCTGCAATTGGAGAGAGTTAGATTCTGAAGAGACGTAGCTTCTTTAATGGTGTCTGGAATTTGCCAAGGGTTAAACGGATTGTTCTCGAGATACACTTCTTGAAGAGAACTCATACCAGAGAAGAGATTCTTAGGTACAGACTCAAAGAGATTGTCGTGTAGATTGAGAGTCTGTAAACGACTAAGACCAGAGAGATCAGGAATCGGACCAGAGATTCGATTTAGAAAAAGCTCAAGAACAACCAATTCAGAGAGTTTCTGAAGATCAGTAGGAAGAGTTCCACGAATCCCTTTTTGTTTAAGCTGAATCTTAGTAACACGATTACTTCCATCGCATTCAACAGATTCCCATTTACAAGGGTTAGGGTTAGACCAATCGACGTCTGATGTAAGATTCAGACTTGATTTGAGAGCTTCCATAGTCGAATCATCGACACCGTTTTGAGAAACTGAGAAATTGGCCAAACCCAGTAATGAGATGAGGAAACAGAGAGTACCCAAATGGAATTTCGACATTTTTGTCGGCGAGAAGAAAAAAACTCAGTGGAGCTTAAAGTAGTCGCCTTTGAGAATTTTGATTCTAGGGTTTTAGGGAGGCATTGAAGAAGAAGATGAAGAAGAAGAAAAGGTTTGCTTTTTTTTATTACAGAGGAAAGGGAGAGACAAATTAAGACGAAGGAATCGGCGGAGATCGAGGAAGATAGAAGAAGAGAGCAATACAGATAACAAGATTAAAGTTAAGGCAAGGATCATAAAAGCATTACCTTTTTATTTATTTTTCATTCAAACAAAATATTTATTCTTCTGGAGAAAAATGGATGAACCATAATTAATTTTTAAAAAGTAGAATTTAAGTTTTGCTTGTGAAGAGTGTGTGTGAGAAAGTGTATATTTTCTTAATAGTTTTTTTTTATTTATTCAAAAAAAATCAAACGTTATGAGTACAGCTGGCAAAGGCGGCATAATTAAGTGGTAAAAACAGTAATAAAATCACCGAAAAAATCCATAATTAAGCAAATGAGATTATATAAGTACATAGATCTGAAAATATCAAAAAAAAATCCAAAATTATGAATAAGATACAAATTCTATGACATTTATATATTTTTTTCAATTTTGGTATTTATATTAACATTTGATTTTATCAAGAACAAAATGACAATGTGAAGTTTCTTTTCTTAGAATATCCAATAGAAGAATTTTACCATTTTAAGAAGATTTAACAATTAATTATGTCAAAATTGGTAATAAGAAGAAAATAATATCTACTGAAGATAAGAAAATGATATGGTGTTGATTTGTTCTTTATCTTACATATGTATGTGTATCTCTATGATTGAGTATATTTCGGCATTTTTCGACTAACTGCTAATAATATCGATTGTCTTTCCTAATTTTTAAATATTTTTTTGTAATAGATCTTGGATTTTTCTTCACATTATTTCCATTTGCTTCTATAAAAAGAATATTATTCCTTCTTATAAACATTGTGTGACAAATACTCTCCGATACGTGAAACTTATCTGTATTCATTAAAATAGAAAAGCATTTAATACGGTGACGGTGGTTATCTATTATTTAGGGTCAAATTAGTGGATAATTGAAAATTTCATCGTAACGTGCTAATGACAGTTTAAGATACGGCTTTTTTTAATTAATTTTTTTGACTCAATGAGTCACGACTTCGTGAGTGTATAGTAATTTATTTTTTTATCTTTTAATAAAAAAATTAGAAGATTAATGAGTACTTTGCATGGTCTTAATCTTTCTCATGACTAAGAGCATCCGCAGTGGTGTATCCTTGCGTGGGGTGTATCTATTTTAAAATACAGAAATAATGTAAAAGTTGTTTCTCTCTTCACACCCGAGTGTAAGTTTACACTCGGGTGTAAGACACTCTATCTCTCTCTCTTTCTCTTTCTTTCTCTCTCTTTTCTCTCTCACTTTAAATTATAATAATAAAAAAAATCTTACACCCCTCCCTCACGCTTACACCACTGCGGATGGTCTAATTTGACCAACAAGATAAATGTGATTATGCAGTCCCGACAAAAAAGTTTTAACTGTTAAAAAGACAGACGCCGTGAAATCCGGAGCATATTAGCCACGCATTAATCTTGATTCGGCTGATTTTATAACGGTCGTTATCTTACGCCGTTTACTTTTTCTTTTCTTTTTGTCTTTTAACGCCGTTTACTATTTTTAATGTTCGTTAGGTTGGGAGTTATTATTACTTACCAGTTTCACTCTAACCTAGAACTATTCTTTTTCTTATGGTATTGAATGTCTGTTTTTATTCTCTAATATTTTTAAATTAATAATTACTATATCATTTTAAAAATAAAATATAGTACGACATTTATAACTTCTTGTTAATCTTAATCTTTAGAAAAAATAGTGAAAGAAAGTAGCTAAAGATTGGTGTATTATACGCACCAACCATACTTTAGACTCGCACGAAATGTAGATCAAACACTTGTACGTAGAAAGATTACGTGACAACAACAACTAGTCCACAATGTTGTTCGCTACGGTCACACATCAACCACATCTATTTCACTTACTTCTTATTTCAATCACTTCAATTCTCAATAAATATAAAAATCAGATATTTTATATTCACTCACTCTTCTTGGACAAGTCCTAATTCTTCTCATCCTTTATAGATTACATCGACAGTTCCGGTTAAAGGGTTGTTGATTGGCTTTGGTTATCTCCATCGGTTTAGTGAGATTGAATACCAAGAGCACACTTAAACGCAGTCGTTTTAAGACTTTGCTCAATTGCTCTGTTTCTGCGGTTTGGAAGCTCAAGTTATCGACTGAGCTAGCTAATGAAGAGGCAGTTGTTCGATTTCTTTCTCTGTTCTTCGTTCACTTCAGTTGAACCGATTCGGTTGTTAAACGAGCTCAAAAGATGAATCGAAATCGTCTCGTCTCAGGTTATAACAAGATGTTATATAAGAAAACAAGTGATTATTAGAAAATTACACGAAACTGATGTTTAAACGACTAACCAAATCTGATACAGTACAAGCGATTCCCGTGGGATTAATACTTACGCTAAGATTAACACTGAACAGTCGAGACGTTGTCGTTTAACAACATACTGGTCATAGCAAGCTACATTACTTAGGTGACAAGAAAAAAACCTTCAAAATCTCTGGATTGTGAACCTATATGTACAGAAACCAAAATGCATATTTATCCCAACCAATCAGCAGAATCGGTCCATTCTTCCGGCTGCTGAGAGAAAAAAAAACTCGCCGGAAGATTGGATTACGACGAAGCTGAGATTGTTGGATTAGGTTTGAATGATTTGGCAACGGATTTATAGAGATTCTCTTCTTCAAAAGGTTTGGAGACGTATCCATCCATTCCACTTTTCAGACATTCCTCATAGGTCGCGTGTATCACATCCGCGGTCATTGCTAGAATCGGTAAATGCCATTCGAGATTCGTCTTCTCTTTAGCTTCAATCTCCATCATTCTTATCTGACGAGTCGCTTCAAATCTGAAAATTAAAAGGGTAAAAACAATCAATGAAGTTTATAAAGATTTCAACCGCGAACCAAACCAAGTTCGGTTATATTTTGGCGGGAAAATTTTCATACAAAACAGAATAATCCAAAAACAGTATTAGTTGTGATTTAGTCATTTAACTTACCCGTCCATCTGTGGCATTTGAATATCCATGAAGCAAGCATCAAAATTGTGTGGAATCTGAAGCAAACCCAAAGCAACTTGACCACTCTCTGCACAAACCACTTCTGCTCCAAATTTCTTGAGAGCTCCTGCAGCTACTCTCCGGTTAACTATATTATCATCCACCACAAGAATCTTCTTCCCGGTAAGCAAGCTCTTGAGAGTTGCGGGTGATGATCCTTCGGGATGTTGTTGTCTAGTTTTTCTCAGCTCGAGAACTTGTTGCAGACACGCCCCGATCATGCTTGCTCTTAACGGTTTCATTATTACCGTATCTGCAAATCCTGCGGATTTAGCTCTGTCGAACTCCGAATTTGTGATGTTTGTTGCGAATAGAGCGAGTTTTGGAGACTTTTGATGAACGTTTCCATTGGTTCTTGAATTCAATACACGTATCTCTGAGTCGATATCTTCAGTTGAAATCCATGAATCTTTCTCTACTAAGATCATATCAAGTTGCGGTTTTGTTGTTCTGCAAAAGGCGGAAAAAACGAGTTATTTTTGAGGCATATTAGATCGAATCGAAATGTGGCTAAACTGATCAGTTACCAATTTTCTTATACCAAACAACGCAAACAGAAAGAACACTTTATGCTACCATACCAAACCGAAACAAAAGCTCAGTTATAATTCGGTATTGAACCCTCTAAATCGAATTAACCAGAGAGCCAATCCAACCGAAATTTCAAATGGCCAATCCTTTTGTTATTTCCATGACTTAGGTCCAATGGAACTAGAACAAATGAAAGAATATATTTAAGCTTTCGACGTTTTACCCGGATGGAAGAGGAGAACCGTTTCTTCCAAACGCAGCAGCCGCAGCAACGGCGGTTTTGAGACTTGTCACGACATCAACATTGATTCCGAGTCTTTTCATATGGTATCTAGTCACAGCAGCTCTAACGGGCTTAGCATCAACAACTATGGCTCTCATTCCTTTAAAAGTAGAAGGCAAGTGCTCCACATTCGGTTTCTTCAAATGGTTAATCGCACTGCATTTATCGCATCTCTCTAAAACAGCCGTGAACCAGAACGTGCTTCCGATGTGAGGCCGGCTTATGAAATTTATCTGACCACGCATAAGTTCGACAAGACACTTGCTTATACTCAAACCAATCCCGGTACCTCCATAGTTTCTTGAAGTCGAGCTATCCGCTTGCATAAACGGCATAAAAACACGGCCTTGCGCAACTAAAGGGATTCCAATACCGGTGTCTTCTATTGAAACCATAAGCCTAACATTGCTAGAAATATCAAACTCCGATAATGACTGCTCCTCAGAGACCAAATGCTTGAATGAATCCCAGCTATTCCGACCATCAGCAGCTTCGTAACCGCTCAACGTGTTGTAACTCGACGGTTTGGAAACAACAATCATTTCTTCAGACACTCCTCCATTCAATGCGGTTTTCGGTTCAGCTTCATCTTTTGATTGTTCCACGAGATGGACTTTGACAAAGATATGTCCTTTCTCTGTGAACTGTCAAAAAGACAACATCTTATCAAACAAAAATCCAAGTTCCACGGAGAAACAAAAACAATAGAAAAAGGAACTAACTTTAACCGAATTTCCAACAAGGTTTATGATTATCTGTCTAAATCTCCCTGAATCTCCTTTGACTATCTCTGGTACTTTGTCTGAAACGAAAACCGCGAGCTGCCAAATTTGAAGTCAAGAAATCAGCAGCAACAACTCCAAAAACACTTATCTTTATTCCTCGGATCGAAAACTTACCTCAATGCCTTTGTTCCTCGACTCCTCAGAGAATAGAGAAAGGACATCATCTAATATCGAACGGATATCAAATGGTACTGATTCCAATTCCAGCTTGCCAGCTTCGATCTTGGCGCGATCGAGAACCTCATTTATCAATGCAATCAATGCTTTACCACATACTTGTGCGGTTTGAGCATAATCTCTCTGCGTCGAGCTAAGTTCTGTATCTAGGAGCATAGCAAGCATTCCTGCAGAGAATATAAAAACCAAAATCTGTGAGGCAGATTGAGAAACCAAGATGAAAGGGAAAAGTATTGTAACTTGTTTGAAGATAGAGTACCGAGAATGCCATTCATTGGTGTCCTGATCTCGTGAGACACGGTGGCAAGAAACTGCGATTTAGCGACATCAGCAGCTTCTGCTCGGACTTTAAGCTCTTGCATTTCATGGAAATCATCTTCGACTTTTACTATGTGCATAGCTGCACCATATAGTATATAACCCACCAAGAAACCAATCGCAAAGAACAATGGCACAGTTGTGAGCACATTCAACGGTATTGGTGCCTTTTGGTGGTACCTGTACTCGATATTGTTTAAACAAGATATCAGTTTTTAGATATCAGAAAGAATTATAGCTTAAAGATATTCTGTGTGGTACCTGCATATCATCTTATGTTTCCTGAAGGGGTCTCCAAAATCAAGCTTGCTCTCATGAGAGAGAGATGTGTCGCCTTCTTCGTCTTGATTGCCATACATGACAAGTGGATCTGATGCATTGGTGATATCATACACGTGCACAACTATTGCTTGGTTACCAGCAAGCTGGCCGAGTAAATTCTCGACAAGAGACTCTACATCAAACGCACCACCTAGGTACCTGCATTTCAAATTCAGGCATCAATCTTCACATGATCACACACATAAACCAATCTTTAGATCTCAGAAAGCTCTTTCCTTTACATGATGATCACACACATAAAGTCATAAACCAATCTTGAAATCTCGAAAATCTTTACCCTGCAGTGGCTGCAATACGCTCTTGGACAGTCGGGTTTTCAGGAAGAGAAGACTTGTAGACAGGGAATGTCAACACAACTCCGAGATGGTGAGTTTCCAACAACCTAAACGGGCTTGTCAAGACAGCTTTTCCGGTTTCTCTAGCTCGCAAAATGTTCTCCCGATCCTCCTGCAGAAAAGAAAGCCAAAATTCAGAAGCTGTGCAGGTGGGATACATAACCCGAAAAATCAAAACCAGAAGTGTCAGATAATGTTTATATTACCTCGCCTGACATCATATCGAGTGACTCAAGGTAAGAGACACTATCTTGAGAGAATATAACAGGAGCATACTCATCCCTAACCGGTGAAGGCTCTCCTCTATCCATTGTCTTTATAACCCAATTGTGCTGCCGCTCAAACATCTCCCTCTCAAAATTCACAACTTTTTCAGCGTAAGCCACTCCACTTAGCAACGGTCTCTCAAATGCTGTTCTTGCCGTGTATTCCGCAAATGTCTCCTGCAAAATTTCGCCACAAACCACAAGAGTAAAGATTATAACCCCAATCAAAGCAAAGAGCCAAAATTTCCCTTCATTTACTCAATAACCAAACATAAAAGACCAAATTTTCAAAAACTTCTGGTTCCAAAAAAAGTCAACTTTGCATTTATGAATCCAAAAAAACTTTCCCCAAAGCTTTGAGCTTTAATAAACCAGACACTGACCTGATCAATTGCAGATGGGTTCTTGTGATAATGAAAAGTGGAGACGAGAATAGCCAAAGCATGAACATGATTAACACTAACACTAAATTGATCCTGTAACATTCTAGCTCTTTGATCACACATGCTCACCAAAACCTCTTCTCTTCTAACCTTGTTAGTATCATCCATCCACTGATAAATCCCACTGCTTATAAACCCAACAATGATGATCCACAGAATCAAAGCTTTTGGTAACAACGCTCGATGGTCTTGTATGAAAGTTGACCCTTTTTTATTACCCATTTGATCGTTATTACTATTCATCTTCACCGCCACTGAATGCTGAAGCTGTTGCTGCTGCTGCATCTTTGCAAAACCCATCAACCCCGACCGCCAAAAATCGATTTTTCTCGGTTTTTCTGTCGAATTCAGAGCACCACCCAGTTGATAAAAATCGCTGCTTTTCAAGTTTCCTAGTGATTCAGAATCAGAAATTTCAATTCTTCGTGGCTCTTCTTCTTCTGGGTTTTCTAATTCTTGATGATTGTTGAGTGCCCAGTTCATATCTGAGCTAAAACAATGGAGAAAAACCAAGAAGAAAACAATAGTGAAATCAAAAGTTAGAGCCTTTTTTTGCATTCATATAACATAAAGCATGCGTAGTGTTATAGTATGATTAAGAATTTTACCATAAACATTGTTTATACAAAAACAAACCCTAGAAACCTGTACACGAAAAAGGACATGTTTTTGCAAATTCAAGAACAAAAAAAAAGAGAGAAAGAAGAAATTTTTTCTCAACGCATGGTTCTCAAAAGAAGCAACTTTGCTCAGTTTCCAAAGGTTTTGTTACAGAGAAGAATTAAAGAAATGTTTTTCACTAATTATTGTCAGAGAAATTAATTAATACTAAAAAACACACTAATCAATCATAAGCTCTTTACAGGCGTGAATGTTAGTTACTATTATTGTTGTTTCTTCTCGGAACAAGAACACAGCTTTGTTCACTGTCTCAAATCCAACAATAAAAATGTCATTTTTAAAAAATTAAAGCTTTGACCAAAGAAAGAAAGAACACAGAGAAACATAACACCAGAAGAACAACAACTAAGCACACACAAAAATAAAAATAAAAACTTTAGAGAATCGGAGCACATGGAGAAATTATTTTTTGCATTACCTGTAATGAGTTGTGAAAGGATTGAACATTGCATTATTAAACTCAAAATCTCTTCTTCTCATCACTTAAACAAACAGATTCAAATGTATTCCATTTTTCTCTTCTTTTGTTTTAGTAAAAATTGTAATGAGATTTATTGCTTTTAAAAGTAAAGAAAATTGAATCGAATTTTTTAGATTTTCTTCAGATACGTTTCTCTCTCTCTCTGTCTCTGTCTATATCAGTTTTTTGCTCTGAACTTTCTTTTCATTTTTTTACTCTTTTTATTTTCTTTTTATATCTCTGTAGCTCTTTTTTTTCTTTTTCTAACTTGAGTCCAACTTTGAAGAAGAAAAGTTTTGGACTTTTTCTTAATGGCTCATGATATGATCCATCCAACAAAAGTTATTATTTTAGCAAAATCTTCTCAAATTTAACATCATTATCCGAAATAGATATAGTTATTGTGACACTAGCTAGGTTTGTCTCAAAAACAAGATTTTTAGTTGGAAAGATGATTCAAGATTATCCAATTTCATTATCTCTATTAAATTTTATTAATCCATAATTAATCAACTAAATGCTAGATACTTCGAATTTGAATGGCTGCGACAATTAGGACGAACAAATCTGCTTGTGTATTAGACCGTTTTTATTTACTATTCATAAATTACACTCTACGGAGTAGGTTGTAAGAAAATAGAAGAAATTTTCCGCGAATCAACTATAAACCGTTTTTACACATAAATAAACTTGATCCATTATAGATTATCATGTGTTCTGAAAATAGAATAGTTTAGTTCGCTTCGTCCGCAACATTTAATCAAATCCTTGTTAACATTTAGAGTAACATTTAACATGTTTAAATTTTTATAAATAAGTAAAGTAATAGGCACAACTCACCACCTTCACAAATTCAATATTTCCCTCTGTTTCACAAAGAATGTCATTCTACCATTCTTCACACAAATTAAGAATAGTAAACAAATTTCTTTTCTACCCCTAATTAATACACTAGATAATATCATAATACCCTTTCTCTAATTAATAAGCTGAAAAAGTAGGGATAAAAAAAGAATTAGTATTAAAAACTGCATTGAAAACATAAAACGACACTCTTTGTGAAACAAGATTAAAACCTTAAAACGACACTCTTTGTGAAACGGAGTGAGTATCTATCTGTCCGTTTACACATAAATAAACTTGGTTCATGACGGACTGTTATGTGTCCTGAAAATAGAATAGTTTAGTTCGCTCTGTCCGCAACATCTATTCAAATTCTTCTTAAATTGTCAGTTAACATTTAGAATAATATTTAACATGTTTATATTTTTATAAATAAGTAAAGTAATAGATACCACCCAGTCACTCACCACATTCACAAATTTATTATCTATTTTTCCTTGAAATAAACCAGTTATCTTAACTTTAGAAATAAAACGTTTTGTTTTGTTTGTTTTTCTTACACCAAAGAAAAACAAAACGTTTTGTTGAAAATAATAGAAACAAAAAATATAGGTGAGTGAGAGACTTTGTACTACGAAAGTCGCTATCGCATATCTTGGTGATAATGACATCGCGACAAAGCGCAGATCTGGCCCCATGAGCATTTTACCTGAAATACCCACCATTCTAGCCTCCTAATTACGAAACTACCCTGATTATATGGGCCTGATTCGTAAGCCCATCATATATCCACGTGTAAATCTATCTTCAGACAATTGCATGAGTTGGTGCAGGGGATTGTAGGATTCAAATATTGTGAATAAATCAAAACAAAACAATTCTTATCAAATCACATTTATAATAAAAAAGAATTTAATATTTTTTTCAAAGTCAGATTATGAAATTCAAATCAGATTGTATGATATTTGTAAGTCAGCTGATTGTAAAATTCAAAATCAGATTATTAAATTCAAGCATTTTCATTCTGAAATTTTCATTAAATTAAAGTACAAGTAGGTTTAGACTTTGGTACATGATTCAACTGTTGACTAATGGTAATTAAAAAAAAATTATAAGTATGTTTGTACGCAACATTTTTGGGGCTTTTGTTAAACCTAACAAAAATAACTCTAAACAAATAGACAATTAATGTGTGAATATATATCATTAGTCATTAGTCAATGCATTGAAAAATATTTTCTGAAGATTGAGAATTGGCCAAATGGGTGGATGGAAATACTATTTTCTTTTTTGTTATGTATGGTTTATTCAGGGAAATGTCTTATAATAAAAAGTGATGGGTTTGGCATTGACCATTGTTTCCTCTTTTTCTTACACTCATGCTCCTTCATATATTTCTACTATCTTTTTTTTTTGAGCAAACTATACTTATAAAATGTCTCGAACTCGGGCTTGAGACTAACTGCGAAACAGTTTTTTATTGATCCAACACAAACCCCTAACAAGCAATAATTTCTTTCGAGCTAAAGTGTAATATGTTTGACCAAAACATTGGAATTAGAAGATAATGCGGAGTTTTTCCGACGTTTATATTCACATAAAGCATCAATGTTCATGTTCATGTAGGACACACGATTTTTTCGACTAGTTTACAAAGATATGAAAAGTAGAATATGTGGATTTAGTAGTACACAAAGAGAGGAAAAAAAGGTGGTACATAAAGGAAGTGGTGCTAACAAAATGTGTGTATGTCGGCCATGTGAGATTTATGTTGACTTTATATCATTAAATCATTCAGTGGTTTCAAATTATCCTCTTTTATTTGGATTTTATAAGATTTTGTAACATATTCTATTTTTCGGTGTTTGTATTTACTCTCTAATTATGTTTTTCTTTTTGTTAAAGATCTCTAATTATGTTTTGGTCACATGCTCGAGCTCGACAATCACTCCATTAAACCAATTCCTTTATTTACATAAAACCAAAACCAATCCACTCTATTTCATAAATTTATTTAGTTAGTTATAATCTTTTAGTATATGTTTATAACTTTTAACAATTCACACAAAGTATTCACTATTTTGAGTCAAAAAAGCAGACTAGTGTAATCGTTCTTTTTCCCAAAGGTTATATAAACAATCACGATTTAATAATTACTATCTCAATCAATCGTAATTCAAAAGTCCAATAGAATATTCTATAGAGATAATATCAACTACATTCATTAAATATGATATCCTATGTTAAACTATAATTATCACTCATAAATCAACATCGATCAATGATTCTTTGACCAAGAAAAAGTTATTGTAATTAGGTGAAAAAATCCAAAGATATCACACTCAAATGACACACAATATATATATATATATATATATATATATATATAGTATATTACATGGTATTTGTTTTCAAGAATCAAGATTGTCCATGTACATGAACAAGACAAACGAATGCTTGAAGATTCATAAATTTATACCAAAAATATGGTCACAATCATTAATACATTAGATAAAATTTACTAGTTTGATGTATTTAAATGTATAAAACTCATGGTGATCTAGTGGTTGAAAGATTCACTATGAAGTTAAGAGACAAGTGTTTGAGTTCTTATATTATAGCCAATGTACAAGAAAACGTTAGGCGTTAAGTAGGCGGTGACCTAGTGTCTAGCGCCTAAAACGCCTAATCGAAATTTATACGATTTTAGGGGGTTTAAACGTTTATAACATAAATATTATAAATATGATACTATATATAAAAATTAAATAAAAATATTTATCAAAAACATAATATATTAAATCGTAAACAAAATTTAGACAAAACATTTCTTAAATTTATATCAAATAATATAAAAATGTTTATAACTATGTTTATGGATATAAAATTTTGTTAGAAATTGAAAAATATACTAAAACAAAACATATGTAATTTAAGTAGTCGAGACGGTCATCTACACGTCGTATGAACTTCTAGAACCTAATCGGACCTAGACGGCCGTCTAAATTATTTTTCGAACACTATAGCTAGTTTAAAACTTTTAATCAAGGATGACACCTTAAATGGTAACTATCTACTCGGCTTTCCAGAGATCGCATCTCATGACCTGCCTGAATTTTAATCGGCTTTGGAGGTTTCATTTTCCATTGTCAAATTATTTTCTTTTTATGCTTTATTTTTCCATTTTATTAACTTGATGCAGGACCCAAAAATTGAATTTTATAATATTTCCATATCAATTATGTTTTGGCGTCTTATATCTTACATAACAGAATTTCTTACGTTTTTATATTGTTTTGGGCCGCTAAATATTGTATATCTTTAACAAAAAAAAATCATTGTTCTAATATTTATCAATTTTTGCTACCTTTAAGATATACTATATACAATTTATTTTATCTCTACCGACTTAAATAAGTAAGTGGGTTTTTTACTTGAGGTTTCAAATTTGGGCTAGATTGCGATATATTAAAGACCTTATTGAGATGGGCCGGTTTGAAAACTTATCCATCTCTTATTGGACTTGGACGTGAATATATAAGACGACCACATAAGTACATGCATATGACAGAAAATAAAGTCAACGGCTATAAGCAGATTTAAATATTGACTTTAGTTTATTAACTACTATCGATAATAATTCATACTATTACGATGGTTTATTTTTAACAAGAAATGGTTAGTTTTTAGTTTAATGAAATATGCATGTTTGATAATTGATTCGATTAAAGAAGAAATGGTGAGAATCAAGAATGTTTCAGAAGAAAGCAACAAGGCGAGGAGAGAAGCAGAAAGTTTTGAGAGAGTAATACAGATGAAGACAGAGAAGAAGGAGGAAGAGTATACGGTGAAGCTTTCGCTGTTGTATTTGCAAGAAACAGAAGAGCGACGAAGGAAGAAAATTGAGGAGCTTAAGGGACTTGAGAACTCACATTGTGATTATAAGAACATGAAGGTGAGAATGGAAGCTGAGATTGCTGGATTGTTGAAGAGAATGGAAGTTACAAGACAATAATATGTCTGAAGAAATATGCAAAAACAAAAACATGTTTGTTTAATGGTTACAAGTCTTTGTTACGTTTGTTGTTAAGTGTTGGAGAAACTGATAGATGATAGATGAATATTGTGTAATTTACTATTATTTCCATGGTATATCTTTACTAATAAGTTATATTTAATTTGGGTTATTTCTCTGTTTTCTTGAAAATTTGTTTTCTAAAGAGTATTATAATTCTTAAGAGATAAAGAGGTGACTTCCCATCTATAGATCCTCCCCTCTGAAATGTATCATCAGATATTGACATAGTAGAAGAATGTGCTCTACTGGGCTTTATAAATTAAGGCCCATATTCGTGCCCTGTCAGTTTTAATCTAAATGAGAACATTCCCATAATAGAAAACCTCATTGTGAAATAGAGAAAAATTAAAATAGATTTTGACATTTTGTTGTTTAATTATAGTATAATTATAACTAATACCAATATATAATGTTAATTAAAAGATACTAATAATTTTTAAAGTGGTTTATACTTTATGGTGGCTTACAGTGGTTGTCACTGTTTTTGCCACAATTCTCAAAGCACTCTTCTCAATCTTTTTAGTGCCTTTGTTAATCATTTTGTTTCTTCAAAATTTTCCCAAGACAAAATATACATAATTTGAGATTTATTTTCTTTTTAACCTTTTACGTAACTTTTTTATGGTCATTTTTCATCGGACCTTAATTAGAAGTAAAATCAAACTACATCTCTTATATTTATAGAATAGAACTATATTTTGTACAGTGATTTTTCATGACCACCATAAGTTGATTAATTGGATGGTCATTACTTTTCCATTTTTAACATTTATACGTTTACACATGTTTTTTTTTTTTTTTTCGTCAACGTTTACACATGATATTTATCTACGAAATCATCAACTAAATGCGACAGTCACACTAAACTTATCATCTTTAAAATGTCGTTAAGAAAATGATAAATAAAATTAAATAATCTGCCTAATACTTTGGTCCACAGCTGTCATGAGGCTGCATACACTTTCCTCAGTATTTTTTCATTGGTAAATCTGACCTTTTTTTTTGTCAACTGCTTTCTCTATTTTTATTTATTTATATATAAAGAATTTTCTCTAATTTATGAATGTAAATATTTATCACATAATAAAAATAAAATCTTCGTTTTCTAGAAAAAAAAAATACTCTTTGATACAAGTGATTTTTTAAAATACCCCTCCAGCCAATGAAATTCTGTCAATTTTGGAGAAAAAAGCATTCAAGTTACATTACATACTTTATATAATTTGTAATCATAGTTTCAAACTTTTTTTTTCCGTTGTTAGGTTACATGGACCCATCACCACAGGTGTTGCCCTATTTAAGAAGGTACTTCGATTAATCACAATGACATAAAATCAACATTAATATAACGGACTATATATTTCAATTCGTACACAAAAACAATGCATATTCGAACCTTTGAGGATTGATGTTTTGACTCTTAGGTACATAAAATGGACCCATTGGTGCCTTTGGTCCACACGAGCTAGTACATTTCAAGCTATATGGATAAGATAAACAAATTTTCATTTATAAATATTTGATTTAATAAAGAAGCTTCATTGATTATATTCTGAAATCAATTTATAGCTTTGCTTTCCTCGAAAACATTTTTTTTGTTCAAAATCAAAATCGTCACGAGGGTTGCGAACTATGGATATTGCCATACAATGGTTCGAAAAGTGGTGACGTGGCAGTTTGAGATTGAGACAAATTCACATCCACAAAACAATACAAACGGTCTATCCATAACACGACTTCATGCTTATCTTAGCTGTCTTTATCTCTCTACCTAAGATTTTATTTCATTTAAGTTACTTGCACGTAACTCTAACTATACCAACAACGACATTATCATGTTTATAAATGATCCTTTATTTATGTTGACATAAGATGCAATAAATCACTACGCTTTTATAAGTATATGTCAATTAACTTCTCTATAACAGTAATTTACAAACAAAAAAACCTTGATAAACAGCGTTTAACTTATACAAACCATTTAAAAAAGCATTCATGAATAGTCGAATACAACTAATTTAGTTACACCCATTTAGAATCTAAATAAATAAGATCTGTAGGATCATATTGATGATAGCACATATCATAAAGTTTTGTGAACGTTCAAATTATATTTTTAGAGATAAAAAAAGGTAATGATTTGTTATGGGATCATGAATCATCCAATGTGATGAACCCTACTGCTTAATCATATAACTATTCATCCACTAGCACTCAGCCACTCATGTTATAAAGAAACAAAAAAGGAACTACAAAAAAGCCACTACTATATTAATAAATTTTATCAAATATTAAAAAAAGAAGTTTAATCAAATAATTATTTTCATTTATAATTAAGAAGCTAAAAAAAAAATCCGCCATGGAACCAAAAACAAAGATTAGAATCTACCTACAAGTAATCTTATAATTATATTAAAGCTTTTTATCGTCTATTACATAAAAAATGTGCTAGAAAAAATTGAAATTTATAACTAACAACTTCTTATCTCCAATGAGCAAAATAACTAGAAACCGTAAGAACAAAAAAACCACTCTGATTTTTATACATATTATATATAGATGAAGTAGTTGTGACGAAGATTGCATTGTATGTTTGTGATGTCGGGAATATATGATGAGAACGGACCTACAAATTAAAGAAAGAACCAAAATTCTTCAGAACAAAATAAAATAGTAATAATTATTAATGAATCTTGTGTACATATGTGCTCTATTTGTTATTGATGAAATTGCACCCTACCACACTACATAACGTTTGGCCTAATTGCCATTGGTTCGGCGGAATCTAATGATTTAAAATCCATCCACTTGCATACTACACAAAATATGTGGACTAGAACGTTATATATAACAACCGAAGAAAATAAATTATTGTATAGGGCCGATTTAATTCAAAACTTGAAGCTCGAGTTACATGAGAAAATACTAAAGTTAGAATGCTAAGGTTTTTTTTTTGAATGCCAAGTTATCCATGTTCATAGTAAAATAACGATATAAGAGCATGTTTAATTTATATAAACCAAAATGTATACAAATGGTAAATGAAAATATACAATTTTGAGTTGTATCAATTATCATTTTGGGCATATACGTTGTCGTCTTACCCTAAATTATAGTTAATGATAAAACTGTTTGAGAACACCAATCATCATTTTCCTACATTAGCTACTATTTAAAGATATGGTATATATGATCAGGAACATGTTAGCTAAATACAAAGCAATAATTATTCACATGATGCACTATATAAAATTGATCTTATTTACGTTATATAATCACATGGTTATTAGCTAGCTTTATCATTTGTTGTTTGTGTCACGTATATATTATTATTTAATTACACACCACATTAGAAATAGTGAACTGACTATGTCGGAACTACAAAGTTTCTCAACAAATATTGACTGCATGATAACAATATCTATGATTAACAAGATATAAATCATCAATAAATGTCTTTTTGATAAAACTAGACCTCGTAAATGAATGTTTTATACTATTTCATAGAAGGTAATGATTTGTTCTCACAAATTTCATTCTTATTTTTTATCATTTGGATCATATTTAGTATAGATTTTTTTTTCAATTTATTTTTTGAACTCTTTTTTTACGACAATTAATATAGATTTAGGAAGAGAAAAAGGAATATGATAATATTTGTATTTACATAAAATACGATTTGGTTTGGTAAGCAATAAGACAAAAGATCCTTACCAAAAAAAAAAAAGCAATAAGACAAAAGACATTGGTTGTAAAGTAGTAGGTGAATCCAACGGAGACAGGTAATATGACTTCACTGACAGGGGCATTTCAGTCATATTCTATTTTATTGACAAATTACAAGTAGCACTAATATTCGTTTATTCATTTCCTCTAGTAATATACTAATATTGAAGAAGATACACAAGTGAAATAAATTTCAGTGATCAAACTATTTATTTATTTATTTATGTAAATCCGCATTTACCTAAACAATTTGTCGCCGTCTGTGTAAGTACGTGTACATAATTTCGTATTTCAGTTTATTTCCTATAACAATTAGGATAATGATAGTTTTTACTCTAATTATGAGTTTGAATGGTAGGTGATCACATAACCACAACAACTACACCAGGCTATTCGTAAATTGTTTTTTTGTTTTTTTTTTCTTGTGTGGCTCATAATACAACTGCATTTAAGAAAAAATGGAAAGGTTAATATGTTCTTAATTAACTATGCTAGCTCAAAGTACGTCTTTATTTTTGATAAAACTTTTATATTTAGCTTTATTTTATCATTAAATGTTTTTATTGCGTTTTTATCATCGAAAAATGTGTTTAAAAATAGAGCTTTTTATTTTATTTAAAGATTATGTGTTAGAGATAATGATACAGAACTGTTCGATGATAGCATGAGTGAGTGAATATATACAACATCTAAAAATATGAATCTTTGGGTCCGATCTTTATGTTTTCATGCACAAATTGAAAGTTCACTACAAACACTTAATCCCATGTGTTTCATTTGAATTTGGTACTAATCCTTTAGTTTCTTCGATGTGAAATAGAAATGATTTGGTACTAGTTTTTTTTTTTTTTTTGCCTACAACACATTTTTAATTGTTCAAAAGAAAGTTTAATGTGAATTTCGCTTGCACTACGATGATGATGCATCGGTTAGCTACCAAGTTTACAAAACAAAAGTTCATGACCATGAAAGCTCTCACCAACGTGTGGTGGGACACGAGAACCAAAGGGTTCCTACAAACATGCTCTTCCACATATTGAAGCTGAAATTCATAATCTTGACTACAGAGACGGTGTTAGCATCAAAGTTAAAAGAACTGTTGATCGGAAAATTTCAAACTGTGTACGAACAAATCTTCGTGATATTCGTATTCAAGTGAATTTGTATTTCATCGGTGAAGTAGGTATTTAATATAAGCTTTTTAAATCGTATTATTTATGTAATTTTTTCTTTCTCAAGTGTTATATTTTGAAACAAATGTAATGGAGCCAATGGATAATTGGTTACTGAAAACTATAGATGTTGGATTACTTGAAAACGCAATGTTAATTGTAAGATATATGAGCTATCTAGACACTTTGATGAATGTGATGTGAGAAGAAGTTTAAATTCAAAAAAAAAAAAAGAAGTTCAAATTCATAAGATGTCGTATGATGAGCATCTATCCTTAGAAAATTTTAAGTTTCATATAATACGATGCGTAAATTTTGATTAAAAAATCTAAATAGCAAATTGTACAATACTGAAATATCAAAAGTATTGGGTAAAATTTTCAACAACCTTCTTGAGACATTTCTTCAAGAAAACTGCTATAAAATCTAATCACAAGCGATAAAAACATGACACTAATGTAATCAACGCTTAAAAACTATTTAGGTATATAGATTTTAATAAATGTTCTGAATTTTCCTTTTACATTTATAGAATAAAAATTTATACGAATTGATTAAAACATATATAACACATGATTTTTTTTTTGTGTGTGTGGATAATATACAGAATTTTCAAAACTCTTCATAACCAAAATCCAAAAAGAACAAATTTCCTTTTTTTGACACTTCAAAAAAACAAGTTGATTCATAACGCTGCTAATTAACGACGGATATTAGGTAAATATAGGACCCATCTTTCTTAACGCTGCTAATTAACGACGGCACAAGAAACAGTAACGGGTACGACACCGTTTTAAGGATGCATTCATTGGCACAAAGCCGTGCGTTTTAAACCCACCCGCTCTACACAATACTCGCCACGTGTCTTTATTTAAACCCGCGTTTCCTTCACGCGATTCTCATTTAACGGAGCCGCGATTTTTTTCAAAAATTGTTTACCGTTGGACAAATGTCTTATTGTCCTCTTAATGTCAGCCTTATTTACGGAAATACCATTGGACGGTGTCCGTGAATTTGTTTAACGGAGAAGGGTATTTTGGGGAATGTATTATCAGAGACGGCGTATTGGGGCGGCTAACCAAATCCGACTTTTATATGCACTTTATGGGAAATATCAATTAATTAGAATTAAAAACTAAAAATATGAATTAAAAATTGAAAATGCAATGATACGTCTTTTATTTTTGACTCTGAAAGTCTCAAAATAAATTGTTTTTTTTTAAAACCCAAATGATTCACCTTTTCTTAAAATGTACCCCGTTTGTCTTCGAGGAGAGATCTCTGGTCCACAGCTTTTTTATTAGACAACTCAAAAAAAAATTATATTCTTTTTTTTTCGGTTTTGTATTATGAGTTTTTATTAGGTATTTTGCACTTTATCCCTTCTCAAAGAAAGCTCTACAAACTTTTTTATTATACAAACTTTTTTATTTAATCCCATAAAAGTATTATAGACCCAATATGTTTCAATATAATGTACATTTAACAATTAAGTATATTAATAATGGCTCTTTACGCCAAGCAAACATCAAGAGTCTCAAGCCCAGACTCAAGACTACAACCACAAATGGAGACCTCCTCCAAAGCCTTGGTTAAAATGCAATGTGGCTTCTTCTTGGTGTAAGGAGAAGAAGGTTTGTGGTGTGGCTTGGGTTTTGCGTAATTCTGAAGGAAATGTTCTTCTTCATAGTAGGGCTGCCTTGACGTCGATCAATTCTAAACGTGAGGCTGAGTTACAAGGATGTTTATGGGCTATTAAAGATATGCAAGATCTTCATATCCCTAGAGTGATTTTTGCTTTTGAGCCAAAAGAGTTTGCAGGTGTAATACTTCGTCCTGCAGCCTGGCCTAGTTTCAAATCCCATTATGAGAGTCTGCTTCTAGCCTTGTCTTTCATTCCGTCTTGGCGTGTGATGCATGATGATAGGAAGGTTAACCTTGGTGCTTTCTTGATTGCTAGAAGTGTCACAAGGGAGGAACGTTTTCAATCATACGTAGCAAGTGGCTACCCTTTTTGGCTTCAGAAGGTGTTCGAAAATGATAAATGCATTACTTTTTAGTAATGAGTTCTGTAGTTTTGATTGCACTCGTTCCATTTTGTATGTGACGTTCAAGTTGGTTAATATATTGAATCATTCAGACGAAAAAAAAAAAAAAAAAAAAAAGAAAGCTCTACAAAGCAAACACAGTTTATATTAAACTTCATATTTACCATAAATAATTATATACCATGAGGCGATTTTTTTTTTTTTTGGGGTTTACCGTTTACGGATTGTACCATTTTCAAGATTGTGAAAATATTAATATTATTTATTTAACGTTTTTGCTTACGTTAAGTTGTGATTTATGTTTAAAAGAAAAAAGAAATTGAAGTGTTGGTTGAGTAGAGCTGACACAGCACCTGTGACTATTTGTCGGGACACATGTGTAAGAAGCAAAGCCTCTCATGCTTTCTTGTTTCTCTTTGTTTTTCTCTCGTCGTCTTTTATATATCCATCATAATTCATTTCTATGCATAATACTTTCTAATTCTATAGTATGTTTATTGCTAGAAATTTAAGTATCTAAGTGGTCACATATTAGTCTAGAAACTAAAAAAATCTGTATCTTTTTTTTTGTTTACATCAAAAAAGAATTATGGTAATGATTTAGGATCATTACTAGAGTAGCAGTACCAAATATAAATGTTTTCGTCTGAAATATTAAAGAAACCGCATCTACACTCTACACATAGAGAGGTAAATTTTGACACGTATTTAGGGTCATTATTGTTATTGCAAAAATAAAATGTAAACTTTTATTGATTAAAATTATTTATCGCCGAATGAAAACCATTAAATACAAATATCCCTAAATGTGACAGAAAACAACACAAATACACTAAAAAGGAAACATATTAGGTAACATGATTTATTATAATTTTGCCATCTAAAATATGGTTTGCTTTAAATATCTATACTGCTGGACAATATAAAATTAACAAAATTTTGGAAACTAATACCCAATTATATCCATCAAATATAAAAATCAAAATCAATTTAAGATATTTGAGAATTCGTTAAAAGATCTATGTCACCAATTCCGCGTATTAAAATAAATAATTAAGAAATAATCGAAACAAAAAATAATTAAAAATCGAAAATATAAACCACCCAAAAGACAGATGTAAACCATATTCACTCTCTCTTCTTCATTAGCCTTTCGTCTCCTTCTCCATCTCTCTCTCTCAAAAGCTTCTATACGCAAGCTCTTAACGCTCTCTCTCTTTCTCTTAAAGCTCTTCAATGGAAACTTTGAGTCGTTTATTGGTTTTCATGTCTCTGTTTTCCGGTTTAGTTTCTGGATTTGCTCTGCAAAACCTTCCAATCACATCTTTTGAAGAAGGTTACACTCAACTTTTTGGTGACAAGAACTTGTTTGTTCATAAAGATGGCAAATCTGTCCGGTTAACACTCGATGAAAGAACCGGTACGGTTCTTTAATCTTCCTCTGTTTCTTGATCTTTAAATGTTTTCTCGGTTTAGTGATGATTTGATTCTTGCAGGTTCTGGTTTTGTCTCAAATGATCTTTACTTGCATGGATTCTTCAGTGCTTCTATTAAATTACCTTCTGATTATTCAGCTGGTGTTGTTGTTGCCTTTTATGTAAGTAAAATCCCTAATTAAGGATCTTTTCTCATAAATATGATTAGTCTCTCTATTGATTTGGGTTTAGTATAAGTAATAATGGTTTATTTTTTGTGGCTTGTTGTTATGAATTCAGATGTCAAATGGAGATATGTATGAGAAGAATCATGATGAGATAGATTTTGAGTTTCTTGGTAACATTAGAGGAAAAGAATGGAGGATTCAGACAAACATTTATGGTAATGGAAGTACTCATTTAGGAAGAGAAGAAAGATATAATCTTTGGTTTGATCCAACTGAAGATTTTCATCAATACAGTATCCTCTGGTCTGATTCTTACATCATGTAAGTAAAAATTCTTAATCTCTGTTTTGTTTGATTCAAATTTTTAAAGGAGGTTAGGCTATTGACCCCATTTGATTTAAAGCTTTATGGATTCAATAATATGATCTTCTATTTAAGGAAACCCAAGTGGGGTTTTAATGATGGGAGGATCTTTTTGTTGAAAAATATGATTCATATTCTTGGTGGGTATTAATTTTTTTTCCTTCTTGTGGAAAGTTTTGTGATGCTTGGGACATCATTTGCTTTTGGTTGTATTGTTCCTGTCAATTTCAAGTGTGTGTGAGCCCCTAAAATGGTTTACAGCTTTCGATTTTTGGCATCAACAATGACCCCATAGAGAGTATGTTTTTCCTTTGGGGGTCCAATTCACAAGTTGAGAATCTTTTACTTAGTTCATCAAAAGCTGCAAAAATTTTATGCCAAAAATGTTATCTTTCTTAGTTTATAGAATCTAACTTACTTAAATCCAAAAATTATGTTTCTATTTTAGCTAACTAATCTTTTTTTCCTGGTTATTTATGTAGTGGGTATTGATCAAAGTTGTGAAATTGTTGTTCTTTTTGGTTATGCAGATTCTTTGTAGACAATGTTCCTATCAGAGAGGTCAAACGTACTGCGGCAATGGGTGGTGACTTTCCGTCTAAGCCGATGTCTCTCTACACAACAATATGGGACGGTTCTAAATGGGCGACTGATGGTGGGAAGTACGGTGTAAACTACAAATATGCGCCTTACATTGCGCGGTTTTCTGATCTAGTCCTTCACGGCTGCCCCGTGGACCCAATCGAGCAGTTTCCGAGGTGCGATGAAGGAGCGGCTGAGGATATCCGTGCAGCGCAGGAGATTACCCCGTCGCAGAGGAGTAAAATGGATGTTTTCAGGCGGAAACACATGACTTATTCGTATTGCTATGATCGGACAAGGTACAAGGTTGCTTTATCGGAGTGTGTGGTGAATCCTGCAGAGGCTCAAAGGCTTAGAGTATATGATCCAGTCACATTTGGCGGAATTCCTAGGCGCCACCGCAATGGAAAGCACCGGAGCAAGAGAAGCCGGGTTGATGGAACAGAGTCGATATGATAACATATAGTCTATGGTGGTGTTTGGGTGAGATTTGGAGGGGTCCTATAATAAGTCCATATATTGGTTATTTATGATTCAATGCATTTTCACAGTTAGAGGGGGGCATTTTTGTCATTTGTTGCTTGTATATGAATATAAAAAAGAAAATAATTAATTTTTTTATTTGAGAGATTTTCGAGTTTGAATACTTATATGATTAATTGTTTTTTTTTCTTTTTTTGTGAATACTGTCGTTTACGAATATTTGCGTTGTAATTTCAGCTGTCTTCGATATATTTAATCATAATTTTTTTGGCCTATTGATCGAATTTATATTTGTATTCAATTTGAGTACTTTATGTGACGAAAGTTTTGTCTCTCTTGTACTTGTTTTATTCAATGGGTCCAACGAATATTGGTTTAATTTTGTGTGGTCATGTTCATGCACATATGCTACCATAGAAAGAAAATTTTATGTGATCACACATGGTACCTTTCACATTCGAACCAATTTTGAGCTGAGTAAACAATTCATTTTAGCCTCCAAAAAATAAAAATAAAAAACAATTTAGGTTTAAATCATTATTAACAAACTTTATGAACAAACAATTTATGTTTACACAAGCCGGATTTCGCATTTTGAGTTTCGAATGGTTGGTTTGAGTTTAGCCCCAAAGTATTAAATCTACAAAACTTTTGAAAACAAATAGGAAAATTAAAAAAAAAATTATGAAACAAACAATTTATTTTTATATACATATATAGGTAGGATTTGGCAAAATTTTAGGGACCATCTAAGAGATAGACTTGTGAAAAACTAGACAAAATTGGCTTAGCTCATTATCATTGGTGTTTAGTTGTTTTGAGGTTGATATTTATTTCCTTTTTGCCAGCTATTTGCCAACTGTATAACACTCTACTTGCTTCCAAAGGTTTATCCACAAACCTACTTTAAATAATTAACCGAAACAAATCGGGTCGGGTCATTTCGGGTCGGGTTTACTGAATCGGATAATTGAATCAAAAGAAAAGAAATCATTTTTTTCTTCTTCTTCTTCGTCGTCCTCGTGTGTGCTCTATCTCAAGCTCGCTGTTACACTATCGATTGATTCATCACAAGAAGGTGAGCTTTAGACTAATATAGCAATATTCTTCATGGGGTTTCGTTTCTAGACCTAAAGTTTATTCCTTTTCTTAGCTTTGTGTTCGATTTCAAAACCCTAGCTGTTCCCGTTTCGCGCTAGATTTGTCTAGATTTCGTGGTAATTTAGGAATGATAGTGTATTGTGCTGTCTCTTCGTCACTTAGCTTCCACTTGAATCCTCAAACCAGGAGTCTCGGTAACATAGGAGTAACAAGAGTCAACGCCAGTCAAAGGAACCACTCTAAGAAACTCACTAAGAATCTCCGTAATCCACGCCGTACCAAGCTTCCTCCTGATTTTGGTGTTAATTTGTATCTTAGGAAACCCAAAATTGAACCAGTTGTGGATGATTATAATGATGATGATGATGGTGATGTGCAAGATCAAGAATCAGTGGATGATGATGCTGTTGTGTGGGAACCAGAAGAAATCGAGGCGATTTCGTCGCTTTTTCAGAAAAGGATTCCTCAAAAACCCGGTAAACCGATTCGAGTTAGGCCTTTACCACTTCCTCAACCTCACAAGTTACGACCTTTAGGGCTTCCAACTCCAAAGAAGAACATTAGATCAGCTGCATTGTCTTCTGTATCGAAGCAAGTGTATAAAGATCCGAGTTTTCTCATCGGTTTAGCTAGAGAGATTAAGAGCTTGCCTTCTTCTGATGCTGATGTCTCTCTTGTTCTCAATAAATGGGTTAGCTTCTTGCGTAAAGGGTCACTCTCTATGACGATTCGAGAATTGGGTCATATGGGTTTGCCTGAGAGAGCTTTACAGACATATCATTGGGCTGAGAAGCATTCTCATTTAGTACCAGATAATCGGATTCTCGCATCCACTATTCAGGTTTTGGCCAAGCACCACGAGCTGAAATTGCTTAAGTTCGACAATAGCTTGGCTAGCAAGAACGTGATCGAAGCAATGATCAAGGGATGCATTGAAGGCGGATGGTTGAATCTAGCCCGGAAGCTTATACTGATCTCGAAGAGTAACAATCGAATACTCGACTCGAGTATTTACGTAAAGATGATTCTGGAGATAGCTAAAAACCCAGACAAGTACCATCTTGTTGTTACTCTTCTCGAGGAACTGAAAGAAAGAGAAGATTTGAAGTTGAGCCAACAGGATTGCACAGGTATTATGAAGATCTGTGTGAAACTAGGAGAGTTTGAGCTCGTTGAATCTCTCTTCGACTGGTTTAAAGAATCAAACAGAGAACCAAGCGTTGTAATGTACACTACGATGATACATAGCAGGTATTCGGAACAGAAATACCGGGAGGCGATGAATGTGGTTTGGGAGATGGAGGAATCAAACTGTCTCCTTGATCTTCCAGCTTATAGAGTAGTCATTAAACTATTCGTAGCATTGGATGATTTGGGAAGAGCAATGAGGTATTACTCTAAACTCAAGGAAGCTGGATTCTCGCCAACTTATGATATTTATCGCGATATGATTAACGTTTATACCGCTTCTGGGCGATTGACAAAATGTAAAGAGATATGTAAGGAAGTTGAAGATGCTGGATTGAGGTTAGATAAAGATACTTTATTTATGTTGTTGCAGCTCGAAAAGCAAACAATGTCTCTTTTGCACTGAAGACAAAGCTCCAATTTTGTTTATACGATCAGTTTCATTGTGTTTTCTTTGAACATTTTAGCATTGAAAACAGTGAAGATGTAATATACAAGAAGATACACTAATAATGACGTAAAGATTTCTACTGTTTGAAAGTGTTTTCAGGCAAAGATGAAAGTGGAAACTTGACAATGTCAGAATCAGACATAGCAACACTGTTTTCTTCTGGAACTGATTCTGGTCCATCCATGGATGGTTTTATCACTGTAATGAACAAAATGTTGTAGAACAAGGTAAGAGCTAAGAGAACAAAAGCTGAACTTGTGAGGAACGATCCGGAGATCTCAGGTGGTTCTTCAAACATGATTGGATCATTATTGGTTCCGACCACATCGGATGATGTCTTGATGATGATTCTTGGTTTTTCATCAGCTTGAGATTCGATTTGTTGATCTAGCTGTTTCAGAGCTTTTCTTGCTTTATCTCTATCGATTTCGAATCTCTCTGAAGATGAAGAAGAAGAAGAATCGTCTCTTTCAATGGCTTGGACAATACGCATCAAATGTCTCTTCTTCTTTGTCTTCATGATTCCTCCATGTACGTACCAATTAAGAGACTGTAAGATTAACACCACCATTTTCAGTTTCCTCTGTTTCTTCTGCTACACCACTCTCGAAGATGATAATTTTTTGTGTGGACATTGTTGATGGCAAAGATGTAGATAACTTGACATCTTAGGGGTTTTTGATTGTTTACACAAAATTGTATTATATCACCTGACATTCAAAATTGGCCCCTTTTGTAAAGTTGTAATGTGATAATTCCAAGTATAAGGCTTGAAAGGCCCATTTTGGTCCAAAAAATGTTATGATATTTTATATCAAGTATTTCTACAACTAGAAAACTATAAAATTTAATATTTTACAAGAGAAAATACTATGAATAACGGCTCACTCACACATATATTGTGTTCAGTATCATTACATAAATTTGTTATAAATTTAATTTGTGTTCAACTTTTTTTGAAAAATATTTTTTAGAGGAGAACAGATCTTTTGGACAATGAGGATTGGTGAAGAACATTGCCGGAAACATCATAGTAGATGAAGTTAGCTTGGGAGTGAGTGATGTGAAGAGACATGAATCCTTGTCCATCGTAATACAGTTTGAGTTCTTTTGGATCCCATGGCTGAATATCTCCTCTCCATGCCTTTGATCCTCCTCCACTTGTCAGAAATTGGGTTTCACTTCACATTTCCAATAATATATCTTTAATTTTCTTTCTCTTAACAAAAATACTAATTATTTACTTTTAAAAGGAAACATTTAAACTCAACAAAATCTAAAATAAAACTGAAATTTGTTTATAAATAAGTAGTATCATTTTACCCGTCAGAACCAATGTGTTGTAAGCAGTGATCATGTCCATTTATGTACAAGTCCACTTTATTCTCCTTCAATAATAAATGAAAGAAATCATGGAAACTATCATAGATAAAATTACATGTTAGCATAAAAATGATATTATGAATGGTTATTTTACCTCTAGAATTGGTAGAAGTTGATCTACGAGCTCTTGGGTCACACCGTGATGCCCTGCGGTTTTGATCCCGTGATGTCCCACGACAAATTTCCATGTAGCACGCGACTTTTTAATCTCTAAATCTAAATCCTAATATTTCAATAACATTAGTAGAAAAAATCAAAAGAAGATGGAGATTTCTGATAATTATTTTAGAAAATGTATTACATGTAAGAGGTTTGAGATGTATTTATTTCTAGGTAAGACATTGCTCCAATCATAAGTGTGATCTTCTGGATCAGTGAAGTATTTTTCTACAAATGGATTTGTGTCCACGAAGAAAAACTCCACCATTCCTATAGCCACACAAAAAAAAATCACTAATTCAAACTTTTATTTAGTTATATGATACTTTTACTATTTTTAAAAAAATATAAATCTACCTGAGGATAAGACAAAAGATCTGCGACAAAACCATCTCCAATCTTTTTGGGTGAGAACTTGACTTAGTTGGGCTTCAACATTTCCTCTGTAATCATGGTTACCCAAAACTGCAATAACATTTTGAGTGTTTAATCTCACACGTTAGTTAGGTATATAGAATTTGATTAGAATGAAGTAAATTACCTGAATACCACTGTTTTTGGAGACTAGGATGAGTGTAGATATGAGAGAAAGAGGCTTCAAAGGAAGTATCATTGTCTCCTTTTAATCCGTCCTCGTAGAAATTATCTCCTACTGATATCACAAAATCTATGTCTAATTGCTCTCCCACTATTCCCATCTGTCAGTTTTCCAAATTTTCAATTTTAAATATTACATAAACAATTTTTTTCTATTAGAACAGATTTGTATCATGTTGAGATTTTTTAAGTACTCTGTTGCACAAACAAAAATGAATGTTAGTCAATTTTCTCTATTTTAATATAAAAAATAGTGTTTTCATGATTAAAACAAAAGAACAAAATTTTGAAAACATAATTTTATTATTAGGAATATGCTTTCTAATAAGCATATCAATTTGTCAATTACAAGAATACTTTCGCGAATATGCCTTTTGAATTAATGTCTACATATTGCGTAGAATGAGTGACTTCCTTACAAGAAAGATAATGGACGCAACATACGACTATTTATTTTCTCATATATTATAATAGATTGATGTTTATATTTTCATACATAATTACGTGTTTCAACTTTCAACAAATTAATATAGAAAAGAAAACAAATAACCAGATAATATTACGTACATTTTTCCACCAAAAAATCAAACCTAATCATTTGAGTTGTATAATATATAAATACATATCTAATATGTTTTTTTTGTACAAACATATCTAATAAGTAATACATAGTTTTATCCTACGAACTAAACACCTATGAACATTAATCATCAATTATATTTTTTATTTGAAATTTCTTTTAATCTAATAATTACATTTTCTTAGATATCCGACGCTAGCTTTAGCGGTAAAATTAGTGTCCATTATTCTATATTGTTGCCTTGAACACATAATTGCCACTAAGTCGTATTTTTTTGGTTATTCGAACGAATTATAACGAAAGTATGAATCAGTTTTATGCATCATACATATTTACAGATGTAAACCACTAATCTACACATTTTAGTTAAATCTTGCATACGTTATATATATTTAATTTGAATGATATTCAATCAAATGCATACGTTATATTGAAAAAAAAAAATTAATATTAGTCACCTGATGTGCAACGAGAGATTGATTAAACTCTCCTTCGCGTCCCCAATCTCCAACGACCAGAAAACTCAGAGAGCCATCAGATTTTGTCACCGGATGTTCCAACCTTTCAAGCTCCGACAAAGCACCACTGATGAAGAAGATGCATAGAAACATCAAAATCACACTAAAACATACGTAAATCTTCATCTTCTTCTTACTTATTTTATCTGGTATGATGAGACTAAAAAAAAAAAACGATGCCTATAAAGAGAGAGCTAGATAGAGATGCCTTGGTAGCAATTAATATAGATAAAATATTCAAGGATGCTTTTTTTGGTCAACAGTTAAAGGAAATATAATCATTTTACTAAATTAATTAAGAAGACTTTACAGCTTTTTGTTTTGTAATCAAATAGTATATCTTTTGACAAATGTATGGGCAATGCTGCTTGTTACTTACACGTTTAGGTCAAAGGATTTTTCTTCCTGGTATTTTTGGTTTCTATTTGTTTCCTACTTTACTTCCTAATTAAAATGTATATCTTTCCCCATAAATGTCTGGTAGATTTGATTCATAAATATATCTGTATAAGTTTTGTATTAAATTAGTAAAATATCAAATTATTTGTATTAAATCATAAAGAGAACTATTAAGGATTTCTTTCTTTATGTGAAATAAGCAAAAATAATTATATTGAAAATCTATGTGTATATATAGTGGAATATGATGGATTGATGGTAATGAGCTATATATACAAAGTAATGTGAATACGAGAACCATGCGTAGTATCATCCTTCTTTATCTTTGAGCTTCTATTTAGGATATTTTAAATTAAAAGTAAACGAATCAAAACCAAATCAATGTATTAAATTACCAATTCTCAAACTTTAAGAATTCGAAAATAATCACACAACATTAAAAAATGTTAAGTCACATGAAACATCAACATAATAAACAATGAACTACTAATAGAAATAGTTTTATCTTTAACTCTTAACTTCTTTTTTGTGTGAACATCGATCAGATTTCGGAATAAACCGCCTTCTTACAAGTGCTCCATCGATGTAAAATACGACCAAAACCATCATAAAAAACGACGCGTAGTTCGGCTTCGGATGTGTAAACCGACATGAATCCTTGTCCATCATAGTAAAACCTCATCTCTTGTGGGTTCCAATCATTCATATCTCCTTTCCACGCCTTAGATCCACCGCCACTTGTCATAAATTGTATTCCACTATAAACAACAAAAACCGCATTTCCCTTACGTTACAAATCCATAATTAATCGATTAATAAATTATAAAAACTTAATTGTAATCACCTGTTGATGCTGCTTATGTGCTCCAAGCAATGATCATGCCCGTTTATATAGAGATCCACTTCATTAGCCTACATATCAAGAAAACCAATTAAATTGTTTTTTTTTGGTCATTATTAGTAGTATTCCATTATGTAATAATAAAAATATTAAAACCTCGAGGATAGGTAAAAGTTGTTTCTCAAGCTCTATGGTTATGCCGTGGTGACCTGCACTTTTGATCGTGTGGTGACCTACCACTATTTTCCATTTAGCCATTGATTCTTGCAATGCCACATCGACATCCTGTATATTATTATATATCAACGAATTAGGTAAATCCGTAAATGATAATCACATCTATGAAGCCAAAATGTTTGACTATTTTATACTCATATAAATTTTCGATGAATTTGATAATACAACTAGCTTATGGTAGAGTAAGAAAAAAAGTTTACCGTTAAGAGATTGTTAAGATATTTATTTCTTGGTAATACGCCTCTCCAATCATATACGTGGTCTTTTGGTTCATCAAAATATTTATCTACGAACGGTGTTGTGTCCACGAAGAAAATATCGACAATCTCTACAAAAAAAGAAAGGTTGATTAAAGAGAAGTTTTATACATTATTAGGAACATGTGTTCTTGGTAATTTTTACTTACGTACCGGCGTTAACAACATAAGATCTTAAACAAATCCATCGGCAGTCCAAATCCCTGAGAATGGGGCTGAGTTGCGCATAGACGTTACCTCTATAATCATGATTTCCTAATACTGCGAGGGAAATTAAATGAAAATCTACCAATTAGTAGATATAAAATGTTAATATGAAAGAGTAAATATAAATATACAAATTTAAATAACTATTTCTTTGTAGTTGAAAAGAGGAATAGATTTATGATTAGAGTATAAATATAATTAATAGTTTACTTACCATTATACCATGGTTTTTGTAAGCTAGATGCTGTGTAAATATTGGTAAACGAATCTTGAAATTGAGAATCATATGGACTGATTATTCCGTCATCATAAAAGTTATCTCCAGTCGAAATGAGGAAATCAATATTCAAATCCTTCCCTATTTTTCCCATCTGAATGCAAAAAAAATTATAGTCGATAATTAGTAGAAAAATTTAAGAAAATTATGTATGAATAAAAGAGAGCATTAGAAAACAAATGGTAAAGATACAACAAAATAAAATTGCAATTGTTTGGTCGTTTTTAGAAATCTCTAGCTGCGACAAACTTATCCATTTCACTACAAACTAAATTTAATACTAATGATAATAAATTCTCCAACCAGAAGCATTTGCTTGTAGTATTATAGAAGCAACCAAAATTAAAATGATGACGTAGAATTGCAACACTAATGGACAGCCTTAAGATTATTAGTTCCACGTAAGTTACGTAACGAACTAAAGATTATGTATGCAACTTCACCTTCACGGCTCCTCAATTAACAATGAAATATGCCTCAGATACTATCATCCACTCACTCATTATTATAAGTATATTCAGATATTATACAAGTTATAATACAACTCGAAACAACTTTTTATCAGGCAATACTTAGTGCAATTTTATTATTATTATGGGTTACTTACTACATTACTAGCTAATTATTAATTTACTCAAACGATGCATTCGACGTCAAGACATATTAGACCATCAGTAGTGGCAAATGTGTTTGTGTGGGTGTAAGTATTTTTTTAGTATTATAATTTAAAGCAAAAGAGAAAAGAGAAAGAGAAAGAAAGAGAGAGATAGAGAGAAAAAGTGTTACACCCGAGTGTAAACTTACACCCGGGTGTGAAGAGAGAGACAATTTTTTCGTTTTTTTAATACCTACACCCCAAGACTCACACCCACCTGCTTGCCCCACTGCCCATGCTCTTACACGCTTCTCGGTTTTTTCTACTACAATAAACTAATATATGATTTTTCTTATCATTTTCGTCTTGAGCCCTCTCACATAATTTCTAACCACACCATCAAAAAGAACTTGAACTTAGCTTAATTACAGACAAGGAATAACTTTTGATATTTGATAAAAAAAAAGCTATATATATGTACATAAACACACACACACGTATATATATAGATATATATGTACCTGAAGAGCTACTTGGGACTGGTTATAAGAACCTCTTCTTCCCCAGTCGCCGACGACGAGAAAACTGAGTGTACCATCGGGTTTTAGTGGTTGGACAAACCGTGGTAGCTCCGCCGTTGAATTACAGGCGGATAATATAATAATTAGACAGAAAATAGAAAATATGAATTTGATAGGCTTAACATCTCTCAAACTATCCATTGAGAGACTTTGAAGAAAGAAAAAAATGTAAGAGGTGATGGACCTGAACCTGATGGTGGGTTTTCGTGTGGCTTTGTTTATTTATAGCTAGTCCTTATGTGGACAAGAATTAAAAATAAAAATACAGGCAAGAGAAAAATAAAGTAGTGAACTTTCTCACTAAAACATATTAACTCTTAATTCAAACTAATCAATAAATTTAAAAGTCGGGAAAATTTTGTTTTTCTTAACCCGGGACTATAGAAGACTAATATGTACTTTAGACAATTACGTGAAAATTATTTGCACGTCAATGAAAAGGGGCGGTGGATGGAATTTGGCTGAATGTTCCATATTTAGGTGACGTGGTATATTGTTCTATTTGACATTGCATAAAAATAACATTTTTATTACCATATATATTAACAAGGAAAAAAAAGTTGACCTGATTAACAAGGAAAAAAAAGTTGACCTGATTTTTTTTTTAACGTCTGGATTTATTATTAATTGCAAATTATGAGAACTTTTACATAGACGATTTTACAACTGACAATTCCTTCCGACCCTTATTGGATCTACGACAGGCTACACTTCCTTCTTCATACACGACCTGACGACACCTTCCTCTCTGCGTAGAATCCTGGCGAACGACTGCACTTCCCTCTCTGCGTAGAATCCTGGCGAACGGCTATAATTGTACATCGCTGGAGATCTCCTGCACACTTGCTTCCATTAATCTGCATATTTGTTAATAAATCGCAGTATCTGGGACTCGAACCTCAGACCTCTTGGTGTAGAAGCATTAATTAACCCTTGGACAACCATTGGGCCGAGGGGGCTTCCACAAAGTTGACCTGATTGCAATCATATTTTTTTTTTGTCATAAACCTTTGTTGCCAAAAACATATGTGGTGGTAGAACCGTTCATATCCAAGTAGTTAAATTTGTGAAAAGGGGCCCAATTGTTAGAGTTGTTAATCTAAAGTTGAATGTTTATACACAAAAGTTTAAAATCACTAAAACAGAAAATAGTTTGTTTGTCTTTTTTTCCGACAAAGATGATTTGGTTATGTCATTTGAAGAGTTACAGAGTCATTATACAAACAAGATGACAACCATGAAAATTAAGTGGATAAAGATAAGGATAATAAACCTCTCTCCTGAGAACGATTTTTAGGCGATTGGAAACCTCTCTAACCCTAATCGCCGCCGTCGGCCGGCCACACGCCGGTGGACGAGAAATTGATCGATGCCGAAGAAAAAGAAGAAGGCCTCTCGGCCTGTTCGCCCTGCCTCTAAATTCGATCGGGTCTTAGCCTCTTCGAAGGGATCGAGCTCTGTTCATCCGTCTCTTCAAGCCTCCGCCACAAAGTCTTCAGATCTGTCTTGTTTGGTCTCGATTGAATCCAGTCCACAAGAGGCGTTAATGGGAGACCTTCCCGCAGTTCCTGCTTCTGTTAGTAGTTCTGTCTCCGCCTTGCCAGACCAGATTCCTTCATCCTCGTGTTTTCCGGTCGAGGCTGGGTTATCCAACCCAAAGCTTCCCGAAACACTCGCGATTTCGCCTCCTGTTGTCGACACAGTGTGCGAGATCTCCTCCACTGTTGTCACTTCTACTTTGCAAGGAAGCTCGTCCTCAGCTCAAGCAAATCTGGACATCTCTTTGCCCTCAGTTCCCAACTCTGTTCCATCTTACGCGGATGCGACCAAGTCTCAGAAAATGGATTGCCCTTGGGCCACGAAGTTTAAAGCTTCTCTTCGAAATCTTAAGCAGATGGAACCTCCATCTTTCTTGGATGATGGTACCCCTGTTGTGGTTGCTCCTCCGTCTGTCCTCTTGAAGACAGCTGCCATGTGGAAGGGTCACCTTGTTGCCCAATTCCACGGTCTTTGTCCTCCTTCGACGAAAATCTTCTCTGATTTGAATCCAATATGGGGTCGATATGGTCCCATTACAGTGAGAATTATCTCGGAAACTGCGGCTCTCATCTTCATTCCATCTACAGCTACTCGTCAATGGGTAGTTGATATCGGTTTTTGGCAAGCCGGGAATTGCTCCTGTACTGTCTACCCTTGGTCTCCTGACGGCCTCCTCGAGCTTGAAGAGCTACAATCTGCTCCAACTTGGGCTGTGCTGAAGAATGTGCCGCCTCAGCTGTATTCTTTGGAGGGTATTAGTGTCATTGCCAGCGGCATTGGCGAACCTCTTCACACAGAAAAGTCTAGGCTTGACCCGGTGAATATTGGGGTTACAAAGGTCAAGGTTGTAATCAAGTTGGATTCAACCTTGCCAAGTGTGGTTGTTGTTCGCGATGTTCAGGGTAACTCAGCTCGCGTTGCTGTCGAGTATCCACGACCTCCTCCCAAATGTCTAAACTGTGGAAGATATGGACATTTAATAAGTCGATGCCCCAAGCCACTAATGAAGAAGATCCCTTCTAAAAAAGTTGAGCCTTCGGGCTTGAAAGAGGTAACTCACCCATCAATTATCCTCCCTTCGTCTGAGTTTGGAGCTGGAAGTGGTAAGGAATCTCTTGCTACTCCAGGGGGAAACACTACCAAAGTCAAAAGAAGGAGATCACGGTCCAAAAAACGCTCTACCAGCCTGCCTCCTACGATATTACTTCCTCTTCCTGTTGACAAAGGGAAAAAAGTTATAGCAAGCTCTTCTGAAACTGGAAAGAAGTGGGTGGTGAAGGCAATGGCTAATCGATTGGCGACTTCCCAGTTTACGCCGACTGCTGCTGTTGTTAAGGGGCCTCGGGAATCTGTTTCTACTTCCTTCTTCACGGCTGCTGATTCTGTTCTTGGTCCTTCTGCGATAGTTTTGAATTCTGAGGAGCGCAATGCGATTGTTTTAAATTCTGCTGAGCGCAATGCGATTGTGGACAAGCCTCAGGTTGTAATTGATGATGATCTTTTCCCTATTCCACCCGGTTGGGGTGTGATGTCAAAGAAAACAAGGAAGAAATTGAAAAAAATATGGCACAACCAGATGAGATCAGGTGCTCAAGCTTTGGCACGAGGCGAGTCCTCGGGCGGAGCTGCAAGTCGTTGAAACAAGTTTTCAAACAACTTTTTTGGATAGTATGTCGATATTTTGTTGGAATATTCGTGGCTTAAATGGCCTATCTCGACAAAGAGTAGTTAGAAGCTGGATTGCTTCAAATAATTTACTGGTGGGGGCTTTTTTGGAAACGCATGTAGCAGAGGCTAATGCGGCTTCAGTTTTGGCGGCTACCCTGCCTGGTTGGCGTATGGAGTGCAACTATTGTTGCTCAGAACTGGGTAGGATCTGGTTAGTCTGGGATCCTTCAGTGTCTGTTTTGGTCTTCAAGAAATCAGAGCAAATGATTTTGTGCAGCGTGAAAGTGCCTAACATCGCTAATTCCTTTGCTGCGGCTTTTGTTTACGGGAAGAACACGGATGGTGAGAGAAGACTACTATGGGAAGAAATAAATAGTCTGTCTCCTTCCTCTCCGTTGAAGGTTTCTCCTTGGCTCTTATTGGGAGATTTCAATCAGATTGCGGCGACATCAGATCATTTCTCTGTCATTCCTTCTTCATTTTCTCTTAGGGGACTGGATGACTTTCAAGATTGTCTAAGAGATAACGACCTGGTTGATATCCCAAGTCGTGGTGTCTTTTTTACTTGGTCAAATCATCAGCAACAAAATCCTATTATCAGGAAGTTGGATAGGGCCTTGGGAAATAATGAGTGGTTTAACTCCTTCTCAAGTGCGGTTGCTGTCTTCGAACCTCCAGGTGATTCTGATCACTCCCCATGTATTATTCAGTTGGAGAATCCACCTATTCACTCTAAGAAGTCTTTCAAGTATTTCTCCTTTTTGGCTTCCCATCATACCTTCCTGGAGTGTATGAAGGCTGCTTGGCAGGAGCAGACTTTAGTTGGCTCTAATATGTTCATGCTGGGGGAGCGTTTAAAGCATGCCAAGATTGCTTGCAGAAGATTAAATCGGATTGGGTTCGGTAATCTGCAGCAAAAAACAAGAGACGCCCTGTCTCATCTTGAGGATATTCAGTCCCAGCTGCTCACCATTCCCTCAGATTCTCTGTTCAGGCTTGAACATGTGGCCAGAAAGAGGTGGAATTTCTTTGCATTGGCTTTGGAGTCTTTTTACAGACAGAAATCAAGAATAAGATGGCTTAAGGAGGGAGATGCAAATACAAGGTTTTTTCACAGGGCGGTTATTGCTCATCAAGCCAAGAATCTCATCAAATATCTTAGAGCTGATGATGACTCAAAGGTGGAAAATGTGGAGCAGATAAAGGATATGATTGTTTCTTATTATACTCATCTTTTGGGGTCTGAAAATGAGTCGACGGTTCCTCTTTCTGTTGAAACTATCAAAGCTCTTCATCCTTTTAGATGTGATGACACTCTGGCTGCGAAGCTCTCGGCCATTCCCTCTGAGGAGGAGATTACTTTGGCTTTCTTCTCTATGCCTAAGAACAAGGCTCCGGGGCCCGATGGTTTTCCTGTTGAATTTTATTGGGACACATGGGCTGTGGTTAGGGAAAGTATTATTTTGGCTGTGAAGGAGTTTTTTATCACTGGTCATCTCCTAAAAAGGTTCAACACGACGGCAATTACTCTTATTCCAAAAGATACAGGGGCTGACAGGTTATCTCAATTTAGACTTGTTGCGTGCTGCAACACGATCTATAAAGTCATTACTCGGATCATCTCTGCTCGTCTCAAACTGTTTATCTCGCAGGCAGTCAAAAATAATCAAGTGGGCTTTATCAAAGGGCGCATGTTGTGTGAAAATGTTCTCCTGGCTTCCGAATTAGTGGAGGGTTTCCATTTGGAGGGTGAAGTCTCTAGAGGTTGCTTACAGATTGATCTCTCAAAAGCATATGATAATGTGAACTGGGAATTCTTACTCAATATCCTTCGTGCTATGGATCTGCCTCCTATTTTCATTACTTGGATTAAAGTTTGTATCTCTACGCCTTCTTACAGTATTGCTTTCAATGGTGAGTTGATTGGCTATTTCCAGGGAAAGAAGGGCATTAGACAAGGTGACCCCATGTCATCTCATCTCTTTGTTCTTGTGATGGACATTCTTGCAAGGTTTTTGGATAGAGGCGCTGTTAACTCCCTGTTTCAACTCCACCCAAAGTGCTTGGCTCCAATGATTACTCATCTCAGTTTTGCTGATGATGTTCTGGTTTTCTTTGACGGCTCAGATTCTTCTATTGCTGAAATTCTTTCAATCCTAGATGATTTCAAAACAGGCTCTGGTTTGGGTATCAACAGGCAAAAGACTGCACTTCTCATTGACGGTGGTGATTTCAATACTTTAAGAAGTCTCTCTGACAGATTTGGTATTTCTCATGGGTCTCTTCCAGTTAAATATTTGGGTGTCCCGTTGATGGCGCAGAAGATGACACGCCATGATTACCAACCTCTTCTTGACAGAATTAATTTCAAATTCTCCTCTTGGACTGTTAGACACCTCTCCTTTGCTGGAAGACTTCAATTGCTTAAATCAGTGATCTTCGCTACCATTAACTTTTGGACATCTATATTTCTGCTTCCTAACCATTGTCTACTAAAACTTGAACAGATGTGCAATGCTTTCTTATGGAAAGGCGCTCCCAACTCGGCCAGAGGTGCTAAGATTGCTTGGGATGTGGTTTGCACGGCCAAAGAATGTGGAGGCCTCGGTCTCAAAAGGTTATTTGCATGGAATAAAGTTTTTGCATTGAAGCTTATTTGGATGCTCTTCACTAAGGCTGGTTCTCTTTGGGTGTCATGGGTAAGGGTAAACCTCATTGGAAATCGTAATTTTTGGGAGTTGAATCCCTCTTCCTCTGGTAGTTGGATTTGGAGAAAGTTATGCAAACTGAGATCTTTGGCTAGACCGTTTCTGGTTTGTGAGGTGGGTTCTGGACAAACCGCAAGGTTCTGGCATGACAACTGGACTGGTTTTGGTCCTCTCATTGACTTAACTGGCTCTATTGGACCACAGGTTGTGGGACTTCCTTTAAACTCTGTCGTGAAAGATGCTCTTAGGGGAAGTGCTTGGTGGATTTCAAATAGTCGCAGTAGGAATCCTATCATTACTCTCATTAAAGAAGTCTTGCCTGCGGTGGGGAACATGATGGATTGTCTTGATGATGATGTTTATTTATGGAAACCAGACCACCATCCACCTTCTACTCTTTTTTCCTCGCCAAAAACTTGGCTGGCCTTGAATCCCCCAGGTCCTCCGGTCTCTTGGCACAAATCCGTGTGGTTTAAAGACCGTATCCCAAAGCATGCCTTCATATGCTGGGTAGTGGCGTGGAACAGACTTCATACACGCGACCGTTTGAGGAGTTGGGGATTGTCAATCTCACCTGTATGCGTGCTCTGCAATGGTTCTAATGAATCTAGAGAGCATTTGTTCTTCGATTGTGTGTTCAGCCAGGAAGTGTGGAACTTCTTCACTTCTAGGGTCAACTTGAATCCACCGTCTACTTTTATGGACTGCCTCCAGTGGATTAATTCTGCTACCACAGATCCAAACCTTGCTCTGATCATAAAGCTTCTCTTTCAGGCTTCTGTTTATTTCATTTGGAAAGAGCGTAACTCGCGTATTCACTCTACCTCTTTCAGAACTCCCGCGATCATCATCAGAGACATAAATCAGATCATGCGGGCTCGTCTTGATCCTCTTGCTCGGATGCAACGCTCTGCTGCTCCTGGCTCTTCTCTCCTCTCTACCTGGTTCAGGTTCTTCCCGTAGTATGTTATCTGTTTGGGTTGTTTTTCTGTTGGGCCTGTGTGCTTTTCTGGACAGCTTCTGTCTTGTAATCCCTTGGGCCTGCGTGCCTTGTGTGGCCTTTTTGGCTTGTAATTTGTTTGGGCCTGCGTGCCTTGTGTTGGCCTTTTTGGCTTGTATTTTTCTTAAAAGTTTTTATTGGAAATTTAAAATTAAAAAAAAAATTTAAAAAAAAAAAAAAAAAAAAAAAAAAGATGACAACCATGAAGGAGTATGATTACAGCTTGAATAAAAAGTATTTTTATAGTTTTTAAATTGTTATCATAAATTCATATACATATAACTTATACACAGAAATTGAAAATAGGCCTATAGGACTATTATTTTCCAAGTAATGTTTTCCAAATGTTCACTACCGCATAAATTCAACATCGAATTATCTATTGTCAATTACTCCTTGATAAAAATCCATACACTTTCAATGGATATTTGTCCATTTTGGGAGTTTGTCAGTTTAATTTCGGAAATTTTGTAATGATATAGGGCTCCTAAATATTTGGAAATTGCATGGATTTTAATAATATTCTAAGATAAATATATGAATTTATCAATATTGTATATTTCCTCCACCATATGAACTATGAAGTGTCATACAAGCCAAACGGGAACCCATACCATTTTTTTCTTTAAGATATTCAATTATTGATCTCTGTGTTCATGTGGTTTTCTTATCTTAATAAAATCCAAGAGGTATCGACAACAAAATATCCATATGGCATGTGAGAGTCGACGAAAACTTCCAAAATGTTGTCAATTATTTTTAGATCACAGAACATGACAATACATTCATATATACATAATGCTAAAATAAATAGCATCCACGTATTTATGATGTCGGATCTATCCGAAATCTCAAATGAGATTCTAGGCTTCGGAATGATGATCACGAGCTGAGTATGAATATATAAAATATGTTGAACAAAAGAATGTGTAAGATATATAAAGAAAATTATAGGTAAAAAGAACTTAGGTGGATCAAAAATTTGCTCGAAGACCTTGGAGTTCCCACTAACAACACATGCCACTCTATTATGATAATCTGCAATGTCGTTTTAAAAATATTTATCATTTTATAGATCCTTAGCAGTACTCAAATCTGAATACGTTAACTGATCACTAATGTTTTATATGAATCTATGTTATTATTTTCTAAACTCGTTTAATATTTGATTCGTTTTGCTTTCACAGAAACAATTTGTGAAAGTTTTCTGATCACACCGATATTTTATATTAAAGTTTTCTGATTTTTGATATAAAAAATTAGTTCATGTTTAGTAATCGTATATATGATTTTCTAATTGAAATCGGTGTCCACTTTGTGAGACGCACAATAAATCATCCGCTGCAAATACTCGATCATATATTTTGCCATTGAAAATGACACTGTCAGATTCACTGTAATCTCTCTTATTAGCTTCTCACATTATTGGCTATTCTTGCCATTTTATTTTTGGTTAATTATTATTTGGAGACTTTAATAATTTTCTCATCTTTCTTATTTTCATTTTTAATTTTGGTAATCGCCATTTCAAAAGCTTAGTTTGAACTTGAGTACTTTTATGAGATTGGATGAAATAAACGGAGGCCAAAAGAGCAGACGACACACATTTTTTGTAGTTAGATTTCTTAAGTGTTGTAGTCATATTTTGATATGTTCATCAAATGAACTAGTATCTAATTTTATTTTAGTTAATAACAATAATGGATATGCAATCAGTTACAGTTTATCATATGTTATTTTTTTTAATATATTACCATTGCTATGATTTTCCAAATATTATAAAACAGTGTTAACGATCTACTTTTATTTTTGTTAATATATTACCATTAGTAACATAAAAAAATTTTAGTTTCTTAAACTGTCGATGTAAAATAAATTATTGTAATCTCTATACTATTATTTGAGAAGGTTTTTTAAAAGAATAAATATAAAAATGTGAAATATTACAAAGAATGCTATTGAAAAAAAAAAATTAGATGAATTTTTTATTTTTATTATGTCCAGCGTTAAAATAAATAAAAGAAATTGATATCCAATTATATCATAGTTATTATTTTTAATCATTAAATTTTTTATCTTATTTTTATAACACCAGAATCATAACACCAGCCTTAAACATTACTATATGCAAATTTTAGGCTCCTTCCAATGCTAGAGTCGTTGTGGGATACTGCGATTTTACTTCTTCTTTCTACACTCACATTTTTACACATACTTATTGTTTTTTTTCCTGTCTTTTACACATATTTATTGATTTTCTGAATTTCCACGTATTTTACTTTCTATATTTTTTTTTCCTTTTTCACTTATGAGAAATAATAAAAATGACAAGAATTACAGTAAAACCAATAAATTTTATAAAATAAATTAATTATAAAACTATTAAACTATGAATCATAAGTATAGTTTTGTTCGTTTGAACTATATAATCTATATTTTTCATGATATATGCTTAGATTATTATATTTATTTATCGCTAATATATATATATATATATATATATTAATCGAAATTAAAATTTTGATTAATAGTTTGGTAGATTTTGACTGTTGACTATATACTTTCAAAAAAAAACAAAAAAAAAAACTATACACAAATCCATAGTTAATATTTTCTACACCATCAATCTTATATGCCATAAATCCAAGTCAATAGCTTCTACACCATAAATCTAAGTCAATATTTTTCTAAAACTTGAAACAAAGAAGAAATTGTTTTTTCCTACAAAAAATGTTTACAAGCTGTTTAAACTTGATATCTTTGTAAACAGAATATCTTTGTAACAAGAGGAAATTTTTACAAGAATGGCGTGGTCTGTTTGCGAAAGCATAACATGCCACGAGCTTGGCTATGTCACGGCTAGAGAAGCCATCGGTTTTGTATGCGGCATCTTGAATCTACCTCTCATCAACTTCTTCATCAGTAATATATAGTAACATGTTGCTGCTTTGCATCATCTGTTTTCTTTTTGTTGTTAGCTTCAGTCAGATATAACCGAAGATAGTGTTTGATCACCATATAACGTTCGAATTCAGTTGATAAGGATAACTCTAAGACTTCATCGATCTTACATGTTTCGTTACACATACAGATCTCAGATTTTAGATAATAATAAAATTACAATGCGTTTACTTAATAATCAATTTATTTCGCTGATGAATTGATTAATACATTTTGCTTTAAATGATATCTTATTACTTTAAATGACTAATACATTTTGCACATAGCTAAAAGAAATGCAACTTGCAACTTTACCAAAACTTCTAGAGCTAATCTTCTAGCGATAATATAGCTAAAAGTGTAAGAATGAATAAACAAAATCATGTCATTTCATGGAACAATGTATTTTGATGCATATTAATATAAAGTTTGAATTGACGTTGAAAAAATGGTTTAAGTGGCTCTGCCAAAATTGTGCCCCTCGTTCTCGATTATAGTAAAGATAACCTTTTTTAATCATTGCTATAAATTGAAATGCATTTAAAATTGCACAGATGTTGTAAGACTCACTTTTTCAAATGAGCGCTCAAAACCATTTGTAGTTAATCCACATTTGAACCATTTGAAAAAGATGAAGCCCAATAGCAGCCCAATTGTCTAGATGCTTGTTGAACAGATTTTGTATGCAAAGACCATATCACCAACTCGTACCTAACTTTCATTGACTTGAACTAAAATTAATTTTCACTCGATTTTGCTCATACCCACCTGAATCAAACTGAAATGAAAAACTAAATCACAACCAAATTCAAAGTAAATTTCATTACCGAAGGAGAAGACAAGACTATTGGCAGAGAGCAAAGAATGGAACATATGATTGGGTTGCCTTCGGTTAGCTATCCCAACTTTTGCAATCCAAATTAAAACATGTATAGTAAAAGAATCTAGTGTTTATACAATGAATAGTCATCTAGCTTAATTTAGAAAAAAGTAATCCTACCTAAAAAGAGTTTATGGTCCCAATGGTCCCTAAATATTAATGAATTTAATATAACGTTGTTAATTTAACCACTAATATCATTTATGCAAGTTTGTCGATCTTAGTATTATTTTTTTAATAATTTATATATACAATTAGGAAATTCTCTTTAGAGTATCGAGAATTTTTGTACGACACGATGCACTTGCTCCGATGGGTAAAACCCTTGTTCTAAAAATCGGCCGTCTAGGCGCTGATCGGGTGGGGACCGCGGCGATTTTGTCCAAATCGGTAAATAAAATCGGTGATCCGATTTTTGTCCGCCTAGACCGCCTAGGCGTCCGCCTAGCCCGCCTAGCCCAATTTTTTTTTTTTTTTTTAACATTTTTTTTCTTTTTTTGGATCTAAAATTTAAAACGTCCCACTATGTTCATAAAAAATCATAAGTTTGACCTTAAATTCTTGTTTTCATGTGTTTAATGCAATTTTAAAAACAAGATTATATAAATTTCTTATTTATAATATATTAATATGTTTTTAAAATATTAAATAGCCTTAAAACTAGTCTCCGATTAATCCCCGTTTAATCTCCGATTTTCTTGCTAGGCGCTAGGCCCACCCTCACCGCCCGACTAGCGCCTAGCGATTTTTTAAACAAGGGGTAAAACAAACTCGATAAAACTGTTATAGCAACATAGTATTATAGATGTAACTTTACAGTAAATAATATTCATGAAACTCGGTATATTTACATTTTATATGGAATCATGTTATATTCATATCAACATTTAATCATAAATAATATCTACAATTAAGTTAACAATCGATAATTAATGTCAAAAAAAAATTTAAAAATGTTTTCATGGAATATGAATACGAAAAAAACTTTTTTAGAGATAAAAATCATGAGATGGTCGTCAATACTGTTTATCCTTTTCGCAAATTTGAATTATTATATTTAAGTTCAAATATTTATCTTTTAAATTTTAATAGTTATATTTTATGCTCAAAAATTATATTAATGAAAAAGAATTTAAATTAAAATTTCGCGCGTTATCTAGTAAAGAACTAATGAAGAGAAGTAACATGTGATGCAATATCGGTATTTGAGATTTTTTTTTTTTTTTTGACAGCATTGAGATATTTTTAATTGGGCAAAAGATGAAGAAGATACGTGGAATAGTTATTTCTAAAGTATTTGCACTTTTAATCTAAATATCCTCTGGGCTGGTAGGAAGAAATTCAAAATTGTACGAAAATATTGCTCGACGTCATATGTATGATTTTAAATTTATAATCCCAATGTACTCTCACCGACCAGCCAATGAAATTCAGTTCTCTCTATATATATATTTTTTAAATTGATTTAATTTTAACTAAAATAACTATACATCGTTTAGCTATTGTCTCCTTAAATATGACAATATTTTAAAATATTGTATTTATCGTTCTCATCGGTAATAATTTGAATTGACAAATCAGATAAGTAAAAATATACTTATCATTCTATCAAACAAAGTGATAAATCATTAAAGAACAAAAACAAACAGTTAGCTAGAACTTTACAAATTGCATTTTTAGATATTTTATTAATTAAATAATAGATTAGTTGACTTAAATTGTGACACTGATAGAAAACTTATAACAATTAAAACTTGAAACTTGCAGAATAAAATGATTTGCAGTGAATTTATTTTTCTTTCAACGGTTCGTATAGTTTGCTAATAATTTTATCATTCATATATAATAGGAATGTGTATATAACAAAAATAGGAATCTTTGACCTTAGAAGCCCAACAGTTCTTAAGATTATCTTATAATTAATTATTAATCATTGGTTACTAATAATATTAATAGACATGCCGCAAAAAGGAAATTTATCAAACCCTCCCTTACGATTTTAATTGAAATCCAACTTTCTTGGAATCCCGATTTCAAGATACCCTGATCTTTTTGTCTTTTTCATTGGGAAAATAAATGTATTCGCTTGGTTAAGTTTACCAAAACAAACAATAGTTACTTAAGATAGAAGCTTCGATCGATAACAGAAAAAACCAAAGTTATTACAGGTTTATAATCTTACCACTATAAACATACTGGTTAAAATGCTATATATCGAACCCAATGCACGAAATAATCGACAATTTGTTCCGGTTGTAACCAAAATATTAAAAAATGAACTATACATAATAGAATAATTTGCCTAATTATATATTAATTCATAGAAAACCAAATGAAAGGACGACACGTGCATCCACCACAATAATAAAATAATAACAATGTTCTTATACGATAAGAAACATAGAAATGTTAAGAATATATTTAATTTGCTTGATATCAAATGTAAAACTAGTTGATAAGTTTCTGCATACAAATCCCCTCTCTCTCTAATTACTATAGAAATCAAGAACTTATCCACAATCTCATGTTCCGAACTTTTGTATTATACATCTTGTGTGACAAACACATACTTCAAATCTCCGAGTCTCAAGACTTACTACACACATTCACCGCGACATTAGTACTCTAGACGAACATATTGAAATTATGACATTCCTCTTATGATAAGATTTTTGAATTTCGATAATTAGAAAATATCGTTAGGGTAAAAAAACCGTCCTTATTCCCGTTATGATGATCCGATATTTTGAGTGCAAATGAACAATATTTGAAAAGGGGAAAAAAAAAAATCTGACATGTCTATAGTTTTTTCATAATGGCGACTAGTTAATGTAGTAAAACCTACACGGCAATATTTGGTTGAAGAGGTATCAAACATTAATTGCACCTTTAGCCGCAGTAAAAAGCAAGTGTTGTCTAGAGAATCATTTGCCAACTTGTTGTTTAGTAAGGTGCATATGTCTTATGTCTTAGTCATATCATACCAAACAAAAAATGTCTTATGTCTTAGCTATAGTCACAATTTTTTTGGCGTACAATATTGTATCTGCCACGTGTTGCATTTTGGTTCATTCTTACTTGTCTACAAAGATTGTAACGGATACAATTCGACCAAAATTTTGCTCACACCTCTACTTTGATATAACTAATTAAATAAACCCTTTACCCTAAAACACTTTTCTCTCATTTTTAATCCTTCCTTTAAGTATGTTGCTTTCGTGGAGTCACCATTGAGAATGGTTGGATCCAACTGGACATACATGGTTTTTTGTTGGCTGCACCACAAAGTGCAAGTTCCATACCCATACTTTGTTTTTTCATGCAACTTGCTCCATAATAAGCTACAGTGATACGTGTATTTTTCTAATCGAGTAACACTATATAACTTCTTGGTCAAATTTATAATATTTCTAAATTCACAGTCGTTAACCAAATTTTGCCGTGGCCAATGGTAGTTTATTTAGCTAGAATTGAAATCCTGTTTCAAAATTCCCGAAAACTAAGATAAATCATAAGAGACTTTTAAAGAAAAAAAACTATTGAAATCACCATTTTTTGCAATTTAATTTTTTATCTTTAGAAATTACAAATTAATTATACGAAATCAAATGTGATTTTAGTAAAAATGACATTCCACATTTTCAATATGATTTTACACTAAGTTTTCTAATTTACCCTTAACTCAAAACTATTTTCATTGAATTTAATTCATTAAACACTTATTAAATAGAAACATACATGTATAATTCAAAAAATTTATAATTTTTGTGAAATGTGTCAAAAAGACATTATTTGTAAAATGAACGGAGTATTTGTTTGTTAGATTATCGTAAAATGCATGAAACCCTAAACATAAGAAGACAATTATTAAAAACATGAAAATTATACTCATATATATGGTATGTAGGAATTAAACAATTTTTTTTTTTTTTTTTTTTTTTTTTTTTTTTTTTTAATTAAACAAAATTTTGTTAGGGCGTTATGCAATAAATTAAAGTGTCATGTAATAAATTAAATAGTTACATAACAAAACAACGAATTTGAATAGTAACCCTGTACCGCTACTAATCCATTTGCCAAATTAAATTTATTATGCAAGTTACTAATCCCACGAGCTAGTTAATTAGTACATATATATACGGGTTGCATAACTTATTGTTGTTGCTCTTTCTTAGTTAGGTTGGATACTATTGCAGTGTCATGTGCTTCTACATAGTATGATTTTTGTGCATAATGTATAATTTGAGTTTGACCGACCTATTAAAAGACCAGCAAAATAAAAGCAATATATAGTCCGTAGTATGACTCACAAGTTACAACAGAGCACCAAATTAATACGACGAATATTTCCCATACAATGTCACCACTAGCAATTATTGGTGGAGTAATTAGAGTCATACTACGAAATTAATACTATCGTTAAACAAAAAATGGCAAGCCTTTGAATATAAATATGTAGCGGGCCACAGTGATTAGACCGACCAAAAAATAACAATATTTAATTTCACTGCTATAAGAAAGTTTATGACATAATGATAAAAGATTCAGAGACCAAAATAGTAGAATTCTATAATTAGAGGCAAATACTATTTTCTTTTTTTCAAACTATTCGTTGCCAACCAATTTTGTCATTTATCATTATAATAAATTGTTTACATATCTTCATTTAAATGATTATATGCGATGCTAAAAAATAGTAACAAGTTGGACCCTCCTCGTTATTAAAAAATAAGTAGAAAAGTAATCGTCTCCAGTGTTTAATTTTAATAAAGTAATACTATTAAGGACAAAAACTGAAAGGTTTAAAATTAATTCGTGTGGGATTTAAAGACGAATACAATGTGATCAAGGTGGTTTGATGTCTAACTAGCTAGTCTAACAACCAGTAATAATAACTGGCCACTCATCAACCTTCATTTCTTTGGATTTTTTTAAAAAACTCAATAATATCGTCGGACTAATAATTAAAATGATAATAAAAACTATATAGTATAATAATCATCGTCCACGTCAGAGTTTCACCTCTTTCTCTCCGGCTTTGCATGGCTCTTTCTTTCTCCTTACCTATTATACTTCCTCTACAATTCCATTTCTTCTTGATAATCTCTCTCTCCTCTTTCTATCTCTTGATCTTTAATTTGTCTCTCTCTTTTTCTCTAGCAATGCTTGGAAGCTATAGAGAAGTGAGTATTAGTAATATCAATCCATATATATGTGTCGGATTATATAACCGGACTAAATATACGTATAACTTCTTGTTATTCTCTCTTGATCATTAATATATGCAAATCACTCTATGGTAATTGATATATAAGGTTATGTGGCCAAGACTTGTGGCCAACAAGATCCTAAGGAAAAGCGTCGGGAGCAACAACTTCGTTGCCGATTTCCCACCTGATACCGATCAGAAGCTTCTAGTAGCTTCCGGATTAGTTGATGAACGAGCTTCTTTCACTTCTAAATCAATTCTCCTCGAGCAACACAAAACCACTCATCTCAACTACAAGTAATACATCAATAACTTTATATATCCTTTGTTCATTTCCTTAATAAAAATTAGTTATCTTTACTTGTTAAATATTGCATATACTTGGACAGAGAAGAGAGCGGATCACAATACTGTTTAGTTGACATAACTAGCTAGTCACTTTTCTTGCATTGCACTACAATCAAACCTAGTATACAGTAAACCAGTAAAGCTAACCAAAACGTTGATAACTATATATATATGATCGAACGTTTGAAAACTTAAAAATTAACATGTATATTTTTAATTATATGTTTTTAGGGTTTTTGTAAGCACATGGAACGTCGGTGGTATTGTACCAGACGATGGGCTTGACATGGAGGATCTGTTGGAAACACATCAAACACCGTGCGACATATACGTGCTTGGGTGATTACTAAACACTACAACAAAATTAAATTTATATAGCTATAACCTATGGATTTTGTTTATTTAGATGTCTAAAATTTAGTTTAAATGAAAATCTAGGTTTCAAGAGGTAGTGCCTCTTCGAGCTTCGAATGTTTTGGGATCAGATAATAACAAGGTCTCTACAAAGTGGAACTCTTTGATAAGAGAGGCTTTGAACAAGAGAGCAAAACCTCATCGAGACAAAGAATTGTCGGAATCAAAGGGCATTAATGGTATTTCACAAGATTTCAGATGTATCATAAGCAAACAGATGGTCGGAATCTTGATCACCGTTTGGGTCCGAGGTGATCTCTGGCCGTACATCCGTCATCCTAACGTTTCATGCGTTGGTTGCGGCATCATGGGTTGCTTAGGAAACAAGGTAACAAATATTTAATTAGAATTTGATATCTTTTTAATTAAATAAAATCTCACTGTTATAGATGTGGACTGATTTAGGTATTGACTGTTTATAGAAAATGATTACGGGCGTATTCATATCTGATTATTTTAATTTGTGGTTGAAAATGAACTCACAGTTATATGCATGCTTCATGTTTGACTGAGATTTATATATCATAATATATTTTTCATAGAAAAATATCGAACAATAGTTTGTACAAGACTACTAGCTTCATTCATGACCTAAGTTTATTAAACTTGGAAATTAGCTAAAGTTTAATTTTTACATTTTGATTATAAAAAAGAGAGTATAATTAATGTTCTGTTTGCACCATGTATTTGGAACAGTCAGATGTTTAATTTAATCTGACTTCATACATTTTCTTGATCATTAGGGATCGGTATCGGTTAGATTTCAATTGCACGAAACGACCTTCTGTTTCGTTTGCAGCCATCTAGCTTCTGGTGGCCGCGACCGAGATGAAAGGCAGAGAAACTCCGACGTCAACGAGATCTTAGCGAGATCGAGCTTTCCTCGAGGCTCATCGCTAGACTTACCCAAAAAGATTCTTGATCACGAGTAAGCTAATTATATTTTAAATGAATTCAATAACTATTGGTTCATATATAACCTAAAACACATTTGGTTCATATATTTTGTGTAAATTGAAAATTTCCAACTTGTTAGTAATTAACTATATGCTTAAAGGTCAGCCCAAAAGTAATATAATTTAAGCAAGTTGACCCGATTAAATTATAACAGGATTTGATATATATTGTGAAGAAGAAAGGCTAGTTTGGAAAGTACTAGTAATTAAGAAATTACCCACTTGTGATATTTCTTGTTTGTATGATTTAATTAGTCAATTTTTTTCATGTTTTCTCTTTGTTGGATCAAATTCTACAGTCGAGTGATTTTTCTGGGAGACTTGAATTATAGAATTTCATTACCCGAAGAGAAGACAAGATTATTGGTGGAAAGAAAAGAATGGAACATGTTACTAGAGAATGATCAGGTAACTATTTTTATATGTATCCCATGTTTTTCACGTTTGAAAGTTGTAAACTTTGCTATTTTCTTATATATATGTTTTATTTATTTATTTACTTTAACAAAAAAAAATATATGTTTTATTTATATAAAATTAAGTTAAGGATGGAGATCTTGAACGGTCAGATTTTCAGAGGTTGGCAAGAAGGAATAGTCAAATTTGCTCCAACTTATAAATATGTTCCAAATTCGGATCTATATTACGGATGCATTACATACAAAAAAGACGAGAAGAAACGAGCTCCTGCATGGTAAGTATAATTTACATAGAATATTTAAATAATTTGTTTTTTCTTTGTTAATCTCATGCATGCATATATTTAAATAGGTGTGATCGAATAATATGGTACGGAAATGGACTGAAGCAACATGAATATACAAGAGGAGAAACGAAGATATCTGATCATAGACCTGTCAAAGCTATTTTCACCACAGAAATTACTGTTATACGGCGTGGTAAAAAGATTCGTAATTTCTTTTTCTCGGACAGATTTGAAGACAGAATTGACGGGTATAGTGAAATAGATTCCAAAGACTACTCGTGGATATCTACATAATCGGGGTACTGAAATCTTGTCAGTTGTTGATATATAATTCACCCAATTCTAGTTATAGTTTTTTCATGTAAAAAATGCTTATACATATAGTCTTTGTTTTATACATTTTTAGTTCTTAGCATGTTGTTTTTGCAATAAGAGAATCTATAGAAGATGATTTGTGATATATTGATTAAATATGCAATCTTGGCGACAAGTGACAGTTGTATGGTAAAATAAATTATTCAAGACTTACAAAGTATATCAAGTTCTTACAATGCATATATGCAATATACATTAATGCAGTTCAACAACTATATGGTCCACAGTTATATTTTTCTTTTTTTGGGATAAATAATCTCATTGATATTAAACCGAGATTACAAAATCAGTCTACAAAACTTCCGCTAAACAAGTTTTACATAATCAATTATGCGATTAATGAAAAAGAAATATTAAAAGAAATAATTTCGATGATGATTTTGTAAATAAAGCTTACTCGCTGACATGTAATAAAATATAGTATTTGTTTTAAAATTAAACAAACCGAAAGCGAAAGATTATTATAGTACTACAGTATGCCCAAAAAAAAAAAAAACTACGAATGAAGATTCACATATAGTAAACCCCGATCTTTGATCTCCAACACTAAAAAGAATTCCCAACCACCACAATATAAGTATATAACTGGACCATCCATTTTGTTCGAAATTATAAATATAACTCTCTTTTTTAGATTAAAAACATAAATGGAGGGTGACTTTCCATGCAATAACATACAAGACCAACACTTTACAACAATACAAACTAAGGCTGTTGTTGACAAGCCATATGGTTGGTTAATTTGGCAATTGGCATTATATGTGGACAGGAGGGAGGCTAGGAGCATGAACAATTGGGTATTTTATATAATAATATGAGACTAATAATCATATTTTATTTTATCTTGTTTTCGCAAAACAAATAGATATGGTTTTGTTAATTATAATGGCAAGTGGTTTTAGTAAATGCATATGAGTTGTTGTCAATTTGTCTACCAAAATTATAGTTGTTGGAAATAGGATAATATCAAATATGAATATCGAATGAACTTTTTTTTATTATAAATTGGAAAAATACAAATGCAAAATATCTCATTACTAATAAACAAATGAATCGTTGTAAGAAAAAGGGAAAAATAAAATACAGGATAATCTCTTTACCAATACAAAATTGGACCGTTACATGAAATGTTTTATAAGATCAATGAATCCATAATTTTGTACTTGCGATATGGCAACAGAAATTCGCTTATGAAAATATTTTTTTGACTGGGCTTATCTAAGATAATGTGAAAAGTAGAATATTATGATATTGTCAATATCTTCAAACACAAATATATAAATGGGAAAAATAGAAATACAAAATATCTAATCAGCCCATTATAAATAAACAAATGACTCATGAGTGATTATTTTGAGCTCTAATTAATAGCTGTTGACAAAAAAAGAAGACAAATGACTCGTTGTCAAAAATTGGGGAACACAAAGATCTCATTACCAATAAATAAATGGATCTTTGTAAGAAAGTTTTAAAAGACCAATGAATCCAATCTATATTTGCAATTTGCCAGAAAGAAAAGAAAAACTTGGGATTATGATTTATGAATATCAAATTGTATAGTGGGCCTATTTAAGATAACGAGCCCAGGCCCATGACCATATCAGAATCTTATTGAGGTAAATGATATAAAAATGAAATTATCGGCCTTTCGAGTTTCAGCGCCATTGAAACATTTCAAAAGTTTCACAGAGAGCTCCAAAAATCAGAGAGAGGGAGAGAAATGTCTACAGAGATCGCTCATCTTCGTCGGAGATTGGTCGAGTTTTTGATTCAATGTACTACTGTAAGTTTGATCTTCTTCTTCTTCTTCTCAATCAGTATCTGTTGATGTATTCTCTCCTGATTTTGATTTTTTTTTTGTTTTGGATCTGATTTTGCCGATGAAAGCAACTCGAACTTCCTCCGATCGTTAAATACTCAGCTCTATCGCTCTTCTTTGATCGATTTCGTCCAAATGTAGTCAGGTATACGATTTTACCCCTCCGATGATTCCTGATTTGAGAATTTTGTAGTGAATTCGATTGTTTTTAGGGTTTAATTGAACAAATCAGTAATCGTTATCGGCAAGTATAGATTAGTGATTTAGTGTAACAGATGATACTGTATATTTGGATCAGTGCTTGTTTTCGGATATATTCACAGATGTGTTAGTACTGATACTCATCGACGGATCAATTTATTGTAGTTGCGAGATTTGGATCAAATCATGTTTGATGGATTATTTAGGCATTATATCATGTTTGGATGCTTTGGGTTTATAGGTTTTTAGAGAAAAGGAAAGCAGAACATTGGCTACTGCAACCTTTGACTGAGAGCAATCTGCAGTTATTTGTGTTAATCTCCATTTGGATCTCATGTAAAGTGGGTTTACTTCCTTACTTGTGCTATTGTTTTTTGTGTGTTTGTTCTCTTATATGAGTACCTAGAACTGAATTGTTTGCTTCTGCAGATGCATTGTACCCGAGGTTTATCGGTTCATAGTTTGAAATCCTTTGGGGATAAGGTGATTACTGAGCAACTCTTCGTGGTTCGAGATTTCTTGGATGCAGTAAGTTACTGTTGAATTATTTTGAATTGTGACTGAAATTTGATAGATGCTTTGATAGTTTCAATGAGTTCTGAGGTTTCTTTTGTAGGAACTCGTTTTTCTGAAGGTAACCATTCTACCCTTGGGGGATGTTATTTACGCTATAGAAAGCTTATTTGGAACTTATTGTCTATCTTCCTCAATGTACATGAGAAGCAGGTTTTAAAATTTGAGATAGGCACTCTAAATATAGCCTATACACTGCTTGAAGACCTTTTTATTCAGTTCAAGTATGTTTTTTCATCCTTATAAAGTATTTAAACCCTTAAAGCTCCTGAATGATATTGTTCTAGTCCATGTTGTTATTATCTAACTTCTAAACCATATTTTCTTCTATTAGAGAAGTTGCAAAAGTTGGGGAACATTTGAACTTTGAAGCATGTATGGACATGATGGACCTTCTTTACGAAAAAGAGGAGACATCCCTTCTCTACCAATATTCAAAATCTCTGGCTGCTTCCATTTTGGTAAACTTAATTGATCTCCATTATAATTTGTTTGAGTAGACATAAAAAATGAAGTTAAAATTGTGTTCTTCTCTTGACAACAGGTCTCTTCTTACATAATAACAGTGCCTAAACAGCAGTATGAATTCCCTATCCTCCCCTGGGGTAAGCATTCATGTTTCTGCTCTTTCCATCAAAACCATTTTATAATTACAATTACCAATGATAGATTTATATTAATCAAGTCATAGGATAATGAATAAGTTAGAAACAGGTTATAGCATATAGGATCCATAAGGCCCAATGTTCACCTTTTTGACTATGCATTTCAACATCATATAAAAGAGTTTCTTGTTCACACTTCAAGGTCTTCTTCATATTGCCCCTTAGACCTGGACATTGTATGTTCCTCACCTAATACTGATTATTATGAATTATGATAATGAGCCATCAAGGTTGACTTATCAGTTTATAACAACCGGCCATATACGTATGTATACGGTTTACGGATCAATCAGATCTTTTGTGGTCCATAACATTTTGCTAAACCTAACATATCTCCGGTCCGGGCCACTCAAATATTGTACCGGTCCGTATAAGATATAGGAATAAGAGACAGTAATAGTAGAAGTCACTAGTCAAACGTCAGCATTTCCTTTTTCTTATTGAAAAACCAAACCTCATTTTCATGGAGTTATAGCTGTAATACACTCACTCACACACAAAAGATAGAAAGAAGAAAAGTCTATTTCTATTTATTTCAAAGGGTCCCTCTCCAAAATTTATTCTTCTTCATTTATGGAGTCTACACTAAATTGTTCTGAGATTTGTTCTCTATATACCCTTTTTCAGTTTTTCACATTTCATGGTAACAAATAGGATCTCTTTCAAACAATA